GAATCAAACGGAGGAGTTTCGATTGTAACAGTATCTCTTGCACCGATCTCCTTAAGAGCAGTTTTGTTCAGTTGCTTTATAAAAACTTCCAATTCATTCTCATACTTATAATTGTTGACGTGTACCTCTCTCATCTGGATATTATCTTCACTGAGGCAGACCCAGAAGTAAACGCATGGTCCATTAATAGCTATAAAAACTGTGCTCAATGGAACCCAACTCAGAGAAACGCACGATGCGCTTTGCGTTGAAGAATCTCCAGGCTGATATTTTGTGGCCATGAGATCTCTCAGAGCTTGAGCACGTCCTTTCTCTGCGGCAAGAAGAGCCTCCACAACTTTACCTTGATTGAGATTAACACGCCACAAACCTCTGTATGCATGTTGGTGCTGATTACGATAGGAAATCGTCCACTGATCGTTGGGTCGAAGACTGGCCCTGATATCATCATACAACTCTACGCCCGAGTGATAATAGTGGATGGCCATCATAAGATTTCCTTGGCACTCAAAACTCCTTCCAAGGGAACAGAGTGAGCACGCCTCAGCAGTCTTGTCTCTCACTTCTATGGATATTTCTAGGTGACGTTGATAAGACTCGATTGCTGTTTTCAACTCCCCATGATGAAGATGAATACTGCCGAGAAGGCAATAACTTCTTCCCTCTCCGGCCTTGTCCCCCATTTCTTTAGCAATTTCTAGATGACGTTGATGGTACTCGATTGCTACTTTGAACTGTCTCAGGCTGATATAAGCGCTGCCGAGACAGCCATAAATTCTGCCCTCTTCAGCCTTGTCTCCCACTTGTTTAGCAATTTCTAGATCACGTTGATAGTACTCGATGGCTGTTTTTAACTGTCGTAGACCTTGATAAGCGTTGCCGAGATTGCAATAACTTTGTCCCTCTCCGGCCTTGTCTCCCACTTCTTTAGCAATTTCTAGATGACGTTGATGGTACTTGATGGCTGTTTTGAACTCTCCTAGACAATCATAAGCATTGCCGAGATTGCCGTAACTTATTCCCTCTCCGGCCTTGTCTCCCACTTCTTTAGCAATTTCTAGATGACGTTGATGGTACTTGATGGCTGTTTTGAACTCTCCTAGACCTTGATAAGCGTTGCCGAGATTGCCATAACCTTTTCCCTCTCCGGCCTTGTCTCCCACTTCTTTAGCAATTTCTAGATGACGTTGATGGTACTTGATGGCTGTTTTGAACTCTCCTAGACCCCAATAAGCGCTGCCGAGATTGCCATAAATTATTCCCTCTCCGGCCTTGTCTCCCACTTCTTTAGCAATTTCTAGATGACGTTGATGGTACTTGATGGCTGTTTTGAACTCTCCTAGACCCAGATAAGCGATGCCGAGATTGCTGTAACTTATTCCCTCTCCGGCCTTGTCTCCCACTTCTTTAGCAATTTCTAGATGACGTTGATGGTACTTGATGGCTGTTTTGAACTCTCCTAGACCGTGATAAGCGTTGCCGAGATTGCCGTAACCTTTTCCCTCTCCGGCCTTGTCTCCCACTTCTTTAGCAATTTCTAGATGACGTTGATGGTACTTGATGGCTGTTTTGAACTCTCCTAGACAATCATAAGCATTGCCGAGATTGCCGTAACTTATTCCCTCTCCGGCCTTGTCTCCCACTTCTCTAGCAATTTCTAGATGACGTTGATGGTACTTGATGGCTGTTGCTGTTTTGAACTCTCCTAGACCCCAATAAGCGTTGCCGAGATTGAACTTATTCCCTCTCCGGCCTTGTCTCCCACTTCTTTAGCAATTTCTAGATGACGTTGATGGTACTTGATGGCTGTTTTGAACTCTCCTAGACCCCGATAAGCGTTGCCGGGATTGCCATAAATTTTTCCCTCTCTGGCCTTGTCTCCCACTTCCTTAGCATTTTTTAGATGATATTGATAGTACTTGATGGCTGTTTTGAACTCTCCTAGATCTTGATAAGCGTTGCCGAGGCTGCCGTAACTTATTCCCTCTCCGGCCTTGTCTCCCACTTCTTTAGCAATTTCTAGATGACGTTGATGGTACTTGATGGCTGTTTTGAACTCTCCTAGACCCTGCAAAGCGTTGCCGAGATTGCCAAACTTAACTTCTTTAGCTTTCTAGATGACGTTGATGGTACCTCTCCGGCCTTGTCTCCCACTTCTTTAGCAATTTCTAGATGACGTTGATGGTACTTGATGGCTGTTTTGAACTCTCCTAGACCTTGATAAGCGTTGCCGAGATTGCAATAACTTCTTCCCTCTCCGGCCTTGTCTCCCACTTCTTTAGCAATTTCTAGATGACGTTGATGGTACTTGATGGCTGTTTTGAACTCTCCTAGACCCCGATAAGCGTTGCCGAGATTGCCATAACTTATTCCCTCTCCGGCCTTGTCCCCCACTTCGTTAGCTATTTCTAGATGACGTTGATGGTACTTGATGGCTGTTTTGAACTCTCCTAGACCTTGATAAGCGTTGCCGAGATTGCCGTAACCTTTTCCCTCTCCGGCCTTGTCTCCCACTTCTTTAGCAATTTCTAGATGACGTTGATGGTACTTGATGGCTGTTTTGAACTCTCCTAGACCTTGATAAGCGTTGCCGAGATTGCAATAACTTATTCCCTCTCCGGCCTTGTCTCCCACTTCTTTAGCAATTTCTAGATGACGTTGATGGTACTTGATGGCTGTTTTGAACTCTCCTAGACCCCGATAAGCGTTGCCGAGATTGCCATAACTTATTCCCTCTCCGGCCTTGTCTCCCACTTCTTTAGCAATTTCTAGATGACGTTGATGGTACTTGATGGCTGTTTTGAACTCTCCTAGACCTTGATAAGCGTTGCCGAGATTGCCGTAACTTTTTCCCTCTCCGGCCTTGTCTCCCACTTCTTTAGCAATTTCTAGATGACGTTGATGGTACTTGATGGCTGTTTTGAACTCTCCTAGACCTTGATAAGCGTTGCCGAGATTGCCGTAACTTATTCCCTCTCCGGCCTTGTCTCCCACTTCTTTAGCAATTTCTAGATGACGTTGATGGTACTTGATGGCTGTTTTGAACTCTCCTAGACCTTGATAAGCATTGCCGAGATTGCCGTAACTTATTCCCTCTCCGGCCTTGTCTCCCACTTCTTTAGCAATTTCTAGATGACGTTGATGGTACTTGATGGCGGTTTTGAACTCTCCTAGATCTTGATAAGCGTTGCCGAGATTGCCGTAACTTATTCCCTCTCCGGCCTTGTCTCCCACTTCTTTAGCAATTTCTAGATCACGTTGATGGTACTTGATGGCTGTTTTGAACTCTCCTAGACCCCAATAAGCGTTGCCGAGATTGCCATAACTTATTCCCTCTCCGGCCTTGTCTCCCACTTCTTTAGCAATTTCTAGATGACGTTGATGGTACTTGATGGCTGTTTTGAACTCTCCTAGACCCCAAGTAAGCGTTGCCGAGATTGCCATAACTTTTTCCCTCTCCGGCCTTGTCTCCCACTTCTTTAGCAATTTCTAGATGACGTTGATGGTACTTTATGGCTGTTTTGAACTCTCCTAGACCTTGACAAGCGTTGCCGAGATGGCAATAACTTTTTCCCTCTCCGGCCTTGTCTCCCACTTCTTTAGCAATTTCTAGACATTTTTGATGGTACTCGATTGCTGCGTGGAACTGTCCAACATTACAGTAAGCACATCCCAGACTGGCATAATTGTATGCTTTGACTTTTAGCTCAGCATTCGATTTCCTTATTAATTGAAGCAGACGTTTGTTATTGTTTTCAATCTTGAAACGTGTCAAGGGTAGCTAATCATGATGTGTGATGGTGGTGTGTTTTAAAAATAACTAGAGTATTGTATAAAACTTTAAAATTTGAATGATAATTCGAGCGTGGGTTTCTTAAAGAGGTTTGATTTCAAGTTATTCAAGAGTGTTAACTAGCTCTGAAGCGCATTTAGTAGTTTAGGTTCGGTCGTCATGGTGATGCTCGTCTGAGGACAAAAATGAGGGGCATTCAGCAGAAATTCTGGGAATTAGTTAATATGGCCTCTTCCTTTAAGTAAAGTTTCTTTGAATAATCGAAAGAACTCCTTAATAATATTTTAGCTTCTTTAAACTGCTCAGTGCAGTATAAGAGAACATCGATTGCATTATGTGTAGAAGAATCTGTCTGGAACGTGTTGATTTTCGCATTGCATCTCGTATCACGTTTGTAACATTCGTTAAAGGATACGGCCAATCCCATAAGCGACCAGCTCCTTGCTTCTTTATACCAACAAAGTTCGACACAAGCTCTGGCTCCTGAAAAGGAGAGAATAATTGGTGGTGCGAGGTAATTTATCACTGTTGAGGTTTAAACGTATTGGTAAAATCGACTTAATCTGTCATTTTTCTCAGGAAAAATTCTGATAATGAACGAAATTTGAACTTGTGGAAGAAATGGAAATTAACAATAAGGAGCTAATGCAAAGCGGCTACCAATTAAGGATCAATTGATGATGATAACGATGAATTTATCTCGTGCATTTGTCATTTTAATTTGCTCTAATGTGTTTTCCAGCACTTTTCGGGGAATTTTTCGGGCAGACTTCATTGAGCAGTTTACAACATTTGAAAGGGAATTTTTCAGGTACCTCCCTGCCTGGTTTTTTACTATACCTGGCTAAGAGTTACAGAGAGGATACAGGAAACGGGGCTTACGGTTTTCCATCCTTATCCGGGACAAGAATATTAAACCATTTGAAGCTGTTGTAATTAAGGCGGCAGCACATTATCCTCAGATATCCTAAGACTCTGAGTGTTGGTCCGGTCTAGGGCTTCAACCCTCGACCTCCAGCGCTCTACAACGTCAAACTAACCAGGCGGAGGTATTTAAGGGCTTATTGACATCTTCTTATGTTTTTCACATAACAGACATTGACAAATCAGAGACAATTGACACTTGGGGTACAGTCACCTGCCACAAATAAACAAAATTTTCTTTCGACGAAATCAGAGAAGAGAATGTTGATGGCTTATGATTGAAAAACCCACCTTTCTTAATAGCTTTGATCAAAACGGGTTCCAATTGAACAGCAACTGTTGCGTCATCCAGACATTTCACGTAGTTTGCTGTGAAATTCAATAAGGTTTAAAAAAACGGTCATCACATGCAATTGCAGCAAAGACGCCTGAAAAAAATTACAATTGCATAAATTGCACTCCATTTACGAGGATCATTTCTTTGCTTAATTTTGATCTGCTAAAGGGTGATATCTCTTTCTATGCTCTTTTCTGCAGTTGCTCAATTTTTTCCTTTTCTTGATGGAGATTATATATTCCGTTATCTTGTAACGCTGCAGGAGAGATTTATATGTTTAAATATGAAATTGTTACCTAAATGGAAATGAGCTGCTGCCCTGTTGCTGTAAAGCTTGGCGTTCAGCCGTGTATCGTTGCAGTTGACTTGAAGTCCTTCCGTGTAGGAGTTTATCGCGTTATTAGCTTCTCCTTTTCTGTATTCTTTGTTACCTTCCTCGAGACATACTTTCGCTATTCCTGAAAGCATAACGTTTTAGTGTTAATGATTTAGTAATTAGTAATACGACCCTAAAGGGATGACGCCAACTTTATACCTCCAAACGAACTGTTAGGTTAAAGGAGCTTAGAGTTATGAAAAAAAAAATCAGAAAAGTTTAATATTTGAACATTTTGTATAAGTAAAATCTGTAAGCTGTTGGGAGGCTGGGCTGTAGCTTGGCTATTACCAGTTCAAGTTTCTCGTTTTACATTTTGGTCGAGAGGCTTTCACAAACCCCTTTTATACCTGGCTTACGTTTTCCAAATTATCAAAAGTTTTATCAGGAGATCCTAATTCAACTCAACTTTGTTTACAATCGCACTTCAGGAGAGTTCATCTTTGCACTTTGTTTGTTTAAAAATATACAGACTATCAGGGGTTTTAGCGGTAGCTTGGCTATAAGTAAATCAAGTCTGTTTTGTTTACATTTAGGTCGTGAGACTTTCCAAAAACCCTTTTACACCTGGGTTATTTTTTCCAAAATATCAAGTTAGAATGTAAAACCCCATAAGTTATTGAATAAAGCAAAGCAAAGCCAGGATCGAAAAAGGTTAAAACTTGTGAACGTTCTGATAACAAAAAAACATCGTGCTGAGGGCCCGTGACAAGCGTTCGTAGTTTTGCCATCGTTCAGAAAAGTGCGCCGAAAAAAAAATTTTTTTTTTTTTTTTTTCACTTGGTTTTCTCATACATGTAATTGTCTATTGAGAAAATACTCGTAGAGGCTAATTGGAGAAGTTGGTTTGAGAAAGTAACATTTCCCCGCGAAGTGCCATTTCGCCTGTTTTGAAAGTCAGCGGTTCTACATTTTGTTGGTTGGTGGTTTACAACGTGGGCCTGGTGTTGATATAACTGTGTAAAGAGGCGTAAAATATTTAGAAGACCAAAACAGGCGATACGGCTGAGGCGAAATGCCTCCTCTTCTCTGTAGAATTCTCAAATTGCGTAAAAATTTCTGCCAGACTTGTATTGAATAATAAGGGACAAACAGGTGTTAGCGTAACTTTTAGTCAAATACTTTCCTCGTGGCAGCCTCAAAAAGTTATCAGTTGGCAAATTTTTCAATACTCGACTTTGATAGGTCTACTGGTACCAAAAGCTCTCTCTCGCCGAAAATAACTTTCTCATTAAAAATGACCAAATTTTGAGTATCTTCAAATTCAAAAGGAAAATACTTCTACTTCGCAAATATCATTCATTTTAGGTGCAAATTATAGCTAAATTTTTAATCTTTAAAACGCCGTGCGTTGATTTAGAAGGAAGCACTTCTAAAACTCAGAAAACTGAGTGTTACAAAGCCTAGTGGGCCAAGTTTGACCCATTCTTCTCTAATTATAGGCTCTTCAAAGCAAAGTCGCGTTCAAATTTGCCGCTTTGTGGCCTATAAATAATTAATGATGTCTACTCTACGCATTCTGCTCCATCGAATCGAGCAATAAATTATTTTTTCTTTGTTTTTATTTTGCTGGTAACAAAGGTTGAAATTTGAAGATCTTTTGCTGCTTCAAAAACTCATTCACAAAACATACGCAAATTTTTATGTAAATATGACAAAGACTTCATTGGGAAGTCTTTCAAACAATTTTACTTCACCTGGTTTTCTTACCTCTTAAAGGGTCATTGTATACATCCAGTTCAGCGTCACTTGACGTAACTTGACTTTCCTCTGTCGCTGAAATTACCGAGAAGATATTTCAACTTTGTTAGTGATCACAACTATGTGCAGTTACAACTAGCGTTCTAATACTGGCGTATTTAGTAGATTCCTTAAAACCTTCAAGTCGAAGGGATCCAAAAAATTGAAAAATTGTGTATCAGAATTAAGATATAATTAATTCACAAACGGTTCAAAATCACCACAAGGAAGTCTCTCCCTGTTGCTTTTTCTCACCTGTGGCTGGAAACTCATTTTTCAACTCCAGTTCTTCTCCCGTTTTTGGGAGGTTGCTCTCTGCCATAGCTAGAAACAAAATTGAATCGATTTTAATGCGTTACATTGTTTAAAATCAAAAGAGGAGACTCAGATGAAAGTAACCTAAAGAAAACATTTTATACTTAATCATAGAGAAAGAATGAAAATCTCAAAGTTTCCTCCTCTACTATTGTGATTGCGTGACAGCTCCAGTCTAGTTCTATTTTTTCAATTGTTTGTTTGTCTGTTTGTTTTCGTAGTCTCATCTGTTTAAACTTCGTTTTAGGCTGTTCCTTATCAAAATGCGTGAGTTGCAATAAACAAGCTAGTTGTACCCAGTAAGCATGGATAAGCAGGGATAAAAAATAATGCAATAAAAGACTCTTTCTCTCATTCCTTCATTTTATCGCACATGGGGCTGGGAGAATTCGCGAAACTTATCCGAAACTGAAACACCTTTGAGGGTTTGCGTTACCGTCACGAATTCTACCAACACCCCGCGAGCCTATTGCGTTAAGAAACACGTTTATCGACCCTGTTCTTTTACAAAGTGCATGTGTAAAATGTCCCTCAAAGCTATCGAAAAATTGCTGAACAAATTCTTTTTTTTATTAACAGAATTATAAGTTCCAGTCAATAAACTACTTCATTAATTTTTTTTTAAGGAACCGGGAAATTTAGAATAACTGGAAGAGCTGGTCCCTCTCCAAATTGTGTTAGGGAAGGATTCGATATTTTCATTTCGAATTCAAAAAAGTACTGAATACGAGATTATTGAGAAGATGGCACTGGAAAGTGTCCTATTCATCAAAACTCAAGAAACTTCATCTACAACAAATTGAAAGCCAAGCGCGACACACAGACTCCAGCATAGCTTAATCTTGTAGGCCATCGAATGAATTCACTGCCAGGCCATATAAGCATTTGGCGGAGGAAGTAGACTGAAAGCGAAATGAAACTGAAAAATTATTTGTGAACGAATTGCTGATCAAAAAGAATCTTTTGCAATATTATAGTGAATGGGAAATTTCGGACATTTTCCTGAAGCTGCTGAGGTGGTCTTGCCCTACAGAACAACTTTCTGCTTCGATAACAGCATTTACTGCGCTCACAGTTTTATCTTTCAGCGTATGATGTAAACACGCAAACAATGTGCCCATTTAGTCTGTAATCGCGCGTGAAGGTATATCTACTAAAACCGAACTCTGACAGATAACTAATCACAAATGATACTATTAACCACCTTGTAGATACGTAGTTCGAACATTTGAAGACAAAAATTTATTCACCGTCGACGATTTCCGTATCAAGTTTTGCGAGGAGGTGGATTGATGTTCCAAAGCGTTTAAAAAACCAGAATAATTAATCGTGTCGTTGACGAGGTTTCGTTTTCATACATGATCAAGAAATCGTAGTCATCATGGTTCTGGGGGTTAAAATTTTCATTTTTCTAGACACGTTTTCCCAATTCCTCTGCTATTTATACGTTAAGGTGGGACCGGTGAGCGAGCAGGAAAGCTGTGCTCTGATCGCCTACCCAAGCGTGCAAAATGTGTTTTCTTTCAATTTCCACTTTGATTCCCCACAGAAGGAAAAAAAGAAATGCTTGTAGGCTGTTGAATACCTCGTATAACGTCGAAACCAAACAGCATATTTTTGTCCTATGAATAAAAGATTTTCTAGTATTTCTGGCTAAAACAGAGGTCACAGATTCGTCCTAAATGAAAACAAAATAAAACAAAAATCCCAACGAAACTCGCAGATTCATTTCGTAATTCCATGGTGCATGAATACATTTTGTTATCGTGTGATACATCCTTTGATCCGTTCCTGACGAAGCCTTCGTCACGGTCCCGGCTCAAAATGCAGTTAGGGAAATTGGCCGATGTACAGCCTTCTTAAGCTCACACTTGTTCAGTAATGCACACGCGTATATGAGGTATCAGATAACTGCGCGTCGATACGAATTATACCATTGAGTGTTCATAACATCCTTTACACCTTTAAAGAGATAATTCAATTCAAGCAGATAAATTCGTATCCATAGGCTGACATATATCATCCTTTTTATTTAATTTTTAAATAAGAGCATCGAATACAGAGATCCGCTGCACCGTAACTCAGCTCGCCGGAAAACCAATTCAATTTCGGACATTGTAATGTAGCAATTTCTCATTACAATAACTATATCCTTTAAAAATTGAATTCAGCTTCAGGTGAAAAAAACAATTGGGAAAAAACGGCCTACATGGAAAGTAAAACTGTCATGTTGATAAATTCGGATATAATGACGACCTTGATACCTTTATATGTGAAGATATTAATGGTACATTTACAGCGTGCGGTGAGATGTCACATTTTGGAAACTGAAACCGTTACCGTTATTATTACTATGTATCGCGAATGTTACGATATCACGAAAAACATAAGGATTGTGCATCTTTTTTTTTTTTTCAACCTCGAGCTTTGTTTCAAACTTCGTTTGTTTTCGAAAGATAATAGCTGATTTTGATATTGACGAGAGCTATAATTATATACAGGACGTTATCTAGCTCTGTCACATGCTCATCACGCGCTTCTGCCGCATAATCATCACGTACAGTTAAAACTCTAACTCCCGTGATCTAATTGTTAATTCTCCCCTCTAGCTGCTACATGTTTCCTTTCACAGTAGATACGGAAATTTAGTGTTAGTTCAAAGATAACGAATTCTACCTGATAAAAGTTTGAGTATTCTCATTACCTGTTTCCTAGATAATGTATTGATATTACGGGAGTAAGATACAACTTATATCACTTCTTGGAGTTAAAGGTTTTTACGAAATTGCATCGTGCAAACTATTTTAAAAACCAACATGGAAAGTCAAATAAATGGTTATCATGACGACGTTGAAACCAATGAAATATTAAAGGTACATTTAAACGTGTAAGATGTAACGTTATGAAAACTGAAAAAATTTACCTCTGACAACATGAATGAATGTTACGATATCAAAAGAAACTTAGGCATTTTGTATATATTTTTTTTTTTTTTACTTTTTTTAACATCGGGCTTTGTTTTAAACTTCGTTTGTTTTCGAGATATAATAGCTGGTTTTGATATTGACGAGAGCTATAATTATATACAGGACGTTATCTAGCTCTGTCACATGCTCATCACGCGCTTCTGCCGCATAATCATCACGTACAGTTAAACCTCTAACTCCCGTGATCGAATTGTTAATTCTCCCCTCTATATGTTTCATTTCAAAGTAGATACAGGAATTTAGTGTTAGTTCAAAGGCAACGAATTCTACCTTGATAAAACTTTGAGTGTTCTCATTACCCGTTTGCTGGATAATGTATTGATATTACAGGGATAAGTTACAAGTTACATCACTTCTAAGAGTTTAAGGCTTTAGGAAATTGCATCGCGTGCATACTATTTAACCACGAGTCAAATGAGGGAAACCAATGAAATTTATAAGTGTATGTAAGTAAAATATTTTACCTCTGACAACAATAACCCGAGAAAATTCGACTGAAATTAAAAGCCGCAAGAAAATTAAGATTACGATGGTTCATTTTAAATAATTTAACCTTATAAACAGCTATAATCAGTTGCAGAATGAAAATTGGTTTGTACCTGTTAAACTGTTATCCTCTGAATCCTTCTATTCTCCAAACGATGTCATTTGTTAATTCTACATACCTGAAAATATTAAGAATAATATTTTGCTTTATGACAATTTCGATGAAAACATGAAAGATTACATATCCACGAGTTTAAAAGATCTTAAGTCGTGTAATGCCCAGTTTCGTGATCAAAACTGCTCTTCTACTTCAAAAAAAATGTTGTGATGGTTTTTTTTTGGTGTTTTATATTCCTTTTATGATTATTACTTGTTTACATGTTTCTCCATGGCGATTAATTCATTTTGTAATTTAAATTTAGCTCTTTCTCTTTTAGTGCGAACCACTCGCAATCCCCAAAATCATTTTCTCCTCAGGGCAGGACATATTACACTCTGCCATAGCTGAATCAATAAGGATGAGTTATATTGTGCCAGTGCAATTTCTCTTCAAGTGATCAACTCGATAAATCCCTCGTTAAATTCGCTCTCTCGTGAGATATTGAGAATAGTAATCCTATATCTACAAGGTACCATGTATTATTTTGTTTATTTTGCAGACAACTTGAAAGACGACTTTATTCAGGAATGAGAATTTGCCATTTATTCACCAAACCTAATAAAGTGTCGCGAAAGGCGAGTGACGCGCAGTAACTGATTGGCGTCATCAATCAGCGTATTTTATATAATAAACATTTTTTTAAAGTCATGTTTCCATGAAAAAGCGTTACGATTTTCTCAAATTTTCACCATCACGACTTCATAAAGTTTCTAAAAATAATAACGGTAAGCTTATTTCTTATAAATAACTCCCGCCAATTCTGCACTTAATATTTTTGCAGTCAAAAGTGTAAGTGTCCGGTGAAATTCAGTGGCGCTCTAGATCTCATTCTGATACAATCAGTTTTGGAATAATAAAATATGTTCCTTCCTAATATGACAACGATGCTGATTCACAAAATCAAGATGGTTTTGTTCGTATGTAGTCCATACCTCAACTGTTTTCGTTCACTGACTTTCTCTCACATGTAAAGGAATTTAGTGTTACATCAAGATACTTCGCTATAAGTGATAACTTTCTCTGTTCTCAACGATCTTTAATTTCTTTGCTGGTTGTTGCATTTATATCTACGTACACTTTGTAATAACAAGTTGTACATATTCATCACCGGAGGGGGATACAAAGCTAAAGAAATCACACTAATAATAAGAATTGTTTATGTATATTTTTTATCCAATTTTCATGTCTTTCGATGATAATATGCTACACATTTCTTCATTATCTTTCCTCACCTGAAGAGTACTTGCGATAAATTTAACTCCAATAAAGTTCTTTTCCAAGAAAAATACTTGATTTCTCGTTGTATCTAGAGAAAAGCAAATGTAAATTTTTTCACGTATTGGAAAGAATTAAAGCGAATACCATGAGTACTCTTCTTAAAGAAATATGATAAATATGATATGATTTTAAATATTCAAATTCTTTCAAATCTATGTACTCCATGCATCTTTGTGTACAGAAACCCTCTGTGTATCTTACAGGAATTTTATGAATAAATTGTTACTGAACCAGTTGTCTTTGAGTTGGAAGAGAAATCTGAGGCCCTAGCTCTCTGTCTCTCTGAGCTCCAGAATTGTCTGCTGAGTTTGGATGCAATAAGCGAGGCCATAAATAATTGTATAATAGTTCATACAGACAAGTGACGCACTTCATACTGGAATCAGAAATGCCGCAGCTTCGTAGATCCCTCATGGGAAGATAAATGAGCTACCTCAAGGTCTGGTATGTTTATCTACATGTCAGCATTGATATTTTATCTGTCGTTTAACCTGATCTGACGAATAGGTTTTTTTTCGGTGGTCGGTTAAAAATGATTTTTTTCCTTTGTCACGAAAGAGCTTGAAATTTCATTTCTTTTATTATGTATTTAAGACATGAAAATTTCGACATTAATGATCTTAGCAGTATACAGGATGATCCACTGTATGTCATGGCTCATTAACGAGAAATCTGTAGCTATATGTGAGAACTTCAGATCGTAAAATCCGATGGTCTAAGATTCGATTCTGCGTTCGTGACGAGTAAATAAGATCGATATTTCCTTCATTCTTCTGTCTCATGTCTCAAATTATTTCTATCTGTATCTATAGTCAATACCCGTTTATCTCATACACTGCATTAGGTCGCTATTAACTTATTCTGTCCTCACCTTAACTCCTGTGAAAATGTGATTTGCCCCACAAGTGTGTAACAAAACGGTGCACTTGGTAACACGAGCAGTATTGAAGAAGCTGAATATGAGCTCATCGAACTCGAAACAGAAAATCGTGTGTCATTGTTTATTTCGTGATCCATGATTCTATTTTGTAGCTATGCTGTTTCACTATTTATACGCCAAGTTTGGACAGGGCCACATATTGCATTTTTTAACTTTTTATTTTCATTAATCCGGAGTATAGCAGAATGACATAAACATGCTATTTATTTATTTTTTTTTTTTTTTTGCTGATTTGATGGTCGTTAAACCATCGCCCGCTTAGGTTGATCGAAGGGCGCTGAACTGCCATACGAGAAGTCAAGAGCCAATGGGTGTGTGTGGGGTGCGGCATGCGGTGCAGTGGAGGGGAAGGGGGGGGGAGAGGGTCGTAAGGATATTACAGAGTCTTATAGGGGTGATCAGGCCCAGTTTATCATGAAAGAACCAAAACTCTCCTACCCCCACTCCCTCCCCCAGGTGATGAATAATGACCGGCCCCCATTTAGTTATTTATTTATTGTTTTTTTTTTAATTCTTTTATTACATTTATTTATTTATTAATTTTTTATTACTTTTTTTTACTAAGGAAGAATACCAGAATGAGTTATTTCACCTGGCATATCTAGAGAGTCTCCAATAGCGTTCTTCAATCCCGCAATCCCGACCAAAAAATTTTTTCTCAATCCCGTAATCCCGTCAGTTTACACTGGCCAATCCCGATCCCGATCATACAATTTTGTATAAGTCCATTTCCTAAACTTAGGCTCTCTGATTGCCCATAAAACCATTTTACATGAGCGTATGTAAACACGGTTTTCGTTCCTCTTTCATTAGTTATTTTATAAAAGAAATGTAAAATGGTTTCCGTATTTACATAGCCTGATGTAAACACGCGGGAGGTTGGGAGAACACTCGATAAGCTGGAAACCACTCCGCTTCGCGTCGTGGTTTCCTACGCTTATCTTGTGTTTTCCCAACCTCCCGCGTGTTTACATCAGGCTATGTAAACACGGAAACCATTTTACATTTCTTCATTATAGAACATTTGGTGTGCCTGACCTTTCCGATCAAGTTGCGACAAGTTGTTAGCAAAATATGGATTTTTATCAATACAAAATATATCGTGTACTATTTTAATTTTTTATCTCTCTTCTTTAATGATGTATTTTTGTTACAGGCAAAGAAAATTAAAGTATAAAGAACGATCCAAAATAAAACATGAGTATATTTCTATGCTACATGATAGTCTGAGTTGATTTGTACAAACTATAGTACTGAATGAACTTCACGCATTTTTTTTAAAAATAATTATCTTCTAAACGATGTTTTTTAATTTCTAACTGTTTGACGCATTTCTAAACTACACCATTTTTGGACCTCCCATCTGTTGCAGGTGCAGTTACCTGACAAATTCAGCTGAAAATCACACTTTTTTTTTTTTTTTTTTTTTTTTTTTTTTTGGGGGGGGGGGGGGGAAAGGGGGAGGTAAATATCTATAGTGCTGATATTGGGAAGTACCCTCCCAGACACATCTGAAATAGAAGAGAAGTATGTTATGTAAAATTCTTCTTTATTTCAATTGATTAGATAATACATCATTCATTACTTGAAATCTTGATTGACATACTGGAAATGACCCACACTACAGTACAAACCACCCCTCTAAGTTTAAAAAGAAAATTAACGTGCGTTAGAACTAGTCACAGAAGTGTTTGGTATGTATTGCTTACAGGTTTCAGGAGCCCAGTGAAAATAATATTCATTCAACGGCTCAGCTGCTCAAAACTTGCATGAAACAGTCAGCTTCAGAGGCTTAAAACAATTATGATAGACCAGCCTATGCAGACAAAACCACACCAAAATTGCAGTGGTATCTGAAGTAAAAAAATCTCCCCTTTAACATGCAAGAGTATTAGTTATAGATAAAATTAGACATGTTTTTTGTCTACATTTCCTCCCCAAAACTAAAGTGGATAGCTCCATATCTACCTATAGTACATCTGAACTTTTATATTACGTACCATTTTGTCTTAACCAGGGAAAAAATTGCCCATACTGTTATTTGCCACTCTAAATAAATAAGATGTCTAACTCAATTTCAGGGTTTCCTTTGGCAGAGTAGGAGAATGATGAAATTCTGGCTTTCAAAATGTATGAATTCTAGGAGAGGGAATAAAGATAGAAACTGTAAATCTTATGTTACCAAATGGAACTGTACATGTTGATGATACAGTCTTGCAGTAACACCTAGCCAGCTGGGTGTTCTACTTCATAAGAATGTCATCCTCACTGGCCTGCAGTTCTAAGGTGCATATAGGTATAACCAGATACCCCCTTATGCAAAACTTTGTGAATGACAGCACAGTTTTGAGTTTGGAAACATTTTGTCCAGTTCATCTTTCAAATTACATATAATTGTATACCCTTGTCAAAACATTAATCACAGCAGTATGTCTCAAATTGTTTTAACCAAATATTTTGTTTTACATTTTATGTCTGCAATGAAAACTCATATGGAAATCTTTTTTCCAACTAGTTTTGGAAAAATAAACCTTTTTCATATATTTAGTAACTACAATCCGAGACAAACTGCTGCTTAAAATAAAAAAACTTAATAAAATAAAAATAAAAAACTTAAAATACTCAATATCTATGGAACAAAATGTTTCCACGTCCTAATAACTAATTTAAACAAAATACATTTACTGGCATGTCCCAAAAGCCATACACATTTGGGAAAAAAACAATGCATTTTCACACTCTAGCAACTATTTTACAAGTAAGAAAAAAATCATTCTATACAACCTAATCAACAATACTTTTAAAAAAAACATCTTTGGATCCTGACTAAAATAATACACTCCAAAAATTATATACAGGATCTTAGGATGAACAACTCACAATCATGAAATCATTGTCCATTCCTAATCTTATGAAACATTTGACAGCTCCATAGCCAATCCAGCAACAATGTTGTCCATTTTAGGAGCTGACAAAAGGATTGACCTATAAAAGCAACACTTTTGACTAACAAACATGTGAAAATCACAAGTCATTAAAAAGGAACAAAAAGAAAATGAACAAGTATTCCTGTATATAGTGGATCCAGCACCAATTCTTCAAACTAAAAATTCCAATATTTCAAAAAAATCATCACTCTGAGCTATCTACAGTTACATACAGTGTACAACTACAAAAATAATCATTCCATGTTGTCCTTTATCTAAAACAATGTTTAAAGCTATCAACAGTACTATTATTTCATTGCAAGCATATAAATGAATTGACATACATATAACCAATACATGACACTCCATAACCGTATATTTCAAAAAGGCTACGAATATAATGCAATACAAAAGTCTGCACATGCATTTCCCTTTAATGTATATGTATAACTTAGAACTGAGCTGAAATCTCTTAATTTTACATGCAAAAAGCATATTTTTGGAAATAAACTGAGCAACAAAAATATTGTTAATATACATGCACATCTTCTCATGTATCATTATAAACATCAGCAGAAATAAAAGTATTTGTCAATGAAAATATTCTAGCTTTCTTCCAGGCAAACTAGGTACTTCACAGCTGAAAGAATTAACTGTAAGATTATTAAGACTGTATGTGGTGACAAAAAAGACCACAACTTTTATGTATCAAGTAGCCTTTATAAGCAAATCTTACATTCCTTTAGGATCAGTGATACTTGTCTTTAGGTGAAACCTCTGAGCTCAAACTCCAAAGTTTTCAGTTCCCTTAGATAATCAATCGAGAATTTTCTTTCTGTAAGAAATGAATTTTGAAGAATGTGAGTAAGTGAAGAATGCAAACTAATCTGCTAGTGTCTGATGATGCTGGCACAAAAGAGCATCAATGTAGATTTAACAGTAGCTGTGATATCTGTTGAAACCTGCAAGCAGGCTCTTGTTCAAGTATTACCACTATTGCATGGCAGCTACTTATAGAAAAGGAAACCCCTGATAACCATAAATAATTAAAATCAAGAGGAAAAACTAAGTATCTATCCAAAAATTATTGGTACCTTTTCCTTCTTGGATTTCTTGTCAGTGTCTATGTGACACTTGCACTGTACACACCAAGGGGAGGAGATGTTACTTTTCTTGGTTTCCTCTGTGACTTCATTCATACTTTGTGATTTGTCTGAATGTTTTGATGAGTCAGTGTTTGTTCTCTGCAACAATGAATAAAATCATGAGTTACAGTTGCTAACTTAACTCATGTCCAACACCATGTGCCCACCTCTTTTGGCCATTTAAAGAAAGAATTACAAAATGGTCCCCAGCAAAAAGTTATGAAATCATTGCCATTGATAGTAATTGCAAAATGGTAACCACCAATAAGTATATCCTATTTGTTTTAAGAGGTTCATGTAACATCTTAAGGCTTAATACTCAATTTGAACATATCTGATATAACTATGGTGAGACAGATAATATAGAAAAAAAGCAATAAAATGATATGTCCAGGGAAATACATCTGTCTATAAGAGAAGTTTTTTTTTTTCATATTTTTTAAATTAATTTCTCTATTGTGTACAACAAATCAATTCCATTAAGCACATGCTGTCTTTCCAGATGTACAAGTACATGTAAATAACACAAGACAGTTCTGTCAAAATCTTGTTGTACCATGTGCTCAGTTGAACCCTCACCATCCACTGTTTAGATCTATAGATTTTTTTTAAGTTATCTGTTCTCTTTATATTAACAGAGGCACAGCAAAATGCTATCCATCAGTTTATCTGAGATATAAACTGCACATGCACACATAGCCCCAGAGCTATCACCTATCATTCATTTCTTACCCTTCTTCCATCTCCAGTGGGTGTTTTGGTGGACATAATTGGTTCTGATCTGCGGTTCAGAAGCTTCTATGGTGACAAATCAGCAAAACAAATGTCAGTTTTTAAATTCAAACTTTGACTAAGAAAAGAGAGGCAGAAGAAGTTTCCATAAATAATGAATAACAAGGGAGCAGTCAGGACTCCACAGCCACAATAGTGTTAAATGCTCCACCCAAGTGCTGGACTTAACAATCAATTGTTTTTAAAGGCAAGATTAGCAACTGTAATTTTTTTTAGAGCTCATTTTCTCTCTCTCTTTCTCCATCTGTTTATGAAGGTGAAAGTGAATCAATCATTCCCCTTTTTTTTTTTAATTATGAACTCTTTACCTTAAAACACCTTCATATGAAAAGATAAAACATGTGTTCTGCTTAAAAGACTTAACAGTTCTGGTTCAAATTTCCCCCACCCCACCCAGGCAGGGTTCAAATTCCCCACCCCCAGCGTAGATGACAGTCAAATGCCTGTGGGTTGCTGGGGGAAAGGGAGGGATGTTCAAGCCTTGAATTGATCAGCACATTCCTCTCCAAGATCAAACACATACTACTCAGTTAGGGTTAGTTAGTTAGTTAGTTAGGGTTTCTCAAACAACATATAGCCAGTAGTCTCCAGTAAGTAATGTAGTTTAAGTGTTTACATGTAAGAAATGTAAATAATAAATTTTAGAAAAGTATTCCTCTGAGCCTTTTGGACACTATCAATTGCCATTTCCTATTCAAAATCATTCTAGTTATCCCTTTTGCAGAAGAGCATAATGTCAACATACATAATAACAGTGAAGCCCTGTGGTAGTAGAACAAGTTGTTAAGTTGACTGCAAAGGAAAGTTTATGAAATCATTTTACTTGTGGTTTTAAGTTCAACCCAGTTACCCAGAAGATAATGGACTTTGTGTTGACATAAACTTTCCTCTGCAGTCAACTGCCCTCAGTCATGAAAATATGCTGGCAGAGTGGCTGGATGTCTCTGGAACACAACCTTCACTTTCCGAGCCAATTGTTCTCTTCAACTGACAGAAAACAACAACCTTAAAGATACTCCAGCCAACAGCTCTCAGATAAACCCAAAATATTTACCTCAAAGTTAAGGGAAAAAAATCCTTCAAAAACCCGACAAAATCTTTCTACATGAGAGACTGAGTGACTTGAATTACCTGACGTTCCATTTTCCCATAGGATTGTCTTCTGTCCATACTTCCTTGTTGGAGCACATTTGACAACAGCTTTTCAACTCCTTCCACTTGTTCCTTCTGTGCTCTCTTCCATTTTTGTAATTTTTCTATTCGAATGACTTGATTTTTATCTAGATGCTGGTTATGAACAAACTCAATTTTGGAGAAAAGTGTCTTCTCCTGATCCCTTAGCTCTTTGGTAAAATCACAAAGCTGTCCAATACACTTAGCACTGTCCTCCCTGGGCTGTCCAACCTCACTAACTAACTTAATCAGAGCATCAAAGATGCCTTGACAAAGATTGCGCTGCTCTACACATGACTGTATCATCTGTTCCACACTTTCATCTTGCAAATGACACTTCTCCTGAGCTGAATCTTCAAATGAATCACATATAGGCTGGGCTACATCTACAGAGCAGTAATTACAGCCATCATTTGGATCACCATCCCCACAATCAAGTTTTACTTTCTTCAGTTTCTGCCTCAGTTCTTGAACTTCTGACGAAATACGTTTTAAACTCTCTTGCCTTCTTTGCTCTGTTGTTTTTGCCATTTCCTGTGCAGCTACAGCAACATTCTCCAAAAACCTTTTATTTCTAAGAATCTGCAAAGAGAACAATCAACTCTCTCTAAGAGGGCTGATTTAATCAAATAATTCTTTTTTCCCAGTAAGCTTTCAGCCCTCTTGTGCATAAACTAGATAAATTTTCATATACAAAGTTTGGCTAACCTGCAGATGGCTTAGAACATGGTTCTGTTAAACAACCCAAAACTTTGTTTAAATAAGTGGCCCCAATTGACTAACTAATCAATCAGTGTCCTTGTCCCTTCTAATTATTTTCAATACCATTTCACCATCACCAACAGGAACCTATTGTCCAAGCACAGTATGGAATTTTTTCTTTATCTGGGCTAGTTTCATTTTCCTAATAAAATATTTTTCCACATAAAATCCTCCTCTGCCCTGAATCTAGTTGAACATAATGACAAGGTGAACATAACTTAACTTGTAGGAAAAACATTAACTATAAATTTCTGCCATAATTTTCAATCTTTAAGGGATTTCTTTCAGCCTCTGAAGACTTAAACTTCAAATAACTTTAACATTTCATAATTCCCTTCATGATTTGAGCTCAAATCATAGCTACCAGTAAATAACTGACTTCATGTTAAAAATATAAATGTTAACCACACATATGTCAAAAGATATTCTGGTAAGTGCATGACTTGTAGTAAACTTTTCCACTCAAAACAGATATTACCTCTTCTGTATCCCAAAATTTGTCACTGCTGGTGAGAGCTTTCAGCATGAATTTGTTGCCTTGCGCATCTTCACACAGCATAAGCTGTAAAAAATACCACAAAAAAGGTTTAACGGTATTCTATCATGAGATTTGTAGACACATTTCCAAATCTGGCACCACTTTCTAATGGCGACCCTGTTGTCAGATCTCTTTATAACAAACCTATCTGTATTTGTTACAGCAGGGGTATACATCGTTAGTTTTTCTAGTGCAAATTCCAAAGTAGGGTTACTTTCACACAGAGCCTGTGATCTTAATCCAACTACTAACCTTATTGTCCAGTTCAGCATCAAAATCAAATCTGACTGTTAAACTGATGGAATGACCCTCGACAACTGATACACAAGTGTTTACTTCACTCCCTCCTGTAAAGAAAAATTTATCACAATAATAATCAACAGCTGTTTTGAATTTCAAACAAAAATTGGTGAAAATTCTAATCAGAAAAAAATAACTTGAAAAAAGAGGATCAAGAGGTTATTGATCTTGCACAGTAATTTTCAGTTTAGTTCTCCCTTTAAAATCAAAAGCCTTGCACTGTCCAACAAAGAGCGATGGATCTTATCAACCCTTTACACCCTAATATCATTATGCATATTCTCCACATTCTTTCTACATTTCCTAAGATGCTGACAAGGAGATTTTGTTTACTGATCAAACGCTTCTTTTGTTGGAAATCATTTCCTTCATTCTCATGACTTTAATGGGTGAATCAGGAGTGATAATGTAATTTTATTGTAGGGAGAAATTAGATGCGAGTCACTCTTAGGGTTTAAAGGGTTAAGAGGAAAACGTTTAGCACAACCTTACAATTTCATTTTCATGAAAAATGTTCCTTCAGCATCAAACTCAGTTGCATGTGAGAAACTATTCACCTTAAAAATTTCAAAACCTTTACACTGTAGCTACACGTACATGTATTATGCCCTTAGATATCATCATGACATGATTTAACCCTGTAACTCCCATGAATGACTAGGAAAGAATTTCTCCTTACAATATTGATACAATGTCAACCAGTTAAGTGACGAGAATAAAGAAAAATGTCAATTTGGGGATAATTAGTTGATCCAATATTAAATTCTCTGAACTAACATCATAAGAATTGTATGGTTGACAGTAAGGAGAATGACAAATTTGATCTGGGGGTTAAAGGGTTAAGTGTATTGCCAATGTTTTTTGATTCTCACAATGATCCATTTAAGGTACAAACAATGAAAATTTTACAAGCCTTTACATAACTCAGGATAATTACATTAACAAAGTAAAAACAGACATTATCATACATGCATCTACAACCCATTTATCTTGCAAAAGACACACACTAATCTTACACAGGATACCCACTCACCAAGCAGTTTTTCTGCAATGCTTTTTCTTCCAATACTCTCCAAAGCATCAGCAAGAATTCCAGCCATTGCACCTTTTCCTTCTTTCTGTTCCCAAATAAGAAGAAGGGCATTGGCTTTGTCTCGATTAAATTTGTACTCTTCATCCAGATTTTGAATCTTAGCTGCTGCAATGTCAAGTTTAGGTCCTAACTGACGCCAACAAGTTCCTACATCTTCGCTTATTTCTGCCAGCTTTAATTCTGTTACCACAGATTTCCTTGGGTCAATTGCGTCTCCTGTTAACAATTAAATAACAATGATTCATTACACTTTTGGCATTAGCTGGGACATGTTGATTCCACTAATAAGGTAATTCTTGGTTTTATAGGTGAAAGACTCATTGTAAATTCTCATTTGACCTTTTAACCCCTAAAAATGACTAACATCTAATTTCTCCTTACAATATCACCCCTGAATCAAACATTAAGGTCACAAGAATAAAGGAAATGATCACCAATGAAAGAAGCTCTTGATTGTTAAACAAATTCTCCTTGTCAATACCTTAGGAAATGTATAGAGAGCAGTGCAGAGAATATGCATGGTGATGTTAAGGTGAAAAGGGTTAAGAAATAAAAAAATTTTCCTCTTTTGCAACTTTGTTTTCATTGACAAAGCTAGTCAGTATGCTCTATGCATTAAATTGTTTTCAATTTCTCTTTGAAGATCAGATAAATCACAGACTTCTGTTCCAGAGACTATCTATACATAACTTTTATTTGTGTTTGAATTGACTCAATTCACAGCATGAACTGGATATCCTCATACCCTTACTATACCCTCATTTACTTTCATTTCCCACTTAGCAGCTACTTAGAAGTAATCACTGATCTCTCAATGGTGCTCTGACTTTCCCAACTGTCCAAAAAAACTGGTTGTTAAACCAGAAAAACAAAAAAGATGATGGCGTGTATGATAAGCTAATTTCCGCTATCTTTGAATGAATTGACGTCACATAAGATCTGTGGTTACCAATTTGTCTGAGGGAACAAAAATCACCAATCAGAGGTTACAGACGTTTGACAGCACTTAATTTTAACAGCCGGGTGGATTCCCGTAGCAAATTTGGCATTTCCTTTCGAATCACAACTTTGTTTCTTCATTTCCTTAGCAACAAATGAATGAAGTCTAACGCTGTATGATCTCAGTACACCGGTTTCATCAAAAATGTGTGAATGAGAATAAACAAATTCACGCATCTTCCGTCTGATTACATATTTAAATGGTAACCAAATATCTAAAACGCTTTGTTTGACACTTCCTTGCTAAACCATTTGGAAGCAAAACAATTAAGAGCAAAGATAAATGATTTTAAGATGGTAGAATACCTCAAACACAAACAGCTTAAAGTGCAAAACATTAAAAATGAACCTCATCTTTTCAATAAAAATTCCGGAATTGTTATTTTAAGGGCAAAAAGCACAGGATGACGTTACTAAAATATCGGGCGTTCAAGTCAAAACAAATAGAGAGTCTATTGATCACATATATTAGTAGGCTTATCGCTCGCATTTGCCCACAGATTAAACCCCTACCGTAATAGAGTGATATGCAATTAAGGACTAAACAAAAACAAATAACTAGATATATTGAGCATATTTGTGGAGCTTACCTGTTCCTTCAACCCCATCGTGAATCGCACGTCGGTTCATCATCTCATCAGCTTTGGCTTCCTCATCGATCTTGTTTACATCGCCGACTGGATGTGCTGCAACACAAATATCCTCAGGATCTTCTGGTTCTAAACTTTGTCGACAGTAAGGACACACCGAATGACTTTCCAAATGTTCTTGAGGCGAAGATAATGAAATTTTACTGTTCAAGTTTAATTGCGTTTCGGTTCCAAACGTGAAGCTCTGCAACGTAGCCGCATAGCCAGATTCCATGTTTTGAACATCCATTTTGCTCCCAAACACCTGAGCCCCGCCATCCTCTTCGCCTTCTAGGGCGTATGCAAACTGAGAGTCGATGAAAGCGTCCATGTTGTCAAGCGGACCGAACCTTTCGAAGACTTCATCGAAATCGAAGTCGGAGTTAGCTTCTGGCGGAGTTGGGGAAGCCATCTTTAATTTTTCTTCGCACGCACGAAACGAGTAGATCGTTCTTTCGGCTTCCTCCCTGACTTAAGTGAAATTTGATTAACAACACTTATAATTCAATCAAAAGACCGTGATTTTTTGCAGAAAGTCAAATGACAGACCAACTGTCGCGCTCACACTATTGTAGCTAGGTGAAACATCACGCAGCTTTGAAATTCGTATTCAGCACAAGTTGTTTACTAAGATGCTACAAACACGGAAATGCCAAATCCTAAACACGCGTACTAAAATCCCAGTGCCCAACAAATCCGCCCCCACTTCATTTGAAAACTACGGGCAGATATATTTCATCGTGCCAGCTCTTCTCACTGTTCAAAGCTACAGTCTGCAAAATGAAAGATACGGTACATTGAATGAATGGGGTGAGTCATCGCTTTATATAGCCACCAATCAGGTGAGTGCTTGTGGACGAGCCCGAACACAGATCGGAGTTCCCGCGCAACACGTCAACCTAAACAAAACAAATGAAATACTCAATATCAAGTACTTGGAGGCAAGGTGAGGTGACCACGCTTTGGAAACATTTATAGAAAATTAGGGAAAAGGAAAAAAAAAAACAACCACCATAGCAATTAAAGAGAGAGCATCGACAACAGAACTTTAAAATTACCGAGATAAGAGAGTCTGTTGTAGAAAGATTCAGCAGCTCACTTCATGATCTTCTGTGTATGTAACGATTTGTAGGAATGAGAAACACACGCAAAAAATGCCGAAAATTTAAAATTTTGCAAGGCTCAGACAAACGCGCCTACACAATGAAATGTAAGTGATATTGCGTGAAACTCGTGATAGCACTGACAGATCATTATTTTGGTGGTAAGATTAACATAAGAATTATATATAGGTATCTATAATTATATCAAAATTGAAGTTCAAATATCAAATCAAAACCGCAACATAGACATGGATCATACGTACAGCCGTTGTCTCTCAGCTGTTTCTTCGGTGCAGGTCTGCGGTTCCGTAATGATATGTATAGCTTAACTTCGGTAGGTTGGGGTGGGGTGGGGTGAGCGTAGAGGCGGAATATGCGAAAGTTCCTCGTTGCATCCAATGTTTACCTATAATTGTGGTCAAGTTTCTCTTCAAAGAAAAGAAATAATGATGATGATAAAACAAACAACATAGAATGGAAAATTAAAAAGAAAAATTAAGTGACCCTAGAAGTCGCTGTTCAGTGATTCGCAATACGATTTTTTTAGAAAACTGCGGCAAAATTTAAGTGTTAATCACTTGTCATAAACTGGCTTTGAAAATTTTCAAATATCGCCTTTACGGCTTCCGAAAAAACAAAAAAAACCAAGCAAACATCGGACAAAGAGGAAACCGATTTAAAGGTGCTTTGTAATGGAGTTTAAAGAGATTATTTATTCAAGTGGTCAATCCAATAAAAGGGAAAGAAACCAAAACATTAGGTAAGTTCGATGGAGTCGTAAATCTTCCCGAGTCCTCACCTACTACCTCATCACGCCTTACCACCCCCAGCAGTCGACCACCCCTCCCCCGCTTCCCGCCGCCGCCTCTGCCTTGTGTCTAGACTGAGTCCAGACTTGGTCCAAATGGATCGTGTTCTTTGCCCGATGAGACTAGTGATATCTGAAAAATGTGTAAATTTGGAAAAACAGACTATTAGCTATGGAAAATATTTCCTTGAGAGAATGCATAATACCAGTGCGTAGTCCAAGCGCAGGTACCTGCTAATATTGGTGGTTCGGCACTGACAAGGCATCGACAACTAAAATAAAAATATTGAATGCGTAACGGCAAGAATTTCAGACATTGTGAAATATTGATAAACAAACAACCAGCCTAAATCGGAAACAAATGCGGTTTTTCCACAGTACGTGCCAAAATCTCCAACATACATTTACAACATTAACATGCACTCAATACAGGACGGTAAATATGTGGTCTTCCGAGGGGCACAAATAAGGCGGCCGGAAGATTATGTGCAAACATCTTCCAGTTACGGTAAAAAAAGTGATTAGTTAAGCATCAGAACTTGAACAAGTAGCTTTTATACTTAACGCATTTTTTTATTCTTCAAAAGCTCAAGAGACAAACTTTTACGCTGGCCAAAAAATCTTAAAATAATTTTACATGCGTGGCATTCTCAGCCGGCATTTTAGAGTTGCGTGAAAAACGTAGTAAAAAAATTTGAAACAGTTCTACTCTCGAAATGGAAAACACCATAACAAAAAAAAACGTGCGAAAAAGTCAAATTTTAAGGGATGTTGGCCGCTGGAGTTTAAAAACTGATGACGTCTTTCGAATTCCCTATAGGGTGAGGATACAAGGCTCGATCACATAACAGACCCTACGCTAAATCAAACTTTAAGAAATTCAGAGCAAACATATTTTATCGATATACCTAATGTGCTATTTTCAAGGTTTCATTGGAGTAGATGATCTCATGCTGTAGCGATAAATAAGCCAAAACGCAGGGTTGTTAAAATAATGGATATTATATACAATTTACAATGTTTTCACATTTGAAAGTCCTATAAGTATAGTACAAGTATATTATTCTTACGCGTGAATTCAATGGATCCCGAAAAAAGGATACCTTTTAACTTTTACAAATATGTATTTATCTACAACTGTTATAAAAGCCCAAATTTTCATTTCAGAAAATTCGATGATCTACAAATCTTGTAAAGTTCCCATGCTATATATGAAAAACTAATTGCAATTTCAAAATGTCAAAAATTTTAATTGATAGATTCTTCAAATATGGAATTAGCCTCCTTTCATACCATGCATTGATGCTTTTGACTAAAGATATGTTCCGCGCGTCAGCCAGAAGCTGAAGAGAATCAAGGTATCAGTGTTAAACCATACAATTTCTAGTTTTAGTTTCTCTCGTAGTAAGTCGTTTTGCTGATCAGTCATAACGTCTTTGTACTGCTGTGAAGGCCGTAAGTTAGATAACTTACTGGGTTAATTACGTCACCTTCGTTAAATAAAGAATATTGTAATGTATTGTAGAATGGGAAAGATAACTTTGACAAAAGTAAGCGCATAAAGAGTGGAAGCGTCACTGCCTGTTAAAAGTGAAAACGGGGCTCTGGAGAAGTTACCCGCGTTTGATTTGGCTGGTGATAATGTCGTGCTAGAAGTTTCTCTTTTTGAGAGATGGGAATTTGTCACAAAATAGTCTTTTGCGATAAGCCTCGACTTGAAGGGTTCGACCCAGTTTTCCTGGCGCGCTCGACAGCTCAGGCAACGGAAGTCGTGTCCAGGTTATCCCGTATGCTTCTAAGTCCTCATTTCTCGACGGGATGTGTTTGTTGCGAGAATCTTCATCATGTTTAAACCTGCTCTGGCTAAAATACGATAACTACGTATATCTACGCCATTTTAGCTCTCCTCTAAGATCTAGGAACTGCTACAATAAGACTTTGTAAGCGACGACAAGCTGGTTAAATTTTTGTTAACTACTCGTTCAATTTAAACGGAACCCCTGGGGGTCTTTTACAGAGTAGGACACCAGGCGACATGAGTTATGTTGACTTCCTATTCTTTTGAAAGGGTTCTTCAACTTTGTCCCCTTGAACTGCAAGGAAAAAAAAAGGATCACTTTTCATGAGAATTAAAATTTTGGCAGAAAAACAATAGAGGACTGGGAAGTTAGCGCATGCCCATAAGTCACAGCTCAGTGGCCCTGGTAATGTGTTAGGGCCTTACTCACTGGATTTGGGATACACCCTTCATGTGTTTCGTCGTCGCTTGTTGTAGCTGCCGTTGTGCTTGTGTTCTGTTCACGTGGATATGAATGGTATCGTTGCAAGTTCTAAGTATCAGAGGAAAAAGTCTAACATTACTTAAAATTTTAATGGTCTTCTCCCTTTTCTAGTTAGACATTCTTCATACGCTATAGCCTACGTGTGGCCTTACCTTTCCCCCATAAGGCTTTACCTTTGGGGGGGGGAGGTACGGCTACACGTAAGCTTCATACGCTAATCCAGATATTCAAAGAATTGGGTTCACAATTCAGTATGTGTTGTAACTTTTAACTCTTTTAACCCTTTCATCCCCAGGATCTCATTGGTAATTCTCCTTGGCGTCTGTCATACAATTACTACGATGTTGTTTGGGAGAATTTGGTATCGGATCAACTGAAAATCCTTTAATTGATAATTTCTTCATTCTCGTCACTTACCTGCTTGATATTGCATTGACATTGTAAGGAGAAATTATGTCTTGGTTACTCATGGGTGTTAAAGGGATAAGGGAAAGTTGAGGGGATACATGATAACTAAATTCTAACATCTTTCGCTTCTTCCTTTCTTGCTATTATAAGTTCAATGGTGTAGCCTCCTTTGTAACTCCTTTTTAAGTAAAAGGAAAACTGGTGAGAACTGCTTGACACAGTGACGACACTCCTTTTGAAAAAGCCTGGCTGAAGTTTTATTCAGTGTTTGCCGTCGTTTTTCCATGATCTCTCTCGTGATCACTGATAAATTAATTCTTGTAACAAAACGTATTTTAGTAAGGAAGCTCAGGTAGTAATTCTGCCTCGAGGTTTCTTAAAGTTTCCAAACCATTTTGCCACTTTTTTGTTCTCAGTAGATCTGTAATTAAACTTTGAGTGGCATTTCAAGGTAAATATGAAAATAAACAGACAAACAAACCAATTAATAAAAAAATTTAAAAAAAAAAACCCAGTGTCCTTTGGCTTGTCTGCGAATAAAAATGGTCATTGTTGACGTGGCAAACTGCTCGGGGACGACGGAAACGAAAAAGACGGAGGAAAGGTTCTTCGGAGTAAGGTACGAGTAAACATGAGAAGGTAAAGTGATTCGCTGCTAAACCTATCTCACCTTTTCAGAGTCAGCAGAACATCCACTTGCTCCATAGGGTTCAGAGCATGTTACTTTTGGACGACTCTCATACTGAAGTTTAAAGAAGACACACAAATAATTTCTTTTCACAAATGTGAATCATTTTATGCGCCAGAGTTTTAGTTTCTGATTTCATCGTGAGTGCACAACTTATTTGTGATCACAATGTCAGTGTTCGAATTTTCGGTCGCGAACTTACCCAAGTCTATGTATGCCTGGTAGCTGTACATTCCCTAATTTCTATGCTTTTTCGTTCACCTATCCTATCAGCTTATTCCTTTGTTTCTTTGGTGATCGTTTCTTTGTTTGTTTTTTTGCTGGTTTATTTGCTATAAACAAGTAAAGGACGTTACTGAGTCATAAAGAGAAAACATGCAAAACTGTTGATGCCATTCCTACGATCTTTTTGGTCCGTTGAAAATTTAGAGAGACGTCCATCGTGCGGCGACAGTTCAGAGCACTGAAGAAGAAATAGAAAGTTGTGTAGATTCGACCCCTGTTTGGAGATCTCAGGATTTCTTTCTTTCTAACATGAGTGATGTGAGCTATTTGAGAAACATGATTTTCATATTTTAAACAAATCGTGTATCCCTACCGGTAAGAACAGACTTCTCCACAGATTCTCCAATCTATCAACCAGCCTTTGTCGGTTACTCTGGAGCTCTCTCAGTTTAGAAAGTTCGCTTTGCTCCTCGCCTGTCATTTCTTTTTCGACTGATGTTAACTCCTCCACTCGGTGCATCAAATCGTTGTGCTCAGCTCGTAGACCATGATACGCGAAGTCATAAAATTCGCGTTTCACATCCTCGCTGCATTTGCAGGACTTGGTAACCATGGACAGAGTGGTGCTGTATAACTCTTGCAGCGTCATACTCAGTCTGATCAGTAGGTCTACCATGACAGAAGTCTTAAGTTTGTCCTCTTTTACTTCTGGAACTTGCAGCGGAGATATCACGCGCTCGATGAGTTGTTCATTGAGAAGCCTTAGCTGAACAACGATCCCTTGTTCTGTATTAGTCTCATCTCTGGTGTTTTGTGATTCCTCCTCTCGTGGTGAATCCAAACCAGTTTTGACATCCTACGAAGAAAACAGAAAGCGATGTTAGACGCCCATTTTCAGTGAGGGAATGGTGGTGCACAATATCATTACCGAAACTTGCAGCGGAGATATCACGCCCTCGTAGAGTCGTTCACTGAGAAGCCTCAACTGAACAGCGATCTCTCGTTCTTTATTAGTCTGATCTCTACTGTGATATTAAACGTCCATTTTTAATGAAGGAATGGTGGTGCACAGAAATCATTCTAAGGGGTAAATCTTAAAATAGAAAAGAAGTAAGGTCCACCACTACTTTTGTTAAAAGGAAGTGAAAGTTTTTACTATAAAGGGGGCGGCTTTTATCTATCGCAGGAGGGGGGTGGGGGTGTCTCATGATAAAATTTTCCTGATCCACCCTTTAGGCTCTGTGATATTCTTATTACCCTTCCTTTCTAACAGTTGATTTTCTATACCCCCCTTTAATCTCTGTTGGTGATAAGTGGTCCCCCCTCCATTCCCCTAAAAACCACGTGCTCCCCGACAATCCTCAACTCCCCCCTCCCCTCCCCCCTTCCCGGCTATAACTGAGGACTGGTTCCCAAGACAGCCTGACATGCCTTCAAATGCCAATAAGACATAATGTAGGACCGACCGCCAACTGAAAAATCCTGCTGGCGTCCATGCCGAAGTAAATGATATTATGTTACCCTCAGAGTTAATTCTATAAACACCTAGTGACCCTAGTAGCCTCTAAATCATTTTCCTACCTGTTTAGAACTCTCGGCTTGGATCTTCTGTTTGAAATCTCGCAGTTCCTTTACCAGTTCTGAGTTTACCTCTTGCATTTTCTGGCACTGTGTCATAAAAGCAAACAATTAGCTTTGAGTAAAGAGATTCATTCACTTGCTTTTTGTAAGAATTATACAGGCAAATTAGCCCAACTGGCGAGCACATCACGGCAAGTTGCGGAGCAGCTTTCTGATTAATCCACATTCTTCTCGCATCCCTCGGGTGCCCTTAGACCATCCCGCCTGGCTACGTCAGAGGCTACGTTGTTCAATGAAGTCAGGTATTAATAGCAAATTCAATTTCATCGTGAGCCTGGACGTTGTCTGCACTGTTTACCTTTTACCTTTTACCTCCTTTATTTTGACTCTCGTTTCAGCCATTCAGTGAATAGATATAGTCCAGAAGTCCTGGAGATAAACGGCGATCGCATAAGATACGTGATTTCATTAAAACTCACTCGTTCTTCGAGGATTTGCTTTTCCTGTGTCGTCACTGCAAGTTTTTCTTCTAATTCTTTCATTTTTGCCTTCACTTTGGAACTCTTTAGAAAAATACAAACAGAAATGGATTTTCAGTTAATTCGCTCACTCTCCAAAAGCTTAACAGTCAATTAAGAATTATTTCGCCACCTCCTCCTCCAATTGCTTCGCGTTTGCTTGTATTTCAATTATTTTCTTCTGCAATTTGTCAACCTGAAATAAAGAACGATACACAGGTTTAGCTAGTTTGAATAAGCTACTTTTTGCCAACTTTCAATTTCAACATTCAATTTAGCCTCGCGTACAAATGTGCGGATAAACCGGGTGGGTGTCGAAAGGAGAACTTGAAATTTAGCGGCTCCGAACCCTTTATTTTCAACAAATACCTTCAAACTCTCCTTAAAGACAGGTTTTGCGCACGTCTGTATGCCAGGTTGCATTGTTTCGGTTTAAGCCTACCGATGGTATTGTGGTATAGATTCGGTCAAATATTCAGGAAGCTTACACTTTTTATCCAATTTTATTTAATTTTAAGGACTTATTTCTATAATTTTAAGGACTTACTTGGCCTCGATCGTCTGATCCAACTACATCCACTTCGACACACAATGCGTGATCTACGAAAAAGTATTACATGCATTGAGGAAATTTTGCCATGAGATTTTAACTGAGCTTAAATTGACTTAAATCGCATTGATTGTCTTCTGCCGCTTTTTGCATCTCTATTAACGACATTGTCCAAAAATTAGAGAGTTTGTAAGTCGGCTCCACGCAAATTTTTAAAAAACCTTCTGGCGCGGGATCAAAACGGCGCAATCCCGATCGAGTAGTCAAGGGGGTGCCTATCTTGCCTGCTTGGGTAGCCAATCAGCACATAGGTTCACTTCATCTTGCCTACGGGCGTAACCACCTATATAATAAATTGTCTTATGCCTTTTCACGGTCTCCTACCTTTTAGTAATCGGGAGAGATTCTTCAGTTCTATTTCCGTTAAAACTTGTGCAAGCCTTTCGACAGTGGCACCCTCTGCTTCTCGTTCCATCCATCGTACAAGGACAGTGATGCAACATTCCTTTGGAATGTTATTTTCCTCAGTTTGAATTGCATTAACGACGGATTCAATGTAGCCCAGTTTTCTTGCTAAGTCCTTCCACTTGTCTCCAATTTTCTCAGGCAGTCGCAGTGTATGGATGACGGACTCGGTTAACTGATGTTTTGCATCGATCGCGTCGATGAAACAATCTGTAGCGACATCAAAAGTCAGAGATATTAACAATTTCTGAGTGATATTATTCCGGCGAAGAGTGTTCAATGAAATAATAATGGGACTTCATGCGATGAAAAATTGTGCATCTAGTGGATAAACATCAGCTTGGGACACTGATTGTCGACCTCGGCTGGAGGATAGTTTATTCAACAGAGGGAATGAGTTAACTTTCTACATTTGTGCTGCTAAGATGCGAAGTCATTTACGCATGACCAAGGCCTACGAAAGCGAAAAGAGGCTAAATATAGAAGCAGTCAGAGGAAGTTTTATAAACAGATTGTTACAGTCACCGTGAAACGCTATTATTGCAAATATAATAGAATGATAACTGTAGAAAACTGCATGATTACTTGTATATTCATTTTGACTTCATGCTCAAATGACCTGATACACAACAAGTACATCCAACTTGCCACTGCAAATTGGAGTTTCAGAGTCGGGGTTTTTCCCTCTGCTTGACGCCGAGTCTTATACACAAGAAAAAGCCTCGCGAAAGGGAAAAGAGGCCAAATATGGATATCACGTGCCTGAACAGCCCGAAGGTGTATTATCAACAGTTAGAGACCGGTTGTTAATCATTGTCTGGGGGGGGGAGGGGTGGAAGGATTTTGTCTGTGTAAAATTAATGATATCCCCCGTTATTGACAGCTAGTTGGCAGTCAATTTTTTAACTGTCCCCCTCTATACTCTGCTAGCGACAACTGATTCCCCCCTCCGTTCTCCCCCTAAAAAAAATAACGTGATCCCCAAATCAATTTTTCCACACCCCCTCCCCACTAAAGACCTAAAAGTCGCGAAATCTCTCACAGATTGTTATGGTCTAATAATACAAGATTGGGACTGTGTCACGCAATCATTGCAAATGTGATAAGGTAATAACTGAAGAAAACTGCATGATTACTTGTATGTTCATTTCATTTCACGGTCAAGTGACCTGGTGTACAACAATTACATCATTCTTGCCGCTGCAACTTGGAATTTCGGAGCCTGAATTTTCCATACAATATTTTGCAAGTTATGCAATACTAGTAATTGCAAGTCGATGTTGTTGAATAACTATGCGAAAGTTACGAGGAAAAACTTTATAAAAGGTTGTTTCACCGGCAAGTTCAACATCAAGGACATGTTTGGCAAAAAACTTAAAAAGATTCGCACACAATTCTTAAAAAAATTTGAGTTCAGAAATTTAAATCTTGGACTTCACTAGTAATGCGCGCTCAGGCGAAAAAATCAAACACGCAAGCAAATAAAAGAGGAAACAAAAACATTAATCTGATAGGAAGGTGGACTAGAATTAAAATGTCAGATTCCCATTTGACTAAGTTTTAAGATTAAATATCTCTAATGAAATCCCTTAGCTAAAGATTAACTAGTGATCGTGCCGTGAAGGAGAGGACTATTCGCCACCCGGAAATTCATCGATATAGCGACCTCTCATAAGCGAAGTCTGTAATAAATATAATTTTCCAGCACTTACCCATCTCTGAATTTCGGTTACGATTTAGGTATGCTCAGAGATATCAGCTGTCTCTTCTATTCCTAGGAGTCGAAAAACAATTGCACGATCAGAAAACTCAGTGAAGACTCGGTTAAGTCAAAAACGTAATCATTACTGTTCGTGATTATTATATTATTATACGATTATTATACGCTTGCGGTATGGTAGGTGGCTATCCCCGAGAAGGAAGAGGAAACAAAACGAAACATGAAACATAAGATTTTGTCAATGACTGCTTAAAAAATGGAATCACAGAGAATCTTTTTCGGCTGTCTTCTATGACTGAACGAAGTGCGTCTACTTAACTTACGGTATGCAATGATGTCTTCAAACCTGAAGGAACCGATAACCAAGAGCCGAGGTTGTTCAGTTGAGAAATAGGCAGATGGTTTATCTTGGAATTAACCAGGTCCCGTAAAGGAGTCGATTGCACATCATAAATGTAATTAAGCAAATTCCTCAAGACTCGCCGCGCTTTATTTCCTTGTTCCGCTTCGTCGGTAAGCTTATGATCGCATACCTCGTGAAAACATTCAAGGTGATGTTTGTTGAAACATCAAAAATGTCAAAGGTCACTCGTTTCAGCGCGTTACAGAGTGATACAAATCAAAACAGACTGAGACGAATACCTGGTGAGGCGCGCTTTACCTACGTATCTGTCGCGCTTTCTTCCCAAATGATCAAAATAAAAGTTTGCGATAGGTTCATTAAAGAATAAGACATAACATATAGCGAAATAATATAAAAAAAAAATTTACCTAGACCAACGAGAATTGGTCGAGACCTCCTCAGCCATAAGAAATATTTCTTCACCAATATTCGAACTAATTGGATTTGTCCTTTTGGGCAGATAAGGATTGATCGATGGACACTAGACTTTCACTCTCGGGCGGAAACTGCCGCGAGGGAGGGAAGTAATTCGATCCAATTATAGAGTCAAAATCATAGGATCTTTCAAGGTTTTGCCATGACATGCAAAAAGCTTCGCGCAGCAAGTTTTTTAAGGCAGTGCATGTTTCTCCATTCTGAAAATGGTGTGATTTACATTGTCGTGTTTCAAGTCGCGTGACAAGAATGACGACCGCGAAGTTTAGACACGTCATGAATGTTATGAAAGTGGGTTTTCATGAACAAATTTAATCTCTCCCTTTCTGGTGTCGTATGTTTGTTTACGGAACCAATTTCCATTCTTCGGATACAAATTAATTCGTTTCTTTTCGGCAATGAACTTGTTATGGATTGACCAAACAAAAATTAAAGTCAATCATCTTTACTAAGGAAAAGAAAAAACGGATTTCCTTATAAAAGGCTTTTTAGAGGGACACAAAGCATTAAACTTTTAATATTTTATATAATTAGCAGCTGGTTAAAAGATAAAATATATTTACCTGAGGTTTCGTTTTCGAAATAAATGTTTAATGAGGTTTCCTATGTTTCACTTTCACCTCAAAGCCGCGGATAGGTTCCCACCACACCAAGGGGGTTTCCCCGTTGCCGAGGGGTTTCCCCTCATATTTCTATCTACTCACTTATCACCTTTCGTTTTTTACATGATTTTCCTCACGGATAGGTGAACTCAGGAACTGATGAGGTTGGCAACAATTCAGGTTTTCTAGCCCATGATGATGTAACACCTTCGATACTGAATATTGCGTGCACCAAGAAAAAATGTCTGTCGTTTCTTCTTCATCAGTTATGGCACACAATGCTCCTTCACGGCTGTGACATTGTAACTCTGCTAAAAAAAACAACAAACAAAAAAAGCAGCAATTATCTGCAAATCTGAATCAGTATGAATTTGAATCTCGTGAAGAGCAATTTCGCTCTTGTTTGAATTCAATCCTAGCTTATTACAAGCGTTCAGTAAGTAAACGAGACGAGTTGGAAACGCAGAGCGAAAGAATGAAGAATACTTGGCTTGAGACGGTCAAATCGCGCCCCTGTTACTTATTGAAGGAAAGGAGCAAACTTCTCTGATCTAATCTGTAAACTGAATTCTAATAAATACAGGTTAACGATCAATCGCCTTGACTGACGGATAATTCATCACTCGTGATATTGCATTGCCACCCAATAGTTTAGAAGACCCCCTTAGGCAGGAGACACCCCTGGCGATTTTATCATGTTTATTCGCCGATCGCGGCGATTAAATTCGCCAATATCTGACATGTCAAAAAACGTCGATTTTATGCGCCGATCGCGACGATCAGCAAAAATGGCAAGCGCCACACTGGACACAACTGGCGATTTTAAGTCGCCAGGCAGGTGGTTCGCTAGCTTTCGTACGACATTCGGTAGCATGTCTTTCAGCAACCGGCTTCCCACCCCCTCCTCCCTGCTCCTAATTTTTTGCACCCCTTCGCCCTTCGCTTTCGTGTAAGTCTCACTTTGCTAAAAGAAAACGGAAACGATTGTTCTCATCGACAAATCCCTGTTGCGCGCGCCACCATTTTCTTTTCTACAAAGTTACCCGTCAATCGTCTTTGCACCCTTGTGTTACGATTCACATGCTGATCGTCTGTCAGCACCTGTGTCTGATTACTATTGTCACTTTGGGTCAAATAAACATCACGTAGAAAAAAAAAATCCAAAGTAACAAGAAGCATTTATTGCGGCAATAACGTTTTGCTTCTCTAAACCCTTTTTCACGAGCTTCGCTGAAAGCAGTGAGAACTCTTTTGTGCAATAGCATCAACAAGTAACTTCTAAGGTAAGAAGAAATAATCATAACTGTGATGAACTAAAATGTCCGTGAGTATTTCAAACTATTTAGCTGCCATTGTGCAGTTCAAGGTGCACGTTAGTCTTGGTCCACAAACACAGGTAATATTTAACTTACTGGAACAGTTCGTTTCTGCTAGATTTGTGCGAAATGTTCACAGTTCAACAAAATCTAGACGTGGATAAGTTGGTTGGTAGGTGGCATTAATTTTCGACCAGAAAAAGCACGAAAACTTCGAATTCCACCGAAATAGTATAGAAAGAACGCAATCTAATTTTTAATGCTTCTTAGATAACACTTGTATTCTTTGATTTAAAAAATAGCGAGAAACTACACCACTAAATGAAGAGAGGGTTTTTAACATCTCCCGATTTGCGTGCGGTTATTATTATAGAAAATGCCCTGGTAATTCGACATCTATGTGAACACAACATACGTGTCATCGTACTATGTTCAAAAGTAATAATATCCGTAAGTGTTCATGGTCTGCCTTTCGGAGACATCCTATACCATAACTGCATCAGGTCTAAACTAATTGAAGAAAGTAAGTATTCTCCAGGTAGCATATGTTATTGCCATGGCGTCTAAGAAAAGTTATCTTTGTCTTACATATTCCACCCGGAATGAATGTGCTGGATACAGGGAATTCTTTGTTCTAATTTGCCAACCGAGTAAGCGACAAAGAACTGACTTGCTTGCTCGGTTTACCCGAGCCGTTCTGTACGTTCTAGCAAAAACTCAAGGACTTCGGTGTATTCTTTTGGCTGAAATCAATCCTTGAATGAAAAATAGTGTTCTATTTAGACGATCTCTTTCCATTCAGAGTGTTTTTATTGTCTTCGATCTCGTTTCTACCAAAACAAACGAAAAGAAATGTGGCTGATTTCCAGTCATCTTGACCTCACGCCTGGTTCTATCATCAGTTCGGTTCTTTCATTCATAACAAATGTTGGTCGTTAGTTGGATTAATTAGAGCTTCTGTAAACTTTCGAAGAGATTATTCTTTATGACCCTTCTTTTTTTAAATTTTTTCGTCAAACCAAGATCGTCATTTGCCATCCACCCTCAATGTTTTCCTTGGATCTCTATTCCAGCTCATATTGCTGTAATTTTTCAAAATATTTGCATTTTGCTGTAAAATTGCTCAAATGGATCAATATGTGACCCATTTAAAATACCGTTGTTAATTTTAGTCACTGGAAGAGGAAAACACGAACTTACATTTGTCATCATTGTTACTCTTTGTTTGTTTGTTTTTTTTTTAGTTTAGTCATTTCCATATTTATTTCCGTTAAAAGAATCAGGGTAACTTTTTTTATTGGACTGATTATACACAAAAGAAAGAGGGATTTTTAGAGATCTTTATCGGCTAGAGAATAAATGAAAGGAACTAAGAACGTATTATCATGAAACGGTCACTATTTTCCAAGACAAAAAAGGGGTTAAAACGCGCATGTAGTGTCTTAAAATGGCTCGCAAAAATTAAATTTATATTTGTTACTGTCTCGCCCATTATTTGTTTGTTCAATTTTTCCACCATTTGTCTTCTTTTTGAAATATTTTTGCTGGTCTCGAATTATTTCCTGAGGGTGATCCTAGGGAGTTCAAGGTTTTGATTATTGGTGCCTTTTGTTAGGAATAGGTAAAAAATTCCAAATTAGCCTTTTTAATAGACATTTTAAACCAAAGCGAACAAACTAACCTAATAATTCTTCTTCTGTGAATTAATCAGCGAAAGTTTTCCCTCCAGTGTGTCCTTCATAGTGTAGGAGAGAAAATTAGCCTTGAATTCGTCGAAAAATACATTTTGAATTTTTTTTTTCCTTTTTTCACCCAACTATTTGACAGAATGGCCATAGAAAAAGACTCCGAGACCCACCGTATTGACGACATCTTACGTTATGTTGGTGAATTTGGTTTATGGCAGAAGTTTTTGTATTTTTCATCATGCTTCCTTGTGATAGTCCCGAGCGCCATTCAAATAGCCTCGCTAGTGTTCGCCACTGGTACACCAAAGTTTCATTGCGTCACACCCAACGTCACTTGCGAGGAAAGCAAGTGTTGTGACAACTGTACCACTTATGCTTTCGACAAATCCTTTACAAGCACTGTGACTGAGGTAAGTTTCGATAGGAGGGTTAACCTTCAGTTCTTGCAAATTGATCACTGGGGGAAGGGGAGAGAAGCGTGTATAGTCCTCCCAATAGACGTACGTCGTTTAGGCGTCTCAAGCACTGAAACAGACGCGGATAGATGTGCATATCGTGATCAGCATAAACGACAGTAGCCTAAGAGCAGGCCCTCGAAGACTTTAAACGAGTCGGGGAGACTTCTCGTCGACTCGCGTTGCTAAAGGCCACAAACTTTCCCGCGGGCGTAAAAACGCTTCTGCTGAAGCGCTGATTATGGAGACGCCTGGGGAGAATAAAGACACTCGCATAGCCCTTGGGTACTCCCTTCATGTACCAGTAAGGTTCACCAAGTTTCTAAAACCATAAAAGCCGAGGTTTTTATCATACAATAATAATGCAAGCATTACATTTTTTTCCAGTGGAATCTGATTTGTGACAAGAAAAATATTGCTGCCTTGGTTCAGTCGTTATTTGTAGCTGGTATGATGGCAGGATCTATCTTCTTTGGCGTGATATCAGACTTCTTCGGAAGGAGGTTCTGTCTTTTTTTATGCAGTGCTTTAGCGGTGAGTCTAGTTTTCTGGTTTGCACATAGCGCGTGAGTCAATAAAAGAACCTATGCGATATCTTTTAGGGCCAAGGCCAGTCTTTAGAGCCTGTAATATATGTGTGCATTACACTCTGAATTAACAGAGTAAGTCGTTCTAAAATGTAGGCCGATTATCAAGTTGTAAATTGAAAATCAAAATTACACGGGTACCGCAAGCTAGCTGAAACTAACCAAGTGTCCTTATTTTTGGTCGAAGAGAAATTAATATCTGGTCACTTGCTGCTCAGTCAAGAAAGGTATTCAAAGTTGCTGCTGTTTGGGAGATTTAAATTACATTTTCCTATTTTGACTTCTTATCTCGGTCGCAAAATGTGATATTCTGTCACACTTCATCTCTTACTGCGACCTTTCATTTTTCCTATTTTAGCTGAGTTTTAGCCTGGCGTCAGGTTTTGCGGACTGTTTGTCATTTTTTACTTTCCTCCGCTTCTGCGCGGGTGCTGCTATAACCGGTCTGTTTGTGGGGCACTATGTTTACATTTTGGAGCTGGTAGGGTGCAGCTATCGCACTCTGGCTGGAAAAGTGCAGGATGTCTTCTGGGTCATAGGCGCTTGCATCACGGTCATGACTGCCTACTTGGTTAGAGACTGGAGACAAGTGCTATTGATCGGTAGTATTCCAGCGGGCCTCTTCTATCTTTTATGGAGGTGGGTGTGTAAATAGAACCAAATACGAAGTCACTAATAGAGTCGAAAATGGATTTTGATACAGAAGAAAAAATAAATGTCGATTGAAAAAAACCACTCAGAACCAAAGAAGGTGAGAGAGGTGTTGGTTTGGTAGTTTGCGCGCTAGACTTGGATCGAGATGCCCGGGTTCGAGATTGTACCGCTGCCCGCTGCTTTAACTCGAGTATCAGCGGGCTCGTGTTCACGCTGCCGGAAGGACGGCCAAATGGAACGTTAAGAACTGGAAGAGATTTGTATGCCATGTAAATTCTCCGGATTCACGCGTTTTTAACAAAAGGTGAGGGAGTCTCTGACATCCCCTCAGCCCTGCCACCTCTTCCTGTTACGCTCCAATCACAACATAAACCAGAAACAGAATAACTTTGGCATTAACTTTTCGTCTAGCGAGAATTTCGTAACACTGAAAAGCAATGACAACAGTCATTATTTTGTCCGCGTTCAATGGCCCTATTGTTTTCAAATCTTATCTCAACATTTCCTTTGCAGCGTATTTCCGGAGTCTTTAAGATGGCTGGTTGCTCGTGGTCGTTTAGAATCTGCTCATGCCATTCTTATGAAATACGCTGACAAGAACTCCGTGACTGTTGACTCAGAGACCCTCATGTCCATGTTGGAGGAATGCAAAGCGGCTTCGAAGAGAGTTGCGTCTGAGGTCAAGCGGTCACCTCTTAATCTGGTGCGCACACCAAGATTGAGAAGAAGAACTGTGATTCTTTGTTATAACTGGTTCGTTCTTTAAACATACTCATTTCATTCGATAGCAACTTCCATTCTGAGTGATATACAATCAATTTTCTTAACCAAAGTTGATCTTTTACGTTTTGTTTTTTAGGCTTGTTCTGAGCATGATATTTTACGGAATTATGCTGTATGTCCCAAGCTTGGCTGGTAATATGTACCTAAACATTTTTCTGATGTTTGTGAGTGATTTACCACACACTCCCATGGCATGGATTGTGTTCAAACAGTAAGCACTTGACAGCTTTAATTTTTTTAGTTCATTCTGGAGTGGATCAAGAGGAAGGCAGGGGGTGCGCACTCCCCTCCCCTAAGATGGCCTGCGTCTTTCTTTTCTTTGGGGTAGCAGGTACCTATTTACGTTCCCCCGTGATAATATTATATTCTCAGTTTGTATTTCCGTCTCTCAGGTTTGGTCGCCGTATTCCGCATTGCGTGTTCATGATGATCAGCGGTCTTTCGTGTCTGTTCGTACTTCTTGTTCCGGAAGGTTGGTGACAAAACTCATTGTAATTGGTTTTTATATGGTCAAACTTGTTTCTCCAGCAGGAAAAATAAGAACTTAAGAGAGATGTCGCAAGAGGGACATCTGTTAAAGTTGTTTCGTCTCCTGTGTACAAAATTACCTGGATACATTCACTGAAAAATTCAACTGATAACTAGATGCAGGAGCCCATTGCTCCTGGTAGATGACATGACTTTTCCTCTCGATCCAGCTCTCCAAATGCAACTAGATCGAAACATACTCTGGTGATAACGGACAGTTTAAACGAGAGATTGTAATTAAGAAATACTGAAATAAAGCTTAATAATTGGCATGGTGCCCTTTGTCCAAATAGATCTGAAAGGTTTAATAACGGCATTGGCGCTGATTGGACGATTCTTTGGATCAGCCTCGTTCTCGAACGTATACTTGTACAGTAGTGAATTGTACCCCACGACCATCAGGTAATCTGAACCATAATCACAAATGATAAACGTCAACTGCTCGAAGATTTCCGATGATATCTGAAGCGCTTTTGATGTTCTCGAAAGCAGTTTCAAACCTTCAGTCTTAAAAAAGCAGGTGGTAATATCTCGCATCTTTCGTTGCAACGCTAAGAATCCTTTTGTCTTACGTCAGAACGTTTCACTGACAGTAGCATCCAAATAATTAATATTCTTTTGTAGGAATATGGCTCTTGGTACTTGCTCGACTTTTTCTCGTATCGGAGGCATGGTTGTTCCTTTCATCATTGCACTGGTGAGTTGCACCATCGGAAATAAAAGAAACATGGCAGAATAAATTTTTCCCCAAGAAATATTCATAGTCTTTTCATGGCTCGAATTTGGTCGTTCGAGCCCGTACATTGCATACTGTCAATCACACTTCGCTGCACAAACCAGACACTTTATAAATTGTATTCGCTGGTGTGAAGAAATTTTTAACAAACCTAAGGGAAATTCATTTTTCAATCTGGTCAGTCGCTCCTTACTAATGGTAACAGTTATTTTGAGATTGTACATCGTCCCATTTCGAGGGGTAAGATAAGTGAAAAGGAGTCTGTCGTATTCAGCAGGTTTACGCTGAAGATTTGAAGCAGAAAGTTTGCGCTTCAACTTGCCTGAGATTTGAGCCTCATGGTAACTCTCTCAACAAAGGGTTTGTTTTCGCGTGTTATCATAACATTCAAAATTGCGAATCAAAGAAAGCCACGAATATTCTAGTTTCTTTATCGTTTCCAATCTGCGTTGACATCGTAACTCATTTGATTGTGTTTTTGTGGGCTTGTAGGCTCAGTTGCCTGGTGTGTCTGTGACTTTGCCTCTGGTTATACTGGGTATTCTTACCATTATCGCCGCCTTGATGTCCCTGTGGCTGCCCGAAACTCTTCTGTCCAACATGTTCGAGACGGTGCAGGAAATAGAAACTTCTAAAGAGAACTACGGATTTATTTGGATGGGAAAGCCACGACCTCCACTCATCTCTTTCCCATGCAATAGGTACGAAGCATCACGCACTGGCGGCAACAGGCACAGCCTGAGAAAGTGACAGAGGCATTTGAAATCAAATTTAATTTTCTCCATGCTAAGACTTGTTTGTTATCTCTTAGTTTATTATTGTCCTTAAAAAGGGTTTAAAAAGGCTGACTCACTGTGTAAATCCTCTTACCACTATGTATTACTAAATGGTATAATGTAAATTTTATCTCTACAGTGCCCAGGACTCAAACAAAGCAAACGGAGAAAATGCACACGTTTTGGCAGAGAATCCTGACAAGAGCCAAAAAGGAAGGCTCTCAGAAGAACCCGAGGACCAAAAAGAAACTACACCTCTGACCACTGCGGAAGATGGGTCCCCAGAGTCCAATATATAGCTTTATTTAGATAGCTTTTAAGACTGCATATACGGAATAGTGTTATTTCAGTGTGGGGAATTAGGTCAAAGTATAGATCGCTCCCATCTTCCCTCTTACACTTGATTTCTATTTAACCTCAAACATAAAATTACAAGGTATAAGATTTTTGTAGCAACAGATCTTCGTCGCCCTGATGTCTCGATGACTCACTTCAGATGTTGTAACCGTATGGTTCAATTTTTAGACTAGTCACCGCTTGGAGGATTTATTATTCCTTCCAGTTTGGCTTTTCTTTTCTAGTGAGATTATTACGTTTCACAATCTCTCTCTATCTGTCCATGAAGCGCGTGCAAATGACGTATGTATAAAAGAAAGCTAGAAAACTGTTTTCAATTTGATTGAATCAATTGGGAATTGATTGACGCCTTAGAAACTAGTTTCGAGACGTTTTTACATCCATCGTTGCTTCATTTTCTGTCTTTATTCCCTCATATTTTGCTCACTAATGCGACCTTAATTGAAGATCTAGAAATGACATCATTGTGGAATCATGTTACTGAAGCAGCAGCAGCAGCAGCAGCGGTAGGGTAGTTAAGGGACTATCTACTGTGGTATCACAGGGCTATGAAACACGCGATCATTTTTTGTGCGTCAAGTTATTTTCCGTTGTAACCAATAACAAATGGAGATAATAAAATGACTGCACAACAAACTGCTGATGAAATAAACACCATGACCAGAGAAGGGGAATTTAAGAAATGTCATTTATTACCATTTAAAATGGCGTGGTTAAAACCCTTCATATACAGACCACTGTTAGCACGGTACTTAGAAAACTAAATAATTTAACAACAAACTTTTAAAATATCTTGCCATAACATTTACAATAAGATAATTCGTTAATTGTCTTCCGTTGAAACGAAAGAAGTTGAATTTAATTAAAGGATACCCAAATCCCATTTTCTGTGCGATAAATAATTTTAAATTTTAAATATGTAATGGAAACGCCTAGGCCTTGTTTATAAAGATAAGGACTGCTTCAGTTATCAAATTGCATTCGAAACTAGTACAATTCACCGTAACAAAATCCACTTTGCAGATTAAATAAAATTCACTGTGACTTTTACAGCCTTTTTTGAACTTTCTTGGGACGTTGTTTGGAATCCCGGAACTTTTCCACCTGTCATTATCAAAAAGTGGGATACAAAGAAACAACTTTTATCTCATAAAAATGAAAACATCATAGAGAGTTTTTTTTTCGCAGAAGTTCGTCAAACTGAAAATCAATGTGTATCGTCGTCCTTTCATGTTAGTTTTAAAGATCTCCCGTTCGCAGAAATTAATTAATATGCCCAAGAGATGTTTACAAGTTAAAAGTTCCTAAGAACTGTGTCAAAACATGTATTAGAGGTAAATGTTCTGTTATAGGCCAGAAATGTTAACCACAATAAACTGTCTCAGGAGTAATTCGCTCTCTGAATCGTCAACCTTCAGTAAAGGGCACTTAAAAGTTTCCGAGCAAAACTAGTCGAGTGGGTAAGCAAAGAAATAATTTTTATAAGAAAATATTACAGATGTTGATACATGGCTCTGTAGATACTTTAAGTACCAAAATGATCTCGAGTGCTGCTGATGTCCTGAATGCAGTGAGCGGGTATTAAGAAAAACTGCGTTCTTCTGGGTTCCCTTATCATGCAACTGATTAGTTACCGCGAGCGCTCGTCAACACCAGCCGCAGCCATGCTATTCTCCAAAAGCACAATTTGTTCTGTAAAAGAACACAATGAAAAAAGGTTATCATTCGAGTCAAGTTAACGGCTGTTTGATGTTACGATGTCGCAAAAATGTTTCGTGTAAACTAATTGGTCAGTCCGTGTTGTTATTGGCCGCACGGCTCGCTTGGTTTCGTTCTGTCGGTAATTTAAGGTCGTCCTGTAAGGTTCATTAGATGTGTTATTAAATGTAATGAAAGAGTCATTTTACCGGTTGCCAGCAGTCCATGTTATCCTCGACATGTACCAAGTGAAGGAGCAGCACACAATCAAAACTGCCTCGATTTCATACTACTCACCCCAGTGTTTCTGATGAGGTCGGCTTACCTTCACTCAAGTCTCCAATTGTACTCATTTTCTGAAGAAATTCCTTGCATATGTCATTTCCGAGACCAAATGCCTTCATGTTATTGAGAAACGTCCTAAAGATAGATATACAGATTGGAAAGATCTTTAGTTGAAAGGAAAGCAAATTTATTCTCGTAACTTTCAGTTTGATTTAACATATTTTTGTGTCTGTTTTCCTCAGCAATTTATTCTCTGTTTCCCCTTCTCTTTCTAGATACTGACCCTAATTTACCAAATACGCTGTTCTTGTCACATTCTTTGTATTCACTTTGTTCTTGTACAGTCCAACTCTGCCACGTATCACTAAAAGGTAAAAAAGGATAAGGGAATCAGTAGTTGTTGCGGAAAATTTTTCCTTTCTGTGTTAGCTTACGACTAAACTGATTGACCAGTTAAAGTACTCGACGTTGATTGTTCAGTAAATAAAACTAGCCTTGATAAACTAACATTCATTGTTTACCTGGCTAGGGCAATAATCACAGGGTCATTAGTATAGTCTAATATGGTGGATTAAAACTGAAATTTAAAGTTTCATTTCATTTTTCAAAATGGAAATAATATAGACAAGTTAAAAGAAATTTCATGGGAAATTATTTTGTTAGTTCGGGTCAAGATCCATATTCAGAAATTAGAGATGGATTTCTGACATCTTAAAAGTCATGCGAGTTCTAGGAGAGTTTGTTTTCCCCATTTAGTTCAGTCAGGAAGTTAAACCATAAAGTTTGTTTTGGTCCAAAAGAAGGTCAAATTGAGTGTCACATCATACACGAAAGAGAAAAAAAGTCAAATAACGCCGATAATGAGCGTGTTTACCAGTAAGACAGCACAACATAACAATGTCACGGGTCAAACCTTGTTATGGCAGAAACTTCTCGTTCTCCATGTACGGCATCGAAAAAAGCTGCGTTCCAGAACCGAAGTGACTTCCTAAATTAAGGAAGAAAACCAAAACAAAAACAAAATCAAAACAAAACACAACTTAATACTTGCAGTCCTAGCGTGATGTCTACAATCAACGAGCAATTCTATCGACAAGGGGGAAGAATTACAAAAAAAGTCCGCTGTGGCTTCGACTAATTTTCCTGGTTCTCCTAGAAAATCAGAGAGTTTTCTAAATTTTTCGTTTGAATCGTTTCGTGCGTCGCAAAAAGCTGGTAAGGTACGAAGAGGAGGTAGTTCGGAGAAGCTGCATTATGAAAATTCAGCTTAAAATTATCCAAGTTTTTCATATGCGATCCACGTAATCTCTTCCATGTCAAACCAACCCAAACTAATGTTACACTACTCCTTTAAGTTTTTGGAGGATCGCCAGAAATTTCCGGCGCTATATATAAAAATCCGGGCTCAATAGTTCGATTCTTGTTACCACGCTGTGTTCTTTATGTCAACGTACTTGTACCGAATATTAAAATCAACTTATCTAGGGCTAAAAAAATAATAAATAAAGACCCCCCCATTACAAAAAAAATAAAGGTTTGCATCGACAAAAAAAGCATTTCGTGTCATGCAAGAATCTTCTCACCAAATCGGTTGATCTCTGAGGTATGGAACAATAAACTGCTTCATTACTTCCTTTCCATCTGTAAATTAAATAAAAAACGAACAAACAAAAATTTAAGTCGTCTTATTAAAGAAACTATACAAAGAAAGTGAGTGAAGACAGTACATTGCAAACGTGTGAGTGGCGGATTCAGACATTCTTTGAAAACAGGGGGAGAGGGGAGGGGAGGGGAGGAGAGGACGAGATGAGGGTGGGCCGAAAGAAGAACGGTGTACGAAAACCTTAAAAAATGTTCTAAATTGCGACTTACCTTTGTTAATTTGAAGGAAAAATGTAAAACACATGTTCATTAAAATCTTGGCTGGCTCAAAATCGTCAGCTTGGTTAAAAGAGAAAATAAACTTGGCTCAATCCCACAGACTCAAAATCGTCAGCTTGGTTACATCTGAAGAGAAAATAAACGTTACAAGAGTTTAATGTTTTCATATGAGTGGGTGACATAACCCAAAGGTGACGTAACAGAATTACGCTAATGCTGGCAGCACGTTTTCTGGACTCTACCTCTTTTCCTTCATCAATACTGCGATATGTGATATAAAACCGACCGGAAAGCACTCACTTCCCGTGACCTCCCGCGCCCCTCAATCTTTACAAATTCAGTATGTCACTCCTTCATTGCCCTCAAAATTTTCAATTTTTTCGCTTTACTGTATGTAAGTGTGAACACAAATAAGGAAAAGTTCTTTGTCTTGCATTTTATGCTATTGTTACTGACACCTCGGCTCGGTTATAAAGTTGGAATCCACATAATCTCGTAAATTCTCGACACTATAAAGCTACAGTGAGACCTGTATCACAAGCGCACTCCATATCGAGTGGTTACTGATTATGCAGCCACTGACAACAGCCCTGTGGTGGCCAGCTTAACACAGGCTGAATAGTGCTGATGTCCAAAAATTGGCAGTTACTATGCTAGGTAATACCAAGAACTGAGTCACTGCATATTATTTCCTTTCCTATGTACCAGTCGCCTGTCGTATAATCACATGTGGTTTCAGTTCCTTGTTAGCGGTTCATATTACCTTACTGTGTTATCTACATCAACAACAACTTATCTAGCTTCAAGTATTTTTCTCTTTTCAAGTTTTTCTCCCACAAAATTCCTGCTGATCGGCTTACAAACGAATTCTTCGCCCTTCGGGTACTATCAGATCAAACGAATCATTATGGACTATTCTGACCAAGTTATTATGGTGTTTCCAGTCAGACAAGAAGTTCTCAATACGTTGCCACTTAAAAAAAAATCTTTATGTTTATTTCTTCTCCCTTTCTAAGAGCCCTCGATTTCAAAAACTCGTGGATGCCCAATGAATGCGGAACATTAAATAAAAGAGAAGTACATTCGCTCAACACAGTTGAAACAGAAAAACATCTACAATCAGGTTATTTGAAGATCAATCAATTCTAATTCATTCCCAACACGACATAAGATGTTATCATGCTTGAATTATTTATCAATGACTGAAACAAAAGCAGCTCCTCAATGAAAACGAATGTATACTACGTTTCATTTCAATAACAATCTGTACAAATCTGTACAATTTGTTGTTTCCGGAATTTTTTTCAATTTTACGACAGATATTTAAAAGATAAGTTTGTTGAAAGGTGAGAAATATGGTTGTTAACTAAACCTTTCATAACTGCATGTTACACGACTATCAATTATCACGATGTATTGAAATGTAGCCGAGTACACATTGCATCTGATTTTGAAAAGGAAGGAAAATGATTATCGTATTTTTTGTATCATTCACAACTCGTCTACAATGGATTTTATTAACTTAACACGAATGTAATACTTTTACCACTTCAGATACAAAATAATTATGTTGTAATCATTCAGTGAAATCTACGTTCGAGCGCAATATTCTACGAAGTGCGAATCCATTAATTATGTAATAGAAATCCTCTCTTCTTTCAGATAAAAATTGGGATAAAAGGGAAAAAATAATAAGAGGCATGGAACTGGTGAGTAAAATAAGCACGGTGGAGATAAATTTAAAAGCACAAGAGTTTCTTTTTAAATTCTATTCAGTTTTGGAAGTTTACTAGAAAAATCCTTCGTGCGTCAACTGTCACCCATAAAACTGTGAACTACCAAACAAACGCTGCACTAATTGGCGTCATTAAGAGATTGTTAATTAAAAATTAATTTTTTCTTAACGGAGAAAAATATGCAGCTTGGCTGTAGGGTTGAATATTAGTGGGGTTATCGAAACCAACAATCGGAATGAGCCACTTAGGAAAATTAAAACCCTCGCATCTGTACATCTACGATCGCCTCGGGCAAGAGAAAAAGGAATCAGGCGAAAGCAAAGCTGATGGCTACACGGACGATCAGCACACTTCGGTTGAATTACAGCAGGATTATAACATACAGCTTAAAGATGACGGGCTTGGAAAATACAAGATAAGTCCGTTGGGTTATCTCAGCGATCCTAAAGATCTAGTAAGAATTGGCTTTAAATTTACAACTCAGTGTTTCTAAAATTGTTTATGTGACAATATCTTTTAACTGTCACTGCTCCAGGTAGACCAGCTAAAATTTTGGAAAAAAAAACACAAAACAAAAGCAATAGCAAACGCAAACCTCGACATATTTGGATTACTTTTAACAAATTTAGTTCGATATTTCAAAAACAAATGTCTCAACTGAAAACTTATTCATTTATCGTTCGAGATGATTGATTCGATAACGGATATAAAACACCTCAGAACCATAATTATGGTTTTGGTTCTGTTTTCTTTACAGCGACAGTATAGTAATTATTTTACCTTTTTTGAAAATTGTTTTAAACTTTAAATTCCTATTCTTGCTTGACGAGAAAATTAGATGAAAATTATCAAAATCATTGGAAGTTATAATAGAATTGGCCATTCTTCTAAATAGCATACACTTCCTTCCAGAGACAAAAAATTTTAGTATTTTCAAATAATCTTTGCATGTTAAGGAAAGATCTTACACATTCATAATGAGCGCAGAAAAAAGAAATCTGCAAATACCCCTGTGATATTTTTCTTCGTTCTGATTGGCCGTTTGTATACTTTGGTGTAAGTTTTTACGACCATCAATCGGGTAAAGTGCGCTAAAAATGTGGAATACTAAAGAGAAATTGTAAGTCAGTTCATTTTAGCATTTTTTGAGACCTGTTTCCATCTCAATTTTGTGGCGACCACTGTAACTTAAAGTCAACAATGTTTCTTTTCATCTTACAATGCCTGAATACTAATGTACAGTAGTTTTTCAGCCGAAATTTTCTAGTATGTTAGTTTTTGATGTGGGTTTCTTTGTTTATTTTTTCTTCTTATAGGAGACTGCCAGAGGAGGAGTTCGTAACACAAATGGGGTGAGTATGGAAATTTTATGAGAAGATAAAACGGAAATTTTTGCCACCAGTAAATTTACATCGAAACTATATACTCAAGGCTAACTTTTATGACCCTATTTTCAGGAAAAGAAGTCCACAAACAGTGTCACAAAGAAAAAGGTTAGTATTACATCTTAGATGACATAAACATCCGCGTTTCCTGAATTTTCTAAAAAATAACAGTTCACATTAAGCTGATGCTAGATTCGGTGTTACTACATGTGATCCTAAAATGGCCTGTTGCACATCCCTCAAGCTCATCGTTTTTGCCACTCAGTTAATCTCAGATGATTGTTTCCAAAACAAAAACCCACTTTCATGATTGCATAATTATATAATATTAATCCTTTAACTCTCAGAAGTGATCAACATGAAACTTCTCCCTATAATACCCTTTCATTATCCAGCAAACAGCTAATGAGAATACTCAAACTTATCAGGTAGAAGTTGTTGTCTTGATCTAACATCAAGTTCTCAAAGCTAATTTACAAGGATATGTGTAGCAGATGGAAGGGAGAATTAACAATCAGATCTTGGGAGTTAAAGGGTAAATGAATGGGTAAATGTATGCATGGAACCAAAACCACATAAAGAGATGGTTTTAAAAAAACATGGTTTTTCCAGTCCCTTGACTTTAGTAAACCCTAAGGGATTTCATCAAAACCCTTCAATTAACTATAATTATTATAGTAATTTCAGCAGCCAATCAGATAAGGAAAAAACAATCAAAAGGAGACAAAAACAACTCCAGGTGAAAGAAATCACTGCAGATGGCCTGAAACCTTAGATAGTGTGAGTGTCCAAGACATGATTGGTTCCAGTTTGGCATCTGATTGGCTGATAAAACAGAGCAAGTTTCAAACCAATCAAAGAGTGATGTGAAAAAAAACCAGTGAGAGCAATCCTGGAATAATTTCAACTCTTAATAAATGAAAATTTACTAACTATACAATCACTAGGCAAGGTATTAAAGATAACTGAAGAATTGACTCATGAAATAAATAAGGAAAGAGGAGGAAAAAGGTCCCACTTACTCAAATAAAACAATTGCAAAGTACTGTACAAGTCTGAAGAAGATGGTCTCTGGCACACTCTTGCAATATACTCTCTGACAAAAAAAAAAGAAAAAAAGACTAGTTTAAATCCACTTTGTTCTTAAGTAATGCCCCAATCAATTAAAAGCTTCAACACCTTCCCCCCACCCCCCCATCTAAGGCAACCTAGAGGCATTTAACTGTCATCCTTCTACCTAGGGGGTGGTTAATTTAAACCTTATATGGGTGGGGTAGGGAATTTGAACCACACTACTCATGTCTTTATCGCAGAATAGGCATGTTTTATCCTATAATATGGAGGCATTTAGAAGAATATAGGCATGCATAGCATGCAAGAGTAATTTTTTTGGCTGGGTGTGTTGAGATGGGACAGTTTGTGTACTTAATGTTTTCATTTTTGTCACAAAAAAAAGCATAATTTTCAAAAAATGAAAATATCACAGAAAGGTAGAAAAAAACCTAATTTATCTGAACTCACACATATATTATGTGATTTATTGTTTCTATTGTCTAAATACTTCTAAGTAAAAATGAAATGCCTCATGCCATGCTTACTGTTGTCTCCTTCAGAGCCATTGTTTGGTCTCCTCACACAACACCATCTATTTCCCATTTGAGAGAGAGCGTGTTGCATGACAAGACCAAATAACAGTTGCCTAAGAGACAATGCTTACTGCCATTCCTCCAAAAGAGAGAAAATCAAAATTATTTCTCTACAGTTAGTTACCTCAAAAAAAAATTACGCATAATTTTACTACAAAAAACAAACTGAAACTCTGTTGTACCTCAAATAGACCCTAACCAAAAACATATTGCAATTTCGAATAAGAGAAGATACATTGAACAAGAGAAAAGGATAATATTTGAAAGAGGGCTCCTTGATAGGTTGTTGCCTATCTGGACTTTGCCCTCTGCATGTGTGAAATACATGATAAAATGCAGGTTGTTTTACAAGGAATTAACATGCAATTGGGTTAAGTCCAACATAGCTTTAACTGACTTTAATTCATAGAAAAAGTCAAACACAGGAGAACTGCATGGAAAACTCAATACCAATAGCGTTTAGTTCCATGTGAATTTTTTTTCAGTGGGATTGTACAATACGGTTAGAATATGTGATAAAATGTCGGTTGTTTACCAGAAAATGACAAGTGATAGAGCAACGTTTAATATAGCAAAATGGAATTTGATTGGTGGAATACAATTGAAGCACATGAAAAATTACCTGATGTTCATGTAATGCAATGATTAGGTATGTTCTGATTGGACTTTGGACATTGTTATCATGGTACATGATGGAATGTAAGTTGTTTGGCATGTGAGTTGTGAGTAAAGGAGCCGAAAAATACATATTCTAACTTAAAAAATTTAAATGTGTACCTTCCACATCCCGATTAATCTTGATCTTAATCGATGAGGCTCTTGCGAAGGTCATAAACCATTACACTTAACAAATGGGCTTAAAATTTCTGGTTAATGTCATTCTTTGTGCACACCTCTGTGATCCATGACATCATTTATAAGAAAACAATACCCAAACACTGTGATTGGTGCAAAGTGTTAAAATGCTATGATATGATTGGTGTCAGATACATACCCTAATGTGGCAATCTAATTGGTGTGAGATACATACCCTAATGCAGCAATGTGATTGGTGCAAGCAACATGCTACTATATACGCTAACATAGAGTTTGATTTTTTTTCTCTTAATCCAAAAAAAAGTAACTAAAAAATGTCACCAAGAAAGTCACAGTCACTGATCTTGCCTTCTCCAAAAAAATTGACGGTCAAATCCAGCCCTTGGGGAAGGCATTCGAAAACAATTTTGGTTCCTGGGGGGGGACAGGAAATAAAACAAGCCAATCTTCAAAAATTCAAATGCCAGGGGAGAAGGGATGTTGATTTAAGTTTTGAACTGATCGACAAATAAGCAAAAAGAACACTTTAGTAAGGTGACTGATTAGTAATGGTATAGGACTGAGTGGAGTCCTATTCAGTCTGTAATTATAGGAGTAACAAAATTGGATAACTGCAAAGGGGGGGTCTTATTTGTTAATATCAAGGTTAATAATTATGAATTATTCACCTAAGTGGAGGTAAATATCCACCACTCTCACTGACACTGAGGTGCATAACTGTTTTAGTGTGTGCTACATATATATGTATACAGAAAAATGGTTGCTCAAAGGTGAATAGCACCTGCAATTCACTTCAAACTAGCCAATCAACGTGCACAAAAAAGCACTATTCACTTGTGTGGTAAATATTAATTCCCTTTACTGTTGAAAAGTCAGGTTTAATCATCTGGACTTGTAAATTGAAGTATATTTCAACAGAGTTACATTACCTGGTTGTCAACATGTTTGGAAAAGGAAAGACGTCCCACACTATGCTGTAGAAGAGAAAACAAATTATCAAATGGCCTGTAATCAGTACTGCATGCTTATACAGTTTCTTTTGTTTGTGCAGATAAGAAAGAGATTTTAAAACACCAAAAAGTTGATGAGCAAAGCAAAATTTTGATACAAATAACTAAATGCAATGGGACTATAAATATTTCTTTGAATAAAGAAGGCAAAATCAGCAATAAGCACATAGACAACTAGTTGGCTTCCCTAACAGAGCTTATCCCAGTTTCACTAGCATGAAGCAGCTACATTTTGGAGGCTAAACTTCTAAATTTCCTCATGCCTTCCATACAGTTTTCTGTGACCACTTTATTCCTGGGTGCAGAGAGTATTGTGAGAGTAAAATGTTTTGCCTAGAAATTGAAACTCAGTGACCCAGCCTTGCTTTAAAACAAGACATATTTGATCCACAATTCACAATGCCAACCACACAGCTGGTGGCTGGCTTTGCTTTATCACATTTGGGCTCAACATTACAATTAGTATGGGCAATTGATTTCAAGTGCAATTAGGTGATAATATGCATGTCTTGAGTAAATTTTTCAAAGACTACAAAACTGCACAAGCCTATAGGGCAAGTGCAAATTGCAGTCTTTGGAAAATGTACAGGTGCTTTACTTACACCAAATGGCAAGAGAAATCATGTTGTTACTTAAAAATAATTTACATGAAAAAAATGTATGATAAACAAAATTTTGAAAGTGTGCACGCTATTTGTACTTTGTACTCGTGTCACAATTTTACATTCATCTTACATGAAAAATGAACTTGTTTTCAGTCAATCAGACATCTATAATGTTTTCATGTGTATTATTACCTGATTAAGGATTCCAAACTTGAGCTTGTCTTCCTGAGAAATAACGCTTCTAGGAAACAACAAATAATTATCAGAGGAAGCTGCAAAGCAAAAAACTGTATTAAATGAAAGGTTTTTGTTTTTGAAAAAATTTAGCCAATGTGAGAATAAAATAACAAAAATCAGCCTAGAAAATTCAACTACAACTAGTCAATAAAAACCTGAGCCTTTAATTTGTTTGGATTATATCCTAATGCCTTTAAAAAATATTCCACTAACTGCTATTTACAGTATTCCAACATACTCTTCTAGGAATATTTTTGCTACAAAATCCTTCATAAACTCCTCAGTCTCCTGTTCAAACAGCTCTGTTTCTTCATCATAATCACCCTCTGAACAATCTGTTGAAAAATTATAAAAATATATGCCATCAAATACAAGCACATCACCATGCCAAAATAACAATACTAGGTCCTCATAACCCAACATTGAAAGGGTTTTAACTACAAGTTTTTCTATGCACTGGTATAAGAAGACAAATAGATTCACCAGAAGACTATCCCCCATTTTGTAAAATACACATCTGTATTGATTATGATATGTCAAATTAGGAACATACATTTCTTGGAATGTCTTTTTCTCTTGTGGTGCCTGCCCTTGTTCATTTTTATGATGTGTTTCACCGAGAAAACATTATTACCTCTTTCCCTAACTAAGGAAATCAATTTTTTCTTCTATATCATCGATAGGTGCTCATGGGTAATGGCTTCACATTCAGATACAAAGAAAATGCTTATTAAAATGACTCTTTGGTAATAATTTTGAATTAATTAAAATTTGCCTTCCTGTAAAAGCCACATCAGTTCAAAACACTTAGAGTGTCATGCTCTTAGAGTGAGTAACTTCAGAAAGGGTGAAACCTTATAAAATTGAGCTTGTATCAATCAGAGATTAGTGCTCTTGTGGTTGTGTCATTGAAAACCAAGAAAAATTAAATAGTAATTTTGTAATTATAACAGTTTTAGAGGTCTGATTTTATGCAATGTATTCAGTAATATGCAATTTATTCAGTAATATTCTATTTGTTACCATGACTTCAGTTCACATCTCTTAAGAATGCATTATGTCAGAGCCACTATTTTTAAAATTATAACAATTATTATGAATCATATTTTGAATAATTTAACAGCATCCTTTTTTCATATGGCAACCAATATTTTTGTTTACAGAACCTGATCTTAAAATCTTACGTTACAAAATGGTGACTTTAAAATAAATCACTTTCACAACCCTGAATACCCATCCTCCAGCACCTGAGTCTGCTCTCAACAGGTTATGGCTGACTGCAGAAGTATGAAACCTACTACTGTATGTTGCATGCTTGTGGTAACTTAAATTCATTAATCAAAAATTTTTTTTCTTTAATTACTTTCAATCACAAGGTTAAGAATCAGGGTGAAACTAGTGTGCTAGTGTTAAATGAGTCAAGATCTGGTCAATTTAAGAAAAAACAGCTATGCTAAAGACAAAATCAAAATAGTGCTGTTAGTTTGATTAAGACCTGCTGAGACTGACATCGATATAATGCTGCTAGGAAATAAATCACAGTCTATGAAATGGAACATCAATCTTAGCCCAAAATAACAAAACAGCAGGAGCCCTTTCAATATTTTCCAAATCTAGCCTATCATGCATTCCTTAGGCGCTTTATTGATCTTTAATAAGTAATTAATACAGCACTCCTCGTGTATGCTTAATGTAAGTTTCATATACGCAAACAAACGATTTATGTTATCCAAAAAATTGATAATCCAACGTTTATCTCAATTCTTGTCGTTATGTAAGAGAGTGGCAACTTCTAAATCTACATGAGTGGCGCTGATTTCTACTAATTTGCAAATGAATGTAAAATAATTTCCCAGTTTTCGACAACTTACCACTCTGATCGCTCCATTCCTTCATGTCATTCAAAAAATCTAACGTCGTTTTAAGCACATAATCCCCACACGTTCATTGATCAGCTGGTGGCAAAAGACGCCAACAAAACATCAGAAAACATAGAAGACGTCATCATTATATCCAAAACAAAGGGGAGCGGAAATGCTTTTAGTTCTTTAGATTCCAGTCCTCCTCGTCGCACGCACAACAGAACCCTGTGAACAAGGTGCATCTTTTAATTGAAAAAACAGCTGATCAGTTAGGCGAGGGCTCATAAAATCACCCATAAAGCAAAGCAGGCTTTGTTCCGTGGCAACGTCTCCGAAAAACAAGTGCAAGCTATAGGAAAGCGACAATGGTGCGAATTTTAGTTGACTTTTCGTGTTTTGACTATTTACGATTGCGTTTAAAATATAAAATTTCTCTTTTCTTATAGTCTGAAGTTGAGGAATCGCTGAAAAGAATCCAGAGCCACAAAGGCGTTCTTGGAATTATTGTCGTCAATAGTGAAGGTACGAAATTCTGAAAATGGTTGAAAACCTTCTTTAACAACACAGAAAGTGCTCAAGGAAGGAACGCGTTTTCCTATAAGGTAGTTCTAAATTGAGATGCAAATGCTCTTCATTAATTTTTCCGCTGCAGGAATTCCTATAAGAACGACCATGGATAACTCAACAACTGTACAATATGCTGGGTTATTTCACCAATTGACCAGTAAGGCAAGGAATACAGTTCGAGATATCGATCCACAGGTCTGGAATGTCTTTATGTTATTTTCTAAATGTTTCAAAAGGGAACTTATTTTTCATTGTCAGCATGGTGGCCGTGTATGTCAAGCGTTGTTTAAAAGTCTTTGCCAACTATGGGTGGCGAACAGTTTTTGCTTAAGAAGCTGTTGAAGCACAAGCTTAGTAGTGTTAATGATGCTGGTAAAATTTCGGCATAACCCCATACTACATTATGCATTCAGTTCTTGGATAGAGAAAGCAATGACAAAAACAATACATTGCCATTGGGAAAACAGATTTGTTTTACAATGGCATGGGGCTGTGCGGAAATTTTACCATGATGCTGTTTATGTGATTTTCCAACAAAGTCTCTATCTGTTTTGGAACTGATTAAATTGAGAGAGATTTGGGATTATTTTCATTATCAGAACAAAGTAATCTTGTTGTATTTGTTAGTACAAAAATTCAAACTAAAATCGTTTCACTTAAATTGAGTACTTCGTGAATTTTCTCTTATTAGAAATCATCCAAAATCCCTATTTTCATCTCAAAACTTTCAGGTTTCAGACATTTTTGCTCCTGAAAGCCAATTTAAGTTAGAGACTCTTCCTCCAAGATGCACAGTATTTAAAATCTCGTTTGCTCAACTGAAGTTTTAAAAGAAAGGTGCACAAGATTGAAATCCATCTAAACTTACTTTTTAAAATAGTGCCAACATACCACACTTGATGGGTAAGTAACTTTTGGACAGAAATTTAGTTGTGACTCCTTATTACTTGGTCCTGTTTGTGGCACATCATTTATTTTCAAGGAACTGATGTTTTCATTTTTCATGTTTAGAATGACTTAATGTTCCTGAGAGTCCGTTCGAAGAAGCATGAAATTCTGGTTGCTCCTGGTAAGTTTTTCTACCTTTCATTGGAATAATACTGCTGAAAATACTAAAAGGGAAATAGATTATGTTTGTGTAGTAACCTTGTTATGAATTAACTTTACTGTGTCTATGATCCAGCTGTCAGTACTATAGGTGTCGTGTGGTCATCGTATGTCACTCTAACTGGTCCTTGTAAGAATGTACTTAGATTAAGAATTGCTGGCATGGGCTGAAAACAAGGTTATATGGAGGGAGGTGCATGTTCCTGCATTATAAGAAAATAAAATTTTGCAACTTGTTCTGTTATTAAACGGAATCATAGAGGTTTAGTCTGTGTGGTTGTGATGCTTGACCTTCCAAGCTGAAAAACCTCACATTTCAAACCAGGCAAAACTTATGTTTTGGTAACCGTAGCAAAACAAGGGAACATTTCATTTTTCTTTGGCTATTAAGGTGAATTCTACTTTGCACATCACCTCACCTCACCTCACCTCACTTCTCTCTGATCAGTGTTGTATATTTGTGTACATATGCCATCAACATGTGGTAAAACAAGCTAGCTTCAACATCTTGTGTTAAATCTACTCAAGTTAACTCAGTAATTACCTTGAAAGGTTATTAAAGTATTAATTATCAGCTGAGTTGAATCCCTCATCCACTTTGATGAATGGCTAACACTCAAAATGACAGCATCGAAACTCTTAATCATGGCCAATTTACATTATCAACTTGGTTGATAATAAGTTAAATTACCCTGTTATACTCTTCCACTGACGATATGCCACGGTTTTATGACAAACTTACCCCCTTCCTTTAATTACCTTAAAGATTTCTTCCAATTTTTAATTCCAGATAAAGAATACCTGATGATAGTTATTCAAGATCCTAGTAAAATACAGTGAGAGGAGCACCATACTATCACTTAAAGCCCCTTCAAATGTAAATACACTGCCACTTATCAATTTGTTTTTGGGATTTTGATTTCACTGTCTAGTTAACCAAGACAGGTCTCTAGACTGATGAGCTCTGTAATACAGTATTATCTTGTGCTTGGATTAAAAGGTAGAAAAGAGTAAACTGAAGTTCACTTAACTTTTACTAGTATTATATTGGATTTACTTTCATTATGGTTGTAAATTACAATAAAATTACATGTTTAGACCAATGTGGTGACAGTTTTTAATGAAATCTCCTTTCTTCTTGTCATCTGCTTTCTTTTGTTGAGGGTTATCATTCCAATATTTTGAATTGTTTGTTACAAGTGGTAAAACCATATTCAACATAAAAAAAAACTACTAAAAATTTGTTGGTGAGCCAGAAAACCATCAAAAGTGAAAGGAACAACCAAATAGGATCAATTATTGAGAATACTGACACAAAATGCTAATAAAGATATTTTGAATATGCACAAGACATTGCATTGCTGCCTTAAACCACTCATACAATTAAATTGTCCAAAAAAAAAAACAGCCTATATACTGGCTTGTCACTTCCTTTCCCATTATTGACCAAAACCCTGCTGCAGTTGATCATTGTCAAGCAGAACTGAGCAGGCAGAGATGACCAAGTGCCAGTAATAGCAAAAGACAAGTAATCTGCAGCCCCACATGCACTTGGATGATCACACAATGGAACTCCAACACCAGTGATCAAGTGTTAATTTTTCCTAGCGTCACAAATACAGAGTTTAGTCTTGATGTTGTGAGAATTAGAACAGTAGAGGCTGGAACTAGTTGCTTTGACAATTCATCACACGTAACATGGGAGAGTGAAATACAATTTTATCCAGTGAATGACAGGTATATTCAGAAAAAAGAATTAATGCTGCTCCCAAAAGGCGTTGAACCAATGACCTTCCCATCAGCACTTACCTATAGGAGTCATGTGGTAAGCAAGCCATGCAAGAGTTTATATGTAAACAAACGAATGTAAGGAAAAGCAAAAGATCTGTCATAGCCATTTGTCCTCCTGGGTTTATCCAGGAGCCAGTGGTGTGACCCTTGATCATTTGAACACTTCCCTCTGTGAATGTAATCATAGTTGAATTTTCTGATGTAAGTGTTTGGGAAACTTCTTGCACTTGAATAAATATTTTTCATCCAAACAAATATAACCATTCAATTTATTACCAATTTATCCTCTGCCTGGGAAATAACTTATATAAATTTATCTTTTTGTAAGATTTTATATACCATGCCTTAACTTAATTCCATTTTTTCCTCTCTGTAAATTAAATATTGATGACATTTTGTTTTCTAAAACTATAATTCTCCTCTGAACATGAAGTACGAATATTTTCATTTCCTTAACTTTAACTTTGTCAGTATATAGTTCTTTATAAATTTTTTCTCAGGTTGTGTAGGAACTATTTGTCCAACAAACTGCTTACATTGTTTGGAAGGAAAGGTTAAAATTTTGTTTTCATTTTGTTTTCTATCATTATCTTTTAGAAGTTACATAAATTAAAATTCTGTTAGTTTGACTAAGCTTCTCAATGAACATATTTTTAAACTCTTTGGAATCTACACTTAATCTACATTTCTGTACCTAAGCATGGGATCATAATAATTCATAGTGCTATCTAACATTATTAGAAATAATAAAATGATTTAGGAATCTTCTTCAGTTGCTGGAAAAAAACATTTGTGAGATTTGACTTTCAAGTACTGGCAAACATAAGATCCTGAAGTTTTTTTCATTGACATCTGTTTACTCGTTTTTTAATCATTTTGTAAGATGTGCACATCTTCTATTTAAAAGTCCCTGAATTTTGAGAAGCCTCTTGCACAAGTGTATCACTAAAATATAAAAGCAAAAGAAACCTACTGATTTAAATAATGAACAGAGCATAGGAGAGGTTTGTTAAAGATGTTTTAATTTAACTCAAAGAGCAAACCAATCATGACAAGAAAACTTCAGAAATTGTCTTTTTACTCAAACACAAACCACAAGCCACAAAACAGTTATGATCACAGAAAGACCTAAAAATTTCAGCTTTTTAATTTTTACCATTTTGCTACAAAAGAACCTACCGATTACTCATTGTTACTGCTGTTACTTTATCCACCAAATGCTAATTCTTTTGTAAAAGCTGTGTTTTTACTTACAGTTCAAAACATTTTATATTTTGTCCAAAATAAATTATTTCATTCAAGTGTAAGTACTTTTACCACAGATTACAAAAAGCAGTTATTTATAAATCTTAAAGCTGACAAGTTTTTAGTATTTACACCAGTCCACATAATTTTATGTACATTAATGAATAAGTCTTCTCTCTACTATGCTCAGCAGATGTGATTGTCTTTAAATTTTGCTTACATTAGCTAATGTGTAGGTTATTTGTTACATTCTAAGAGAAGTGTTTTCTTTGATTAGTCAGACATGATTATTTACCAAAACTAGAAGTAGTTCTTGATGATGAATCAAAAAATATTTACCCTAAGCTTATCCTTCCCTCTAGGCTTTACAAAAGGTACTGTCATCTGTTAATTAAAAGTTGATACAGAAGTTTTCATCCAACTATCCTTTTCCTTCTTTCAGGTGCTTTTAGCTATAACATGTACATCAATAATTCTTGATGAGATGTTGAGAAAGGTGAAAACACAGCTGTGGAGTGAATTCAGTTGAGTAGCATTTCTTGAGTGTCTGGACACCCCTGGGTATGCATCATGTCAGTCCTCTCTCAATAGCATGGGGGCCCTTTGATGGGTGTGGTCAATATGTAGGGAAGGGGTTGGAGGTGCTTGCGCTTGTTCTGCGAGGAGTTCTGTCATTTCTACATCATCTGGAGCAGAGTAATATGGAGATCCCATCGCATAACGCTTGTTGTGAAAGTCTGCGCATGGATAAGGAAAAAATAATAGGAATGGTGGATATCTTCTGTGAATTTTCTAATGTTTTTAATCTCAACAAATAATTCTATTCTATATTTAACACTTCATAATACTACAAGTTAAACTTACATAGTAAGAAATCCAAATTATTTTTGCTCCCAAGCAAACATTAATCCTTACAACCTTAAAAAGCAGCAATTGTACTTAAGAATGATATCTCCCACTTAAAACCTACAAATTAAAATTGTTTACACGTAGTTGGAATAGCTCTGTATATAAACTGTGGGGCTAATTTTCTCCCCCAACCCTCCTTCTGTTGCTTGATGGTATGATAATTTGTATAGTTTTTTTTTTCATTATCTAATTTGCACCTCAAAAAATTCATTTTCAAAATATTTATCTTACCAGTACATGTAATGAAAAATGCTACTCAAGAAAATGAAGAATGGATGTAAGTCAAAATATTTTGTTGACAATAAATTTTGCATCAGATATTAAGAGTAAAAAGCAGATATTAAATATAAACAACTTATCAGATAGCCTCAAACAAAAATATGTATGAAATGCAAAACCTATACCATGAGTAAACTTTAAATAAATTATTTACAAATGCATGTTACTTCCATGTTACAGTTATGGATTATGTTTCCCTCCAATGCCAAAGAGCATACTTCATGCAACCAAGAGAAGACTGCCAATAGTAACCACTACAGCTTGTTCCTAAATTAAACTCTGCTTAAGTTAATTTCATCTGAAAGCAGTGAGATTTTATTAATAACAGCAATTGGTACAATGTCACTTCAAATTATCCCTTTGGACAATAACAGTGATTATGTAAGTTAGTCCCATATTACACATAACAACACAAGCTCTATATAAAATCAATTAATTCAGAGAGTTATGAAAAGCATTACATAATACAGGCACCTTTAAACCCGCTGGTGGAGTAAAATGTTTCGATCATTTTGAGTTGAATGATTTCTACGCTGGCTCTCACCCTTTTTAGGTTTTGGAGGTTGTTTTGCTGTTTTGAGGAATTGTACCAGCAATCCAATCAGTACCAGAAGTGGCCACACCCCCAAAATAATCCATGAAAACATGCATGGTTCATGTCCTTTAATATTCTTGATGAAAATTTTCAGCCAGAAGTAATCCAGCAATCGCAGATCCTCAATAAAATAGTCCAGTCCTCCCACAATTAATGCCCCTCCATTAATTGATGATGAAACAATCAGAAGAACTCGTTTCCACCAAACATTTGCCCCTGCTATGAGAACAGAAACCCCAATGATGACTCCAACTGGTATTGATAGTGTTGTGTATTGGTATAAAGATGCAAAACCAAGAAGGAACACCATCGCTAAACAAAAACCAGCCATGATTCCACTTGAGAAGAGTCCGCAGAAAACTACTGTTGTACACAGAATTCCTGCAAAGATTGCTACTGCTGCAACAATTAAAAGGACATAGTGGATTGCCAGAGTGCTTCGAATCAAGCATATTACATAAGAGAGAAGGGCTGCAGATGAAAATCCCGTGGCAAATAAGGTTATTCTCTGGTATTTGAATCCTGAATGTAAAAAGGGAAAATGAATTGTTAGGGTTTTAAATAATGATTTGCTTATTTATCTTTACGACATGGTTTTATTTTGTAAAATAGTTCAGAACAAATTCTGGGGTATGAAAATGTAATAAATTTGAAGACAGAGAAAATGAACCAAAACCAACCACATCCAAGGCAAACAAAACAATTTTTAGGACTCAATTCATGATACCTTGTGGTTTGACCCAGTGCAACAACAAACAATCTCTTTTACTAGGATGCATATTACACTAAATGACTAAATTATTTTTTGTGGCCTCAAGATAATAAAATTTACATCAACAACAGCAATGAAAATAGTGATCAAGTACCATGGCAGAAATATTGAAGAAATGTAAAATGGTTTCCGTGTTTACATAGCCTGATGTAAACACGCAGGAGGTTGGGAGAACACAAGATAAGCGTAGGAAACCATGACGCAAAGCAGAGTGGTTTCCAGCTTATTGAGTGTTCTCCCAACCTCCCGAGTGTTTACATCAGGCTATGTAAACACAGAAACCATTTTACATTTCTTTTATAAAATAACTAATGAAAGAGGAACAAAAACCATCTTTACATATGCTGATGTAAAATGGTTTTATGGCCAATCAGAGTGCACATACTATTTGAATTATTTTATAATGAATAATAATAATAGTTCCCAAAATTTGGCATGGAAACAGAAAACCAAAAGATCAAAAACACTGTATTTTTAATGAAAACATTGGTGTCATTTAAGAAATAGAACAACATTGATAGAACTAATTGATGATGTTTGAAAATAGAGAAGAGAGGAAAAGCATAGAAAAGTCAATTCCCACAATTGCACTTCATGTTTGAATGAGCCACCCACCCATGCCCACTAGTTTCATCATTTATATGTCAGCCACAGAGGTTAGTGATGGATTGCAAACTAAACATGCAAGCATCAAAACTCAACACCAGATTTGCCCAGAAGCATGAACAACTGAAAAGACCTTGATAACAGTAGGCCAAGATTGTAATCCTAAACTAGGTTGGACACCCTTGCAAAAATTTTAGGAGGGAAAATTAACTCACCTTGTAGATTAACCTTTTACCTTGAAAAATATTATCATCATTACCATGATAGCACTAAGACGATCAACACCCTTCACCACAACCACACCCAAAGGGAACCCGAAATTAAAACCTCCCCACGAAAATTACCTTTAACTTTAGACTCCAGGAAGTGGTTTGCCCTTTAATCGTCGCAAATTTTTAGAATGCATGAAACAAAAATTTGCAATTGATATATATTCAAATAAAAAGATGTTTACTTAATGGTCTCAGAACACAAGACAATATACAGCAAGCTCCTGCATTTCGCGTTGAAAACAGTCGCGATATACAGAGACGGGGTTTCAGACCGCGTCCAGATGTAAATTTTAAAACTTTTTAGGTTGCTTAGGAATAATACTTTGTTTTGAAGCAAGGAGTTATTCAACAACAAAACTGGAACATGTCAAAAGCTTAAATGCGAACTGCTTCAGCTCAACAGGAAATGACATGAAATTACGGGTTGATCAGTGTCTAATTTCGCATCGAAAAGAACGAATGGAAGCAAGTTTCACGTGCACCACTATGTAATTTGAATTTCTTTCGTTGTGAAGAAAGTTTTGCTACGTACTTAAACAAAAGAATTCATAGCCAATAAAATGTAAATGAAGCGAAATGAGTCATTCGACATCGTTAGTTGTATCTGCCACCATTTTATTTAAAGCGATGAATAAGATAATCTCACAACAACGGCGCCTCGCGATTTTTTTCCTCATATTTTTGTAAAAACGATTTCAAAAGAAAGTTGACGTATGTTTTTTTTTCTACACGCCAGTGCAAATACTCGGGTAATGCTGTTAGCGAGAACAAAAATATTCAGTCCTATAACGATCTCCGATTGCAAAACGCGTGAAAACAAGCAAACACGTCCTAAACAGCTTAGAGCTGATCTCTTAACAATATCGACTCACTAAGGTATCGGAAAATTACTGTGCCACGATAAAAACAAACCACCTTTATCGGTTCATATTTGCCATTTGAACGAAAGTGTAGGCGATGACTCATTTGAGAGGAACCCCCTTGAGGACGAGAATATTTCTTAACCACAACTGCTTACATCATCTTCTCTGCGAAATCTAGTTCATTGTTCTGTTTTGAATATTATCAAGTAATTTGAGCTTTCTGAAATCAACAAAATGTCTTTACAAGTTTTTCTCTTCTTGTCAGCGTTGTGCGTAATTTTTTTTAAGATAGACGGCACGCGTCTACGATTAGAGAAAGAAATTATAAGCGATGAAATAATTGTATCAACATTTTTTCTCACCTAAAATTAAGTTAAATCCGCCGATGACTATACACACAGATGAAGCAATTCCAGGTCCAAATGTGATTGGAAACTCCAGATCTTTCCACTCGCAACTAAAAGGTTTATCCATTCCACCATTCGATGAATTGTTTGCGTTGTTCGAGGTTTCATTGTTTTCCATTGCCGCAGCCGACGAAATCCAGTAGAAGGCCAACACAATCGCTCGCAAAATCGTTTCGGAAACACGTTGCGGTCTTCCCATCTACAGTTCAATCAAGAACCGACAAAAAGCGCAATAAGTGAGCAAATAAAAGATTTCGAGGCCAAATTCAACGTACTGTACTCAACGAACATAAATCTCAGTTACTATCTCAGCCAATAGAACATACCATCCTGTAATGAGCGAATCCTCGTGAGCGTTTCAATTTCAACACCGGTTACGAAATAATTTCCAAACCATCTACTGAAAGGCTGTCTTTTTCCTGCTGACGATTCTGGATTAAAAAGTTGACGAGGTATTTTGATCTACCTGAAACAGAACGCAGTAAGACCACACAGTCAAAGTTACAAAACGCACAGCAGAGAGATATTACACTATGTGTGGACCTCTCATGCAGTGTAAGCCTATTACAAATTAATTGCGTAGCAGACGTCATGAATTATTAATTTAATGTGTCACGCACTCTCTGGAGACTTCTACAGGGATCAAGAGGAGAAGAAAGAAATGGTTTCCTTTCGTTTTCGTTCAATATTTTGTAAGAAAAAATTTTTGAATTTTTTAATAGTGATTGTGCAGCAATTCGCATGTCGTGATTTTGTTTTTATTTTCCACACTTTCTTAATTAGCTTAATTAAAATGAAACCGCTCCCTCTGATATGTCGGAAAAGCGAGGAAATAGTGAGCTGGATATAAATTTGGAAAAATTCTGCCAATCAGAACTATAGCGGAGAAATTTATTAGTGGGAGGAGACGTCGATAAAAATTACACAGCCTGCGTTACAAGTGCCTCGCGTGAACGCGAGTGACACGCGAGAGTAAGAGCAGATCGCAGGCAAACACTCGCGGAGATAGAGCGAAAAAGCTCTCAACCTCTTTGCACTTAATTAGCATAAGCATTTTCCGGGAATTTTAACTTTTTGGATTGGCGATATTCTGCACTTTACGGTAACCTAAAAGGTTGCGTTCTGAGAAGATTTAAACACCTAATGAAAATAATTTTCTTTGTTATTTTCTGCGTAAGCGGTAGATTATTTCTAGAGAGGGCAATAGTTTCAGATTTTTTAGGCTTGACAGGTTTTACATAAGGGAGCTACTCGCTAGATGATTCCTTCACGGATACTTTGGATTGAGTCCGAAAACGAAGATGATTCGTTAACACTTGATTCCCACGCAGAGTTTTTAATTTAATGTAAATGGTAACAATTTGGGCGTTTTTTTTTAGCCGGATTTTCATTTTCTCTAGCCAGAACTTATCAAGTTAGGAATTGATGGCAATCCGCAAAATCCGCAAAAGCTAAAACATGCAATTTTTTCATTGATGCGTGGTTTTCATCAAGTCGTGTGATTCCTTAGCTCGCGCGTGGTTTCTCGCTTGCGCTTCTCGGTTTAAAATTCCCACTCCGCCCTGACCTCGTAAAAGAATTGGAAAAGAAATCCTGAGGAGTTGGTACAATAAAGCGCAAAAGTGATGATCAAAAGGTGTGCTGTATTCCAAGCTGAGATCGCCAACAACTCATGAGCAACGAAACAGAAAATATGCAAATAGGAATTGATTACCACACATGTGCAGCACCTTGGCACCTTGGCTTAAGCCTCTAACTCTCCCGACTATCAGTTACACGTTTCCTCGTTAAATAGTTACAAGAATTTGTTGTTAGATCAAGATCACAACTTCTACTTGATAATTTTGAGCATTCTTATTACCTGTTTACTGGATAATGTATGAATATAATAGGGAGAAGTTACAAGTTAATCACTTCTAGGAGTTGAGGTTAAACTGCTTTTCACCAGCTTTCACTTTCTAATCCGCTGAACTTTGCTCCGTTGAAAAGTTGGAAGACACGATGAAATTTGACATCTGTTATCTCCAATTTCTGAGTTTGTTTTCGTTTTCTCTGTTTCATGATGAGTGAAAATACTTCTTGAAATATAGTGGTAACAGCTTAATTTGCACACTCGTAATCACCGAATAATTTAATGCATGTTGGAAAAGTAAGAGCTGTAGGAAAAGAAGAGCGTCTTTCCCTGACAAGGATTCTTTTATCTCATCATGATAAACGTTTCTCACTTTCCAATTTTTGTTTCATTCTGTTTTGTTTTTCTTTCGCGCAGGATTTCATAGATCTTATCATACTAATAATGCGGAAGCCGATTTATTTCCTTATGAACGCAAACCTTTTTCGAAACAGAAAGAAAGCATTGTTTTTCTAACCAAACGCGAAATTTTGACACAACAAAGAAGCTTAGCGCAATTAACTTTGGTCTTGTCAATATTTTGCGTAATAAGCGACTCGACTAAACATGTCCTCTTTTGTTTCGCTGAAACTGAAATTACGCATTTATGAGCGCGTTTTTGAGGCTTGCTGATACAAAAAGAAAGGTTTTCCCCAAATTTATTTAGATCAGTATCCAATCCACCGTTGATTTCAAACCAAACGCTTTCAATAAACAGCTCCAAACTTAGGATGAAATTTCTAATTATCGGATAACGTATAGGCCAAACTTGAAGGTTATACACGGAAACCAGTTTAAACCACAACTAAACAAACGGCAAACCGTATCTTGAACTTACCGAGAGCTTTAAACGGGTGAATTCCCTTTTTTTTCGACCAACATAATGAGTCTTTCATAAGGCAAGAAAAAGAAAACCGGGTGGCATAGGTACATAAGCTGTGTTAATAACGTGGTGAGTTGAAGATATGCTAATGACAAGACTTACAAGTAAACACAGCCGTTCCAATGACACCATCACCCGAGAAAAGCGAAATCAATTAAAATTTCATGAGATAGCTTTTTAGTTTTTCCATCCGGTGTTTTAGTAGTATGGGATGTGGACCTGGGGGGTCCACATCTACTAATGGATTTGGACTCGGGGGTCCATATCCGCTGATGGATTTGGACCGGGGTTCAAATCCGCGGGGGGTCTAAATTTGCTGTGAAGGCGGACCTATGAGTATAATAAAAGATATTGGTAAATTCTAATGCCTTTTTTGGCCATTTTTTCTTAATTCTATATTTAGACTATTAATTTTTAATGTTTGGTTTTATTCTGTTATTTTTGCATTTTGCTCTGTTTGTCATTTTTGTTGTTGGTTGTTGTGATTTCACGCTTTTCACCAGCGCCAAAGTTCCTCAAGTTGTTGGGTGCCTGAGTCACGGTTTTCAAGACTCAATTCCGGCGATTTCCTAAGATTCGAAAAGTATGCATCACCATACAAAACGTGACAAGATGTTCTCACATTTTCGGATCCAGGGTTTGCTCAGGTTATACGCTCGGGGTTTACAGTGATTGTTTGAAAAACCTTAACTAAGACCGCATAACCGAGCAGAGTGTGGCTCAAGAGTTGGAGAAACTGAGCCCGGGTGAGAACATTGTGTTGGACCAAATTTCTGTTTGAGAAAGATTTTCAGATTACTTTTTCTTACTCTTTTATTTTATATTTGACACAACAAGCCCAACAAAGTGAACAGTTATCAAACAAAATGACGTCCTTCTTGTTTTTATTCAAAGATACTTACACTGAAAAAAGAGACAAGGAAAAAAGATCAATCTTAGCGCACATGATTGATTTTGGGGCACATGTTCATCCTTAAAGAATGTAATTTAATTTGCATGGTATATCGAAACATTCCTTTCTTTCCAACGTTTGGGCTGAGACCCTCTTGTTATAACCTGCGAGCAGGTTCCCATCATTTACGCTTCGCCAAGAGCGTTTTTTCGCCTGCGGGAAAGTAGGAGGCCTTGATCAACGCTGGCCGGCGAGAGCTCTTCTGCAAGGGGTCTAGCAATGATAATGTGGCACTATTAGTACCAGACCCCCTGTAAACTTCCCTTTATATCGTCCTGCAGCGCGAAGACGAGGCCTACTCGCAAGTTAGTTTTGTCATAGTGCCAGTGTTGCACTCGCTTGAATCATTTCAACACACCGCGTGAGCCACGTTTAATCAAAGGTTCCGCACTACAGTTTGCTATCATAAAAACCAAACACACTAATGATACTGTCTACCTTCCGTTGTAACTCTCTTTAAAGTTCCTCCTCTTACCTTTTGATTCCCATTTAACTAAGCATCCGAAAAAGTAGCCATTTCATACAAAGGGCGCTACTCAACTACAATGTCTATAGATCAGTGCATTCGGAGAGCTAGAACATATTACTTTATAGTATTTTGATAATGTTCAATACGGTCAGCAGAAAATTCCTTTTGAAACTCTATAGTTTTTAGTTTCGCACTGTGTCGGCCTGCTCGCTTTACAGGTGTCATATCACAAATTTTTGATTTATGGCTTATACCTGTCTTTAAACTGTTTTCCTAAAATGGCAGATAAAACACGCAACTCATGCTAAAGTTATTCTCTCCCGTCGAGCCAACATTTTTCCATTGCTTAGCTACCACATCAAAACACTCAATTGACTTCACACCACGTCCACCGATGCAGAAGATCTGATTATCTCGTGTTACAAGTCCAAAATCATTCCTTGAGTCTTGCATTTTTTCATTTAGTATGGTCCAGCTCTTTGCCTTCGGGTCGAACACCTCTATCGTGTCCAGGCTCCGCTCGTTGTTCCTGCCGCCCACAACATATACCAGCCCATCTATCGCGCATGCTCTCAAAAGAAAACGCGGGAAGTTCATTGACTTCAAAGAGGTCCACTTTTCTTGTTTTGTGTCATAGCGTTCGATGGAGGCTAAGGCCCCATCTGGGCTGTGTCCACCAATCACGTACAGTTTACTAGACAAAAATGTCACACCTGTGAATGAAAATACTATTAGAGAGGGACAGAGGTTGCGTAAGAGTTAAGTGACTTGTCTTTGCGATAAAACAATTGGGAAATACCTGGACATCGCCTGCTGTTACTCATATTTGGAAGATCTGTCCACTCCTGTGTTTCCAGATTGAATTCATAAGCTGATTCTCCTTTCTGCCTTCCACCCACCACAAAAATACAATCTTTTCCTGCACAAACACCTGAATCACGGACGTCAACACCTGTAACATAATTTTTTTATATATCAAAGACATAAATCTAACACTAAAAGAAACAACATTTTGCTAAACCTTAACAAAGCAGAAAAAGAGAAGTGAACCTGTGCCAAGGAAATCACCTCTGATGGCTCCTTACACCTTGTGGTAAAAATTGGGAGGGGCACTGAGGTAGTTTACATGCCACAGAGAACAACAGGACTCGAAATAGTCCTTTTCACGATCCCAATTAAAGCAAGATGATGAACCCTCACCAAGCGTGCGCTGATCTGGAATATTTACCCGTTTCATAGCCATCCATTACAAAAGCAGGCAAGGCATTTTTCATTAGGTAACGTTCTATTAAACTCTATAACTATTGTGCGGAAATTTCAGTCGTGCAATACAGAGCACTCAATCTCACCTTCACCCACTTCAGTCCAGCAAAGTTCCAACAAATTAAACTTGTCAACTTTGCTACTGCACACGCAATACAGTTCATGTCCCACGACAACTGCGTAGCGGTTTTCGCTCAAACTCTCTACGGTTCCCGTCGGTCCTGTCATCTCATGGCAGCGCACGCATGCGCAAGTCACCGAATCGAATCGTTCCACGAGGTTTGTTCTACAGCTAATAACATAGATCACGTCTTGTGGCTTTCTTGCAAAATCTGATTTAGATGTTTGTGTTTTGAGTGTGTTGTTCCCAGATGCGTGTTGGTCTAAAGCCTCCCTCACCCGATCGACGCAAATATTGTACTTTTCACAAAGATTTGGAACGATTTCTTTGGTGAGGTACTTTGACGGGATCTGTTCAAAATGGATCTCCCTGAACACTCTTTCTGCCTTGCTTGCTCTGCCAAAAAAGGAAACCTTTCTGTTATCATGTATCTTCCATGGGACCAGGGGTAGGGGGGTGGGGTGCGAAGGATCTTTTAGGAGGGGAACACATGGTTTTCAGGGAGAACGGAGGCGGGATTGGTCGTTCCCAACAGAGTATAGGGAGGGTTCTGTTTAAAAATGACCGCCGATTAATTGGCCAATGAAGGGAAATCGTAACAATGTTACAGAGGCCTATGGGGGGGGGGATCAGGTAAATTTTATCGTGGTGTGACTTTTGGAAACTTGCATAGGAATTTCTTGTAAATTTTCATTTCTTAGCTCTTAATTATATAAGTCGTCTTCATATGTCAGTGGTGAAAGCCATTGCTTCGCTTTCCGAAGCGCTAGTTGTTCCAAGACCATTTGTCATGATCCACTGACGTATCCCCCACTTCAGCTTTGTATAATACGTTCCTAAATGTGCGCCGACCCACCGTTATTTCTATTTGTTTATAAAACAGCTTACCTTCCATTTGGGTCCTGTCTGAACCACCTATAAACTGCCTCGTACACAGTCTCCTCGCGTTTAACTCGTATATTTTCGCTTCCAATTACTTCGATTAGGTGCTCAGCGGACATTGCCAAAAAGTCAGGCTCTTTAAGTAGGTTCTTGAAGTTCCAGTCAACAAAACGGTCAATTTTAGCTTTGAAATTTGTAAGTTTAAGTTTATGGGCTAAGCTTTGAAACCGCAGACAGTTGGATGCTTGAAGGTTTGAAATGACAAATTCCTGGAGTTCTTCAACAATTTCTTGTATCTACAAGAAATGAATATGACATTTTGATCTTAATAGGAATTGGCCCTATGAATAGGTTGCAGGAAATTCAGCTAAAAGATAATGCAGAGTAAGTTGGAAGTTTAGTGAGCGATTTCAAATACGGCCAGGGCTTAGTGACTGCTTTTTATCCAAGCAGGAGAAAGGTAAAGATATCCAGGTCCCTGTTATACTCTCCCACCGACGCAGCACCACAGTTTCTTTAGAAACTTACTCCAGCTATTTGCCTACTATCCTTTTCCCACGTTTGTACCGTTCACCTGCATTTTAATCCGATTTCTCATTGGCCACTCGGAATCTTTAGCTTTTTTTTGATTGGACGGTGTGATAACTCTGGTTTTGGTTTTCATGCCACTCGATAGACACGCCTACGCATGTGGACAAGACCATGAAGACCCGTTTCGAATAACGGAAATTTTAAATCGCGGTTAGAAAAATGCCAAAATCATTGTTTTTCAGCTTATCGAGAGAAAATCAACATGTTTCGGCTTTGTGGAGTAAGTTATATTCGAGCTTGTCCCAACTTCGCAATGATTTTTTCCCGCATTAAGAGCGCTTTTTTGTCAATTAATTTTCGAGTTAGAGAACGAAACATATTTCCTACACCACAGGATATTTTCGTTCAATATTTCTTTGCCTTTTACAGAAATAAACAGCGAGTCATGAGATCTGAACACAAGACCGGCGGACAGCATTTGACACATGTCCATAAAATTTGTTGCCCTTGGTTTTTCTTCTTCACCTGCGCTTTTTGAATGAACTATTTGGAAAGGCAGGAAAATTGTTGAAAGGAACTGTAATTGCGTCAAAAAGGAGCAAATCATGGTTAATTTGAATTCGTCTCTGGTTAAATTTTTCCCTCTGTGTCTCGGTTACTAATGGAAACTATTCTTTCATGTTACTGATACAACCAACATCTGGAGATTACAAACGTTTCTAACGTAAATCATGTGTTTTTCTCCCTTTTTCGTGGTCAATGTTTCCTAAGAGAACAACTCGGAAATGAACTCTTTCATTTCAGTTTTGTTATCAAAATTCGTTACAAAGTTTTATTAGTTATCGAATTACATCAGGTTTAATTACGATTATAATATGAAAATTCGAACGAGGCAGCCGACAATACTGCTCATATTGTCACCTCAACGGAACGAAATTACTTTTTCAATATTATGCTGACCAAAAGTTATGACACACTTCAACTGGATCCGATTCACAAATTCACATCAGTTGGAATACGCCGACGTCGAATTCCGCCGGAAAAAATCAAATACGAAATTTCAAGAAAATGAGCATCAGTACATTCATCCTAAAGCAAATATTACATATGCAAGAAATGTTGCTCTTTCAGAGACGGGAGAAAACATTTCACATCACACTGCTAATAAAGTCATTTTGTCCGGCTGATAGTTACTTGTTCATGTTACAAATGTAATATGCTAAGTTATCAGGCTTAAGTTGAAAATCTTTCTCACTGTAAAAAGAAAATTTTCTTGTGTAAATCATATTGTGTCCAACGACAAATGATGGTTGAAATTTAAAGTTCAATTTATTTAAACAAAATCATGTCAAACCTGTAAGAGGGAAGCCAGTGAAAGAAGCTCTTCGCAGTTGTCTGTGTTAATTACCAAGTTGCCAGAGTAGAAATAATCTAAAATCAATCTCACGGTGTCTTCTCGAAAAATGCTTGGCAAAGCAATTTCTTGTTGAAGTGTTCCAGAATTTTCCGAAGCAAAGATATTTCGTATGTACGGCGAGTTGCCAGCGAGAATCAAGCGGTGAGCAGCAAACGTTACATTGCCTACTTTCAATGTCACATCGCAAAGTTCCATATTAGATCTCATATTGTAAAAACGATCAAATATAGCGGCAAAATAACACGGATTTGAACTGTAGTCTATCCGTTTGCTTGCCCTAGGGTTATTATTCTGCTTAGAGCTTGCCATTCTCAAAGCCTTTGTCGCAGTTTCAGAATTGGATTATACAGTGATCATGCGCAAAATAGTCTTAAAAGATAATACACTTTATGATTGTATTTCCATTTTCGCCGTCGTCCATTATGTTCAGGCTGAGCATTATGTCTCTTCAAGGCGGAAAGTATCACTTGGAGGCTACCTTATCTCTCCAGCTGCGCCATTCGACGTACATTTAAAAAAGAAGTCCTTGATTCATCACCTTGTCATGCGAAAGACCAATCACATTTAACGAGGTCTCCAATTTAGACAATTTCTGTGTCAATAAATCAGCTGCAATGAACCACATTGTCGAAGTAAGATTGATATTGCGTGTGGGATTGACACTTCATCTCGTTGGACACTCGCATTATTTTTTTTGGAGAACTAGCGATTCCATCAGCGCAAGGTTTGTATTTCAGTAGTTGGCCTGAAGCAGTTCCGTTTTTCTTTGTTTATTCCATCAGTTGACGTGGCCACAGTAATTATCCAATCGACTCAGCAGTTTAATGTTTCCGATAATAACTTTGGCTCAGCATCATCTACTAACTGTTTCCTAACTTAAAATACTATTCAGAGGTTCTCTACCAATAGTTTTTCTCCCTCAACTGAAGAAAATGTTAAAGCGTCATCGAGTCGCCGCCTTATATAACTAATCTTTTGTTTGTGACAGCTTATCTCATGCACTGCTGCAAAAAAAAAACAGTGATTACTTTCCTGTATTTAATCTCTATAGCGTCAAAGGTATATTAGAATAAAACTCATATCAGTTATCGCAGCTGCTATAGAAAAGCCGCTTCGAACGATGGCGACAGCCTTTCCAGTACTCTACGGCTTCGCTATTTCGCTGCTTCGTTGCTACCTTAAAAACCTCAACGGAAATTGAAACTGGTTAGTTTCAAGCAGCTGTGAATCCCTGAGATAAAATAAATTTGTCTGCAATAAAATCTCGCAAGATGGCACTTAATTTTTTTTTTAACCGGTTATAATTTCTCTCCTAGGTGGTCAAGAAAATTGTTATTTCTAAGCACGCTTAAAAAAAGATGAGTTTTCTAAGGCAAGCGCGGTTTCATGTATAGTTGAACATAATGAGATTTTAATAGTATTTTTTTCTAAATTGGCTTGTAATAAGTAACCAAGGCTATTAAATCCCATTTGATATGAATCGAAATTCTCCTTTTTAGCAGCTCTACTGTCATTAGTTAACAGAGTTAGGCGTTAGATAAAAATAATACGCTTCAGACGATACTGAGTTGGTGTAATTTAATCACTTATTTACTAGTTGGTGTATGAGAAGTTGCGAGAAAAAAATAAATGTTGATCACTAATTACTTTCAATTGTCTGGCTCTTTGCTGGTTCTCCTACATCTTATCTTCTCGCTGATCAGTAAAAAAAAAAAAAAAGGAAGCTTTCCCAGTATAAGCATATGCTGCAAAGGGCATCCACAATAGTTCAAATCCTTTGGAAGAAAAAACTTGAAATTGATAGAAAATCAAACGTATAAATCAAAGGACATACTCATGCACGGATCTTGGTATATACATTCAAACATGAGAAGTGTCCAAAATGTGAGTCAATATTAAATTTTAATAAAAAATAGTTATATTCTTCCAATCCTCTAACAGCAAGTCTTTCTGGCTGGAAGTCAACTATTTATTACACTTCTTGGATTATAATACTTTCATTGCAGCTTTCTACACTTTCAGATTTGTTCTCTACCGACCTAACCTCCAAGAAATCTTTTTCCGGACTCACTTTTCCTTTTCCTCTGCCACGCCCTGCGGAAAATCCCGCGATAAATGTTTCGATTTGACTCATTCTGGTCCTCATTTGGCTACCAATAGACCATGAAATTCTAGGGAGATCATCTCGAAGTCTAAAGTCTTCCATTGTGCTACGCCTTCGCGTCTTTAGTGCGTCCCACAGCGTGTGAGGTGCGTTCGGATCATTTTCGTTTTTTGTCAAGTGCGATGCCAAAACCCACTCAAAGACAAGCACAATAAGACTTACTAGAACACCAGCGCCAAGAATTATGAAGACTCCCGCCATGTCATTCAATCCCAATTGTATGCCGCTATCACTGCTAAGGTATTCCTGAGCTGTGAAGCAGTCCTCATGAGTATGCAACCACTTTTGTTCAAGGTTGTCCATGAAGCCATCCTGGCGCAGTTGTAAGATTACTTGGCTTAACTGCTTTGTGTATTTAGAGCCCTTAGGCAGGCCAATACCGTAACCAATCTTGCCAAACAGCTTACCGATGGTTGTTAGAGACCCACAAGGCTCAGCAGAGTGCACTGAATGCTCCAAGACGATAGAGTCCCAAATGAAGGCGAAATTACCTCTCTTCACCCTACTAATTCCTTCATCACTGCTGGCGACGAGGGTATGATGGTACTTCATATACTGCCACATAGTCACGAATACGGGAATAGGAGATGACTCAAAGAACGCCTGTGGCTGGCTGTTACTAACGGTACCATACGAAATAGATTCCTGGCCTGCAAGGTCTTCCATGCTGCTTATTGGAGAACTAAACCTTTTTAAAGTGAGAAACGCGGCTAGATTTGCTGTATACGCCGAGAGAAGGATCCCAATTGCAAACCACCAAACTGTGACAACGGTCCTTCCAGAAGCCGAAACTGGGTGCAAACTGTCAGAGGTTTTGCCGACATAGTACATTGCAGATGTCCATAATGCATTAGTTAGGCAAAGATTGTGTTTTTGCTTCTCGTACTCCTTTGGTATTTTACGATTGGCTACGTTAAGGCATCTACCATAAAATCCATAGGGACTAACAGTACTAAAAAGCCAAATTAGAAAGCCAATTGTCAATGTGGCAGCGAGTATCACCAACCACAAATGAAGATGAAAAGGTTTGAAAAACGTATAATACTCAACTTTGTCAATGACAGTTTTAACAAGGGCCGTCAGTCCTAGATCAATAAAAGGCTGGGTAAAATCGATGACTTTTTGTCTTTCTGAGCTAACTGTAAACGCAGCCACAGCCATATCAGCTCTTCCCTCGATCAGCTCCTTAACCATTCCATTCCATTCTTTAGAGATTGGGTCCTGTGAACCGTAGCTATTGTCTGGCACCAGGTATATTTCGTACGAAAATTTTAAAATTTTTTTTAGTTCTTCCAGTAGTTCCATGCAATAACCTTGTAATTGGGGTTTTCCTGTGTATGTGGACGACCTTCGCACGATAAAAGGTTTTTCTTCAATGGTGACAACTGTTATGGTCCGATTTTCCAAAGATACGGAGGTGTCCACAGGAGCGATCGTTTTCCCAGACGACCATATTATCTCCTTTTTTGTGTCCATTACCAGCCCATTAATTGAGTCCCATCGAGCAACTGTCTCAAAACCATACGAGCGCATGTTGACGATGTCAAATCTTGCTTCGGATGGAGAGCGGTTAGTGCCAAAGAGCTTGCGATCTATGACACCAGAAGTATTGACCTTTGTGATGTAATCTAAAAGAGTGGCTCCAATTTCACTAAATGAGGATCCCTCGCCTTTGTCTGCACCAAACTTCAAGCCCTTTGTGCTTGTTACATTGTGACCGTCTTCGACCATGTTGTGAATTGCCTTTGCCAAAACCAAGACTGAGTCAAAGACATGTCCCACAGTCGAATCTCTTTCAAGAGGTGCTTTTTCGTATCCTTTTCCTTCCCACATGCTTTTAAACTTTTCGTATTCTTTGCTTCCACCGAACGAATTCCTGATGCCTACAATACCTTGAAGATACCTCGGTATGGGTTGCCCATTGTCATAAAGTCCATCAAGGGCAAATGCTCCATTTGTGACAAGCCACACCCATCCATCAATCATTCCAAGATCACTGGCTTGTTTTAGAATTGTGCGAACGTTGCTGGCGATGCAGTTTACCAAAACGATCCTAGCACCTCGACTTCTTATGTGTAGAAGTTGTTTCGTCGCGTTTACCTTTGACGCGTTACTAAACTCTTGGAAACTTTCCACGGCTAGAAAGGTCCATCCCTTGTGAGAGGCAATGTCTTTGAACATAACTAAACCGTTAAGTCCAAAATCACTCCGGGATGTTAACACTGCTAGGTTTGTCCACTTGAAATGTGACACAAAGTCGACCATAGCACGATTTTCAATTGCATCACTGCTACTCATGCGTAATAGATATCCGTACGAGTTGGGAGAGAAGTCGAATATAGGATCCGTTGCGTAGGGAGCTAATTGCGGGATGTGAAAACCAGTGCATAGTGGCTGGGTGACTTTAATTGTAGACGAAGTGATTGGTCCGACAATTGCAACCGCACCACTCTGAATCTGCCAATAAGTTGCATCCACATTGGAAAAACTGTTACTCCAATCAGTTTGATTCACCAAAGGAACGAGAACAGTGCTCGGAAGCAATGTCGTATCGTTGTTGACATACTCCACTCCAAGATTAAAAGCTAATAGTTCTTTAGAGTTTTCTTCGTTGCAGAATATTCCTCCGATCTTTGCGTAATTCGAGCCGGAAACACTCAAAGAGTACGTTAAAGAGGTAAAAAGAAGTAAAAGTTGATGTTTTGCCATCTAAAAACTTAACTTTCCTTTTCTCGTTCGAGTGTAAATTGTCAGTTGTTTAATCATCTACGTCACAAACAGCGATATAATCAGTTTCCCGCTCACGCGTGCGCCGTTCGGGCCATACGATAAATATGTACTCATTTATTGAAACAGAGACAGTTTCGAATTTGTCAAGAAAACGTTCTCAAACACAAAGTGTGGATCTTTTTTGTTAAATCCAACAAAGTTTGCTCCATCAATTTGAGCTGAGGAAAACAGAATGTTTTTTGCGTTAGCTTCAGTTTTGCGTTCCGGTCCATCATGGAATCAATGTTAGATGGAGTTCTCGATATCACAGTACGAACCACCGTAACAACAGGTAAAGACGAGTAGTACTCTAAAGTGGAGATGACTGGTTATCCGACTACTTCATCTCATGAAAACTTATTTCTTGAACGAACTTTCATTTCATCTCTCTACAGATCCTGTCCTGAGGAAAGTAGCTTATACCATTTAGTGACCGGCTGTTCAAAGGGTGGATAACATTATCCACTGGATACATCTCTATCCGGTGAATCGTGCAGTACACAGCGTTATTGACCGAGCGTGAGGTCTGAGTGAAGATGGATGGATGGATATTGGCCGGGTTCTTTTTTGCGTTTTTATAAACCGAGACGAAATCGAAATTCCTATCTTTCTTATTCTATTAGTGCTAGTCCCTTTTTTGCATAGTATGAAAACGAGACAGAGAGGACTTGAAGTCAATTCTAATTCTGCTTTCTCCAAGAATAAGAGAAAATAATAATTTAAAAAGGAACATGAGATTCGTATGTATGAAGGAATAAAGAAGATTGGAAATAAACTTTTTAACGCTATTTTTACTGCGCTGAATTCGGAAACGAAATTCCAATTGCATCGTGTTCGCCATTTAAAATAACTTAGTACTTGATTAAGGATCATGGATTCGAACGAGTGGCGTTTATGCAAGTTTCTGTCAGGCGCAACAATTGTTTTTAACACAAGACACGAGCGAGGGACTGGCGTCAACACATCTAATGGCGGAAATGGACATCCCTACATGAAAACTCAAAATTGTTGTTTTCATAAAAAGCCGATTTGCTGCTCCGGCCTCACTTTAACGTTAAAACATGGGGAATGGAATGAACAAGGTATGAAATCTCCTCTTCGTTTCTCTTTTGTAATATTCTTGCGTTTTTCGACAATATTTCCAACTTTGACATCGTCTGTACCGCTGGTGTGGATTGCAGAATTTATTCTAAAAAGCTGTCGATCGCAGCAAAGTTCTGTGTTATTTTCTCTTATTGATTGGGAAGCCAACAGTTGTAAAAAGGGTTTGTGTTAAATGCAGGTTAAAATTTTTAGTATGCTTGTTATTCAAAGACGGGAACATGGTTTTTTGCGCTCAAATTAAGGCAAACATAATTCATGTTTCTCTTCCAAAATCTAAGTAAGTAGTATTTTGAGTGAGATTCTGTACATTTAGTGGTCAGTTATGGTATAAAGAGGTCTTGTGTATCGTCTCTTATAATACCCCTAATCTGTGGAACGTGTTAGTGGTCAACCTGTTTCAAGCAGTCACCCCGCCCGCTAAATACAGGTTCGCCTGTACATCTCGGTCTGAATATCTCAGTAAAGCTTCATAAAATGTTAATCAACTCATTTGTGTTATTTATTCGCCTTCATGGGTGAAATTACCTATGGCTGGAGGCCGTTAAGAGAGGAAAGGGAGAAAGAGCTCGTGACTTGGCAGCTGTAGGCCACAACATCCTCCACTTCAAACTGGAATTCAGGCCAAACTGTTGAAAATCCTTCCTAACTGTGACTGCTGTTGATCGTTGAGGTGTTGCTCTATCCCTTCCCCAAATTTAAGCTTCAAAGCTCGAATATTTTTTTAGAAAATCAATGCTGAAATCATGAATACAGCTTTCTGGATATGATTGGGGCCAAACTCAGTGACAAGAGGAATTCATAGCATGCAAGCCGTTTCAAATTTACTAATCAGCACCTGGCATCCTACAGTAGCCCTGTGCAGTTGATGTCGATGCACTTTAGGAGCTCTATCAGTGAGGGGCTCAAAAAGTAGGGACTTCATGCATTACACTGGCATGATACTGGCTCTGTAAAAATATCATGGCTACTTGCATAGTTCTCCTTTTGAATCCAAAGACTCATGTTTGTGATCACTTTATTTTATCTTAAACAGGTCCTTCCTGGACTTTATCTTGGCAACATCAGAGGTTTGACTTAATTTATTCTAAATAATTAATCATTTTACAAAAGTATTTTGAATACTAAGCAATTTAAGGTTTGATGTAAATTTTGGATATAAATTCAGGTATGCTCAGTTTTTGTTGATGTACCTTGCAGCATGCATGTCCTTGTAACCTAACAATATTATTCAAAAAGCATTCTTATTTTTAAAAGAAAAGTGAGAAATTAACTCTAACAGCTGTTCAAAGTTTACCTTCGAAATAGTGTTTTAAATTTTATTTGTCTCATTCTATATTTACTTAATATTTTTTAATATATTATAGTTACATGTATTACATGGAGAAACCTTGATTGGTAGTTTGATGAAATCTTTAATATTATTAGTAGTTTCATAAAATCTGTATCGCACTGCTTGACAATTCAACCTTTTACCTGGCATGTTCCATCCCTTCCCTCCCTCCACCTTCCCTTTCCCACTGATAATAAGGAGGTTGGATGTGATCATGGTGTGATTATTGGTTATTTTTTCTTTGGGGCATAATGCAATGTGATCAATCCTATCTTATATGAAGAACTTACCAGTAGAATAAGGCCAGACCACAATACTTAGAGCTCTATACCTTACTCTTGGTGTAAACTGTGTGGGGTTTTTAAACATCCCCTGCCACCCAATTTGCAATGAAGATGCTACAGACAGAGCTTATTGTTTTTATCCAAAAAGTCTCATTATTTGCACATGACATCAAAATGGCAGCAGATTCTCTTTCATTAAACCCTCAAACTCTGTGTGCAAACAATTGACTATTTGAAAACTGGCCATATAATGACTTTTTCTTTTAGATGCCAAGGACAAGGAACAGTTAACAAAGTATGGAATAACACATGTTGTGTCCATTCATGATAATGCACAGGCACTGAATGAGGTAATTTACTGTTAATTTTAAAAATGTGCATTGATTTTTACTGACTCGTGTGTTTTCAGCTTTTCAAAGAGATTAGGGCCCATGAGCCATGATTTGTTATGAGGAAATCATACAAGACTTGACTGGTATTATGTGATAGTGTGATTTCATTTACAATTGAATCAAATAACATAATCTGAAAAAAAAAAAAAGCCTTCATGTATATTTTCCTAACTTGAACAAAATAAATGACAAGGGGTTATGTTAACTTTTAATAACCTTCTAAAGAACCTCTGGAACAATTTTATTACTTCACTGGCTGTATACTAAATTTTTCAGTTTCAAAATTATAATTGCCACATAAAAGAGTCTTAGAGTTTTTAGATTTGTGTAGGTTGAATAAATCGAGACCTATAATGGAGTTAAGAGTTCTAAACTGGGGCAATTTTCACCTTTTCAGAATCTAATTTACAAGTGTTTTCATGCAGCTGATTCTCCTGATCAAGAAATGTAGGTTATGTAATCCAGTAATTATAAGAAAAAAATATTTTTAAGCAATCAATCATGGAAAAAGTTTTTAATAATGGTAATAGGACTGATTGGAGTCCAATTCTGTCTGTAATCGTATGAGTGATAACAAGATCGGACAACTGCGCAGTAGGAGTGTAATTTGCTGATCATGAATATGATTACAGACTGAATTGGAAGACACAAAGTCTTTTTACAAATTAATCTTGAAAATTACAATTTCCAAGAAAAGAGAAATAGCCAAAATATTTGCATTAAAAGACTGACAAAGGAGGTAACAAATTGTTTAATATCACTTTGAAATTGACTACAATCAAAATTAATTGAATATGATTGGTTGATTTAAACTACAACTTTGAATGTGATTGGCTTAGTGAACTGTCAGATAACAAACTGTCTGATAACAACTTGGCATGTGAATTAGTGGAGAAGAGGAGTTATTTTATAGCAAGGAAAATTTAATTTTTATGATTATTGTTGTCATTATTTTTATTTTTATTAAATAGTTGTAGTTTAATTGCAGAGGTAATTGTACAGATGTATGTGATCTGAATGTTTGTAATAATATGTGGGTAAATATTGACTTTGAGTACATATGTTGCTGTAGAACTAACTAAAGTTAGGCTAATTCAATGATACAATTGCATCAAGCCTAATCTTCTTGAAGGCTTAAATATATTGCTGCAATCTGAAAAGAAAAACACAGCAAATTCCATTCCAAGCTTGGGTAAATCTTTATGTTATAAAAGCTTTCCACACTTTGGTTTGTTTGATTTTTTATGGAGTCCAGCTATAGATGAGGGTTGCTCTTTCAGTGTTTGGAATAGCAACAATTGAGAAATCTTTTTTGCAAATTTTCAGATCAGTTTACTTCAAGGAGAGCATTGATTTTATTCACAACTGCAGGTAAATGATCCTCATAGAAAGATCCATATCCTTCGTCATCTTTACTTATTACTTAGTTAGCGGATGTTTTGTCCCTGGATCGAAATGAATTTGGGTTAAACTGATTTTAAACCAGTTTTATAATTCTTTTCCTTTGATTCAGATAAATTATCATGCATAATTCTGAAGCAAAACAAAACAACACAAAAATTAAAAGTACATTTTAAAATTAACGTACATTTTAGTCTGTTAGCTACACTGTTAGTTGCATTTATTTGTAAGCAAGTTTATTTCCTTTTATTTCAGGTTAAACGGTGGAGCATGCTTAGTTCATTGGTAGGCAACTGATGATTTCTACAGTTCTGACTTCTCCTTTAATGAAAATGCAACTTATACAATTTATTAAGCAAATTGCTTTGTGAAGTTGAAATGAACAGTTGCCATTTCGACAATGGCAACTTGGAGGACTGAAAAAGATATGGATGTAATTTTAAAGCTTTTTTTATGTTGATAAGATTTTAATGGTTTTTTTATTATTAATATGCTTTTCGGAGCACATAAATTTATCTTTCAAAATCGAAATAAGTGATGACATATTTATGGTAAAGAAACCAAAAACTGTTTTTTTCTTAAGAAAAGTGTTAACTAAACAAAGCGAGTGAGGTTAGTTAGTGAATGAATTTGAGTAATGTTCGATCTTGAGAGCGCCTTTCGAGTGAATGTCGTAAAATTATTATCAAAGTTCCCGTAATCATAATGGCCAATCAGAGAAAGGAAAATTTTACAAGGAGCAAGTGAGACCTCAAATTAAAAAACACCATCAAACTGCCTGAAGCGCGGGAAAACGCGGGTGACTATGAAGCGAATGGTGAGTTTTATATTTGATTGGTTGAGAGAGTGGCGCGCATTTTCTGATTCAATTGTAAACAAAGGCTACCAAGGATACTATCTTTGCCGGGATTAGAAAAAGTTGCCCAGGTAAGAAGGGGGCCGTTGGAAATTTGATATTTTGAATAGTCCGGTATCGAATCGAATTGAAGGTTCGACTGTACAAAAGAGTTGTCCTATCCAAGTTGCTTATAGTTGTAAACTGAAGCTATATGTTCTTCAGACATGTGGCATGTTCACTTGAATTTTGTTTCTAGTGATTTTAATGAGCATTCCTTTTCTGTTGTTGCTGTTCTTTTTCCTCAAGCATGGCGGGAGTGTCTCGCTCAACAACACTTGTAGCAGCGTATATCATGGCAGTAACTCAGCTCGATTGGAGAGAGGCTCTTAAAGCAATTAAATGTGCAAGACCTATAGCTAACCCAAATTACGGATTTAAAAGACAACTACAAGATTTCTACAACTTACATGCACCTCAGGTACTAAAAAACTTGTGAGAGACATGCATTTTCATTTAGAAATGATGCCTGTATCGTATTTCATGTAAGATAAACTTAAAAAGCCAAATTTAGTTCATGGTAAGCTTAATGTTTGACTCAGTACAGTTTCACAAAACCGACTTTTATGTTCGTCGCTTCTATGCCACCAGCACTAATTGTCCAGTGTTGCTTCCTGAGAGATCACCGTGATCCAATGTTTTTTCCTTTCCTGAGCTAGTTGCTTTAGTTACTCGAAGAAGAAGATTTAAACGCAGCGCTTGATCGGGGGGATGAGGTGAAGGAACTCGGAAACCAAGGACTTCTGGATTGCACGCCTCACTCCGTGCTCACAACTTCCCTTGTCGAAAGGGAAACTTTAGATAGAAAGTGGTAATTTCAGTTTCTGAGTTTTCCATGAAACTTTGTTTTTATAAAATCAGGAACGTGAAAGACTAAAAAGAGAGTTTCCTAACCCAAAATATAATGACGAGGAATTACTCCGAGACGTTATGGCAAAAAGTGAGAACAACGATGATTCAGAAGATCGCACGGATGATGTTATGGACGCTTTATGTAGACGTACACACAGGACTAAAATTCAATCAATCGACAAGGAAAATGAGGAAACAATGGATTCCGTAGGCGAGGAAAAGATTGACTCAATAGGCGAGGAACCTCCACCGAATACAGCTGTAGAGAATTAGAATATTTTCGTAGGGTTTTTTGCTTTGTTTTTCAGTTTTTGTCGCGATTTATGCTTCACTAGTTACATGTATTAGAAGAGAAATCATCACAAATGGAAGTTATACACAAATTCTAATCCAATTCCCACACTGGTGCTTTTACTCAAAGTCTCAGATGTTCGTTTTATTGCTATTTAAGCAATAGACCGCACTTTCAATCGGTTTACCGTCGTAAAACCCCTCGTGGGATGCTGACAGAACATGAGAAATGTTTGTAATTCGTACACGCCAAGGGCACGTGGTGTACAAACTTTTTTAGTGTTCTCCTAACATTACGACAACAAAACAATAGTAAGTGCGGTCTATTGCTTTTATGAAATACACGAGACAAGTTTCAATTTTCTTTGGGTTACAAGCAATAAACGATAGGTGTTTGACCAATCATGGCCCTCGTTGTATCTCAGTGATTTTAGAAACCAAGACAGTCTTGTACACCTAAAACGCCGTAAGAATTTCTGTCTCACGGGACTCAAAGCGGATTAATATGGGCGGCGATCATGCGCCGTTGTAATATTAGCTTAATATTTGCGATTATATTTTTTATAAAGAAGCATGTACAAATAAGTTACTTATTAAACTGATTGTAAAACAAGGAAAAACAAATGTGGTGGTTTTTATAGCAATAGTTCGCCTCCTAGACGTCTGTGTCAGCCCAGCTTGTAAGGCGCTCTAATTCGATTCGATTTTAGTCGCTTCTCCTCTGATTTTTACTTATTTGTCTTGACGTATAAAATTTTTATTTCGTTACGTTGTATAAATAGTGCGTTCTCAGCGATCAATAGGTGCTTCAGTTCTTGAGGTCGTTATATTTTGCCTCGTTGGGGGGGGGGGAGAGAAAGAAGTGGAACTATTTTTGTGTCACAATGATATATATATCAGCCAAGGCTCTGTAGTATTCTAATGACTCCCCCCCCCCTTGGCAGTGAATTTTCTATAGTGCCCCTCCTTTATTCTCTGTTAGCGACGGCTGATCCCCCTATTTTCCCCTTAAATCTAAATCATCCCCAAAAAAATTCTCCGACCCCGCCTAAGCGATAAATTGATTTTTTCCTCGAAAGACCCGGAAGATTAGAGCAGGAGATAGTGAGGATTTCACGAAGCCAATGCCAGGATGTATCGGATTTTTTGCCGAAATTATTCTTCCGTCCATGTGTCGGGAAGCTTCGACTTCCTCTGGAAATAAGTTTGCGCTTATCAATCATAAGACCTCTCTTTGATATAACTCATTTTACGTAATTTTCCAAGAGTTTACGAGTATCAGAGAAACAAGTAAAGTATGTTGACCTTGGGAGAAAGCATCGTTCATAGTACAATACCAGTGTAAGTAGTTGTTATGAGGTGGCCAATCCAATTACAGCACGGTCTTAGAAGATTCCCTATATTGGAATAGCTACGTAAACGCGTACAAAATGTTTGGCGCGACACTGCTTTAACCAAACTGTTGAAAGAGATGTTTCTGACGAACAACGAGAACAAAACTTCCGCGTTGTCAGTTTATTTATTAGGGCTCAGTGAACTGTAGAGGTTCACCAACTCCACATGTTTCCTTTTCAATTCCCCCAATAAACCATTTTATATCTAGAAAAGAGAGTAAACATAATATTTGTCGGCCCCTGTTAAGATAATGATCCTTAATCAACCGCCCAAGGCCATATATAAATTACACTTGAGGCATCGTGGCTCCCAAAGAGCCCGGTCTACATTTCGGAAAATAACGCTGTCGATGTGACGATATTACTCCTCCTGCGTTGAATGCTCCGCATCAGAAATTTAGTTGTTGTTCATCTTGTTGCGAAGACGTAATCCTAGTACACCTGCATGTAGTGAAGTTATATTTTTAAGTTTTCTTTAGGCGGTCTCGCCTGACAGGGTCTGTGTGACTAGTTTTGGATGTTTCCACTTCCAATTTCGCCATTTCTCATTGACCCATATCGATAATAATTTGCTGCCCGCAATGCATATTTGTTCAAGTTTAACACTTCCTTTCATTTATTTAGTACGTTTTGGTCGGTTAATACTCCCTTAATTCCGAGTTTAAAGAAAATTCTGCTTCTTTCCGGGAAAACTTATAATTTTTAAGATGTATGCACTATGTAATTAGACAGGTTTTGATGAAACACAATTTCCATATTTCCACATTGGGTGATCGAGGAAGTATGTGTTGCGTGACACGCAGAATTCAAAATTTTGAAAGTACGTTTTCCTTCTTATGTTTCTATTCAGCCTTTCTTTACTGTGTCTCTATTTAGTATCATAGCTGTACAAATTTAACTGATATATTCTCTAAGACCATTTCCGCCTTCATGCCCGAGGGGTTTGTTTTTTTGGTAAAATGAACTGGTACGATATTAGCATAGACGCAACACGTGTTTATTTGAGAGAACGGAAGTCTCACGCTTGAGTGGGTTGACCAATAAGAGTATATGGAATTAATTTACCGGGAAAAACCCTTCAATAACAGAAGCCCTGGGGTTAAAAAAGGCAACATTACTAATTGGGTTTGGCTGGCGAACACTTTTACGTTTAATGCATGGATGTCAGAAACCGAAAGAACTCATCCCTTTGCCTATTCCCGAAGATAGTGCTGTTGTAAATCCAGAACTGACTTAACTTGAATTTCCCTCGCAAGTAGATTCAAGAAAAGCGGTGCTGATACTGAAGGCGGCGACATGACATTATCCACGGAGCGACAGCGGTTGAGACCCTGGTTAGAGGATAAAATAAACAGCGGAAAAGTGCCGGGACTGTGTTGGCGTAATAAAGAGAAGAAAGAATTTCGAGTCTCGTGGAAACACGCTGGCAAACCTGATTTTGTTGTGGAGAAAGATGCCATGTTATTTAAGCTTTGGGCCGAGCATACTGGTAAATATCGCCCCGGTGAATCTGCCGATCCCTCGACGTGGAAAACAAGGTTCCGATGCGCCTTGCACAAAATGCCGGACGTCGAAGAAGTAAAAGTTCCCCATAGTTTGGACGAAAAGGAACCTTACCGAGTTTTCCGTTTCAAGGATAAAGGTAAGGAAAAAGAACGGCGCGAGTCGAGTTTAGGAAAAACGTAATCCTAAATTATATTTGCTCACGAAGGTTTTTCGGAATCACGCGGTCAGTGCAGAAATAACCCATGACTATCAAGGTTATGTACACCGGCGAATAACAACTGTAGCCCGTTCAAATACAGCACTGATATCTTCCGACATTTAAGCTCTTTAACCTGCGTGCAAACCAGTGTGACCTGTACCCAAGCTGTAGTAAAAAAAACAGAAACCAGCCGCTTTCCTTAATTTTACTCAACAAGAAGCCAAAAAACTTGCTTAGTGTTTAATCAGCGCCTGGTCAGTGATCTTTTTTTCTTACGAGCAACGAGGGCTATTAATCTTGCCTGAACGGCACTCTGACATTCAAATTTTTTATACTGAGTGTTATATTCTAATCATGGGGAACAACGATGGACAATTAAAAAAAAATTGAGAACAAAAAATGAGGGTAGACTTTTGAAGTAGTTTTGTGTCGATCACTAGAAATATTAGGTTAGATTTATTCAAATGTATTCGCCGAAATTTTGATATCAAAGTACCAAGGATTTACCAAACAAAACAGTTTTTATCAATGTGCACAATACATTGTCAATCAATCTTTAAGGAAGTTTACGTCATCTTGTCGCGGTATTTAAGTGCTAGAAAACGAAAAAAAATTGATATCAGCCATGGGGTATTTAGTTAAAATCGAGCCATAAGTACAGGAATAACTTGCTTTTCCATCAAATGGAGTGTACAATGCAATAAACGAACTTCGCTGGAAGGATTGCTTACGAATTATAAAATTTGGGGATTCCCAGATTAGTTGCGAGCGAGTTATCATCACAACAGTTAAAGAAAATTTCCCTATTTTTTTTAAACAATAATTTAAAAACAAGTTAATTCTGGTGTTTGGGGCCTTGTTAATTAGCTACGGTAAACAAAGAAAAACTTCAAGAAAAATACCGTTTTGGCCGCCATCGAAGGTCTGCATATCGCTTAATGTTGTCGATTTTCGACATGGCAATAACGAGAAATTTTACTTTTGCATAATTTTGAGTACTGAGTTTCCGTGACTTTGTATTCTCTTTGCCCTGAAATATCGATTGTTTCGAACCACGTTTGAACCACTGAAACGAAACTGGAGCAAAGTCAGACTTGCCTAAAAGAATTTGAAAATATACAAAGTTCGAACCTTCTATGAATTTCTAAGACTCATGGATGATTTTATTTTGAACGTTTAGGCGGACGGACTTATCGCTTTCGAAACTGTTTCTTCATGTTGACGCAAGACAAGTACTAAAGTTTTTTTTTCATGCTTCGAATGAGATCTTTGATTCCATGCCATCCATTTGTCACAGTGCTTTGGAAGAACATTCAGATGGAATCACATTCTAATTAGAATAGAAGGCAAAGAGATAGATAAGATCATTTGGAATATATCGTTGTTAAGACATCAAAATCGCGTCCGAGCCATTAATTCTAAAGCGAACCTTCCTAAAGAGATAATGAAAATATCAGTTAAAAATGACGTTGTCAACATAACTTAGTAGAAGACAAATATCCGGCTCGAACGAAAACCACAATGTTAACTGAATTTAGGCCCAAAATCCTCTGCGATCAAATATTTAGTCAGAGAGATTTTCTTTTTTCCGTTTTCTCGTTCTCTTCTTGTCTGTTCTTTTTATAGAAAAACTACATCTTAATTTTGTAATTCAGGGTAAATCGAAAGTTCACTGCAAGGGACAAATGTACCGCACCCGGACACTCCCTGATCACACCCTGATGTTGTCAAGCTGGCTGGCGATTACTATCAAACAATGACTGTGCCAGAGGCCTTAAAAAAACATTCATCGGCAACTTATACCTTTATAGCTAATATGCAATTAAAATCTTAGGTAGCGTTTTTTTCCTGTACACACACAAATGGTTCGATTCTTTTTAATTTAAACTTTGCTTTGCTAAATTTTCAGACTTCATTGCCCCGGAAATAAAATCGTGGGTTCAACTTTTTTATTGTTTTCAGACGATAAGACTTCCTTAGGTAACCAGCCAAGACTACCACGTGGGTGAAAGGAAGTTGTAATTAAGTGAGGTCGTTATCAGTTTCATCGGGTATCACTATTGTGTAATTTGAATAGGAAAACAAACAAAATATTATGCTCACCCATTTCTGTGCCAACTATTCATGAAATCTAATAGGGAAGTCTGCAAGGGGCCGGGCGGTTCGATAGTTGGACGACATACCTCGCAGAAACTCAAAAGCATGTAGTTAATTTTTCTGCCAAAAAAGTACTGCATAATTTAGGTGAATTAAGTTTAGAATCCTCCACGAGTTCACTCCCCAAAGAAAGACCTACTGAGAAAAAAATTTGCCGAGAGAACTGAATATTCAAGATCCTCAAAAATCAATAAATTAAATAAAAATGTTGCTTAAAGTATCTTTCTTACTATCGATCTTGAATAGGAATCATAAATCTCTTTGCGCAATCATATAAATGATGATGATAACTCGCAAGTGTGGTGATTGTTATTCAGTGAATGGCACAGGCATGCTGGGAAAAAAAACTCGAGTGCTCCCAGTGGGAGTCAAACCTACGATCTTTCGATTAGTACTTCGGATGCCCTACCACTGCGCTTGAAGAGACTCGTGGTAGGCTAGTTTGTTTAGTTAGGTCCATGGTGACAAACCTCCTGCCAAGAATGTGCATACTGCTAAAAGGATTTGTTGGAAGATTGTCCAAGGTGTTTTGGGAGGAAGTTGGAAAGGTCGAAGGATATGATCACGCATTTCTTTCACGTAAAACACAAGCTCAGTTATCATCTACCAGTTAGGTATCCCCATGCAAGGCTATGATTTACTCCAAGAGTTTTTTTTTTAACAGTCATTATTTCTACTTGTGTTCTTCAGATGATTGCTCGCAAAAACCACAAAACTTCGGTTCACTGAGGTCGGAGGAAAATCAAAATGGCAAACGCCCAATGGTAAGGACAGTGCATCGTTTTGTCCCTCGTTCGGATGTGGTTTCTCCGGTAAAGGTTTAACATGCTTTATTTTTTCTTTTAAGAAATATGTAATTCATTTTTTCTAAGGCGGGAAAAGAAAAATTCTGGGTCTCTCACAAAGAATAAAACCTCAGACATTTGGTTTTCGCAGCCTGATGCTCTGCATGCCTCTGAGCACTGATAACTCGCTAGGCCTCCATTGGGTACATATGTGATGAGTTTCTTGCATGGTGGGAAGATCAGCGATGTCGTAATTAAACTGTTGTGCGAATAATAAGAGTGAGAACGATGGTAAATTTTTAGCTCGGTCGTCGAAAATAGAAACGAAAGATGAAATTCATTTCGTTAATTAATTAAGAGCGTGAGGCGGTGAAAAAGATCAAGTTTTTCGATTTGTTTGATCTCTTTAGTGCCGTGTAAAGGGCGACTCAGTGATACGTAGTACAGCTCCGTCAGCAAAAGCGGAAAATGTGTTCTTTAACAACTATCCAATTTTGTCTGGACCGCTGAATTGTGGCCGGTTTCAAGACTCTCCACACAATAGCAGTGACAGCTCACCTGAGGACGATTTAGACAGTATCACTCCGGTGAGGATTAATGTTCGGTTTGATTTTCTAAGGACTCAGGTATTAAACAGAGTAAAAATGGGGATACTCCCGCTCCTTTCCCTGCTCTAAATTAAGAGTGACAGCGTTCATCATTACGGCGTGTTTTTGGACTGTTTTTGAAAGAGGGTTTATTACAAGCTTAAACCTTTCAAAGTGTTGAGTATTAAGACCCTCTTAACGATAATTCACGTGTGTTTTAGACAGCTTTTTACTTTCTCTCTTCTGCCTTTGCACTTCTGAAAAAAAAAAAAAAAAAAAAAAAGGTTCGATGATACGAGAACAGCCCCAAAAGCAACTTCCTTACGCAGTGATTATTTATTTTTCCTTTGGGAAGTTACTCTCTCTCGATCCAGTTTTCCTCGCCCGCCCCGAAACTTACGGTTATCATGCTTTTTAGCATGTCAAGAACGCAACAGACATTTGACCTCATTGAATGCATTTTACAGACAATTCCGCCATATCCGAGCCAAGGCTACGAACCCATGCTCACCGACGAACCAATATGTGGAAATCTACCAAATCCATATCAGTTCTCTTATTCCAACAGCCATCTTCTTTTTGGTGGGGATTCTGCAAGTGATAACTTTATGAGACCTACGCAACTCCCTCCTAGATTGGAGAGTTTGGATTTCACAAACGTCAGGAAGGATATTTTAGAGGCCACTCTCGTAGCCAATGGCCAAATGTTCAATGGATTAAGCGAAAGCGGACAAGCATTTCTACAGCATCTCATGGCAACCAACCCAGCTCTTATGAAACTTTGGCGTCAAGGTGCATTCTCACCGAACGAGGTATGAACAGTGTGTTTTGAAGAACTCTTTAAAAGGGCACATGAATTAAAACCGTGGATTTCTTAGAAGGGTACATTTGGTGTAACTACTTTTTTTCGGTCTGGTATTCATTTTAGCAGACTAAGTGACAGAGTGAACGTATTTTGCATTTATTGGAGGCACTAACTTGTTTCCTCAATCTTACCTGTCGTTCCTGATGTTAACACTTTTGTTTCTAGTCCTCTAATGGATCATCTTCTGTCAGCACTCACTTCAACATGGATAATGGATTAATAGGTAAGATTATTATAAAAAATACCACAAGTAAAAGGCCAGAAGTAGCTTGTGAGTATGCCCTCGTTACCAGTGCCTCAGCACGAGTATGCCCTCGTTATCAGTGCCTCGACACAAACGTTTCCTCGCCCGTATCAGTGTAGCTCTGGTAATGAGGCATTTTTAGTGCCAGACCCCTAGCAAACCTCTCTTCGACTCGTTTCAAATCTTCCCGCGGCGGAAAAAGTCGAATACTGCAGCTCTTATAAGGAGCGCCTGCTTGTAAGCTTCGCCAGTGGTGTTACCGCAAAAAGAATAAGATACTTTTGAGAAAATGCTTCGGCTCCTGAAACAGCTAATACCAACACATATTAACCGTTACATTGGAAAGCGTCGCGTAAATGATGCAGTGGTGATAATGAGATGAGTTTCTCCCCACTCCCCCGCTCCCCCTTTTATATTGCTGTGGACTGGGGTCTTTTCCGACCATGGTACCAACTGTGGGTGGAGTGTCTCAGCGTCTTTCACTTGGGCTTTCCGGACTTCCTTTCCAAAACCAAACAATTCAACTGATTTCAATTTGAAAAAGGAACAGAGGACTAAGAACCATTTCGTTGGTCTGCCTGCTAAAACGAAATGCATTTGATAATTAATAATTTATCATTTATCCCGGAGTTCAACTTCTCCTATTGTTATATTATTTAAGAAATAGTAAGCCCACCCAGACGTGTAGATGAAGTAGAACTGTGAAATTGCACTGCACAAAAAATTGAAATTGATCATCTACACAATTTTTTTTGCAGAGGCTACTGGTTTGGAAATGGACGAAAGCATGGGCCGAACGGTATGTAAATTGTCAAAATGAAGATTTTTGAAGATGAGAGTGAGCATCACAGATATTTATTTATAGTACAAAAAAGTTCACATCTGTCTTACGTCACATTTTCCAGGTCACAAACATCCATCAATCAAATGAGAATCCAGGGTCAGGGTTCGCAAGGCCTGGAAAACAAGCAGGAGACAGCTGTGGTAAGTGAAGTCTCTCACTACAAGATGAGTATATTACTCAGCGGAACTCGAGAATATGCACAAAATGATCGCGGTATCTCAATGCGATCTGGAAAAAGGTCTGTCTCAGTTTAGTTAAAATGCATTTATAAGCAATTTACAAGGGTATATGCCTGTTGGTAATTTCAAATCATTGTTCGATTTGTATATTCAGAATCCGCCATGCGCATCCGGGTATTCTATGGTAACTATGAAGTATTATCCACCGACACGAAGCAGACAGAAAGTGAACGGTTAATCCGGATATCCCACGGATGTCACATGGTAGAACCCCGAAAGCTCGAGTTGGGTTTACTGTGTCAACTGTTCGGACCTCCTACTGCCAGACAGATCGAGCTACCGCCAGCTGTGAACAACAACTCCAGGGAAGTTATGAAAGTGATGGATTTCATTAAACGCGGTATTATATTGGAGATCAACGAGTCCAATGACATAATTGTCACTCGTCTATGCCTCGCAAGGGTAAGCAGTTTTGTTCAGTTTTGTTCGTTTTTACTTGTGGATACCCGAAGCAAAAGAATGAGTATTGTGGGATTCGATAAACAAATTTCGTGGCGTGAGCACGGCCTTAGGAGTCTGTGGAGAGCATGCATCTTACCATCACAACTAAAGAGGACCCTTGTTAGAATGTTGGCTCCATTCTGCTTCTTGGAATTATAGGATCACTGGCCTTTAGTGCAAGCACTGTATATACTAATTAGATTCTGTATAGCATATCCACAACTGAAGTTCACTGAAGTATCACTTTGATCTTTATTATATTAGTGCTTATAGTAAGCGTGATAAAAATGCTTTCTGTTTTTGATCAGTTCATGGCGTTTACTATTATCTCTTCTTCTTCTTCTTTTAGGTTTACTACTCGAACGGAAGAAAGGCTGCTAAAAAGCTCATTCGCGAGGAACGTACTAAAGTATTTGATTATCAAGGAAAATTTCTTCCCAATCTCAGAGAAAGCCAAAACGGGAATTGCGAGTATCCTTCGTATGAAGTCACTCTTTATCTGGGAAGAGCCGATGGGAGTCTGGTCTCTATTGTTATCACTCACGTGATGGCTAAGATGACGCTGCATATTACTAGCTCATCGGGTGAGAACTTTTGGTCGGAGCCAAATGCGAACGACCAGTTAGCGACAAACTTGGAGGAGGATTGTATGTATTAGTGTAGACACTTAAAAAGTTATCACGTATATGTTGAAAAAAGCCATGATGTTCTATGCTCTCTTCAGTGCTCAGGGCGTTTACCTTGCATTATTGCGGACTGACTGACAGAGTGGCCAATTGATGAAGATAATTCTGTTGTTAAATTGAACTGTGAAGCCAAAGAAATCAGTTCTCTAAACTTTGCACATCATCTCTTGTACTAAACAAAACAAGTTCGATTCTCCTTTTCGTCAGCTGTGCCACTGCAAACACAAACAAGAGAAAATACAAAAATGAATTCATTATCACGAGGCCCTACAAGGCTGTTAAAAATGAAAAATTTCGACTGTGTTTAGTATCAAAGATCTCATAATGAAGCCTTTTTAGGTCTTATAATTAGATGATAAAAATTCGTCTGTAGTTGTAACATTAGCGAGTGTTTCTAAGTTCAGTTGATGTGAACCACATTACAGCTCAGTCACGAGTGAGCTTTTGTTAAAATTACTTATTTTATGAATTTGTAATTTTTTTCATTTCTATTGTCATGCGCAACCATAACAAAGACCTTGATAACATTTATATAGTATTTCTATAACATCAAAGAACAAATGCGTTTGTATCAAACTTACGATTGTTATGTAATTAGTAAAACCATGTCGCTATTGGAGTTGTAGCCGAGTCACACTCAGTACTTAGTATTCGTAGAGCCGTTTTTATGTGACTGTTTCAAGACTGAATGCAATTCAATCAAGTCCGAACACTGACAAGAAAGAATGTGAACGCAAGCGAATTACTATTATATCTTCAGTTAAAAAATACGTGGTAGCTATATAGTGGCGGAAAGTGCGCGAATACCACAGGTGTTAAACGCAGAAAGCCCGTCACTGCCACGGGTTAGGGTGCACGGCCATTGCTATGTATGATGGGAATGCTATCAGCATCGTGCCCATGATCACGCGTGAAGCACGAAAGAAACGTGCGTTGGATCTTGCCTTGCTATTAAACAATTAGGATAAGGTAAAAGTATTATTCACCAATTATTTAAACCACTCTGAGTGCGTAGACCGTGAACACAAAAACGTGACGAACCCATTCATGCAAAACTACTATAGACAGTCATATAAAAACAGTTTTATAGAAAAATGTTTATTAAGTTGTTTTCAACTGTATGCCAGGTTTATATTAGACTTTTGTAACTAATAATACGTTTTTCAATAAAACTAACACCCACACGCAATTTAAGTTGGTACGCGTCTGGTTTTTTATATAATGATTGTAAATGTTCGAGAAAAATCGATTTCAAGTAACTCATTACCCATTGTATATGACAAAATGAATTTACTCCTCTTGATAATTCATCTGCAGTCTCTCTCCGACGCCTGTAAACACGTTCATGTCGACCCATGTACAGCCACCCCTTTCTAGACTTTGATTACATCAATACAAAAAACTTATTTGGGCTCTGACTGATAATTCATTTTAAATTATTGTTTAAATTCCAGTCTTTTTCCTGTGTAATGATTGTGTTAATCCGTAGTTTTCGGTGGTCTTATTGATGGGTTGCTTACTTTTTACTGGATTTCCATCCACGACATGCCGTAACATGTCATCGAGAAAATCACGAAACTCCATCTTAAAATCATTTTTTTGATCGACCTTGGCTGAAAGTAGACTTGCGATTGATTGCGTGTCTCTAACTCAGTCAGTGAATTCTTCAGATCCGCAACAATAATCTTAAGAGTAATCAAAGATACTACTGAAAAGGAAGCGTACAGCTGACTCTCAATACCAAGTGACTGACTAATTCCCATAAAAATATTTACACTGAACAGCGATTTAAATCTTATTGGTCGTTATTGCCTGCGTGCTGTTATTCATTGGCTCAGGTCCGCTGAAGAAATACTGTAAACAGTCATAATTCCTTAAAAATATACGCTTTACAGTTTGGCGAAACGCTCTATATCGAATGCTATATATGATTGGATTACAAGCACTGTTTGCAAAGCCGATAAACATTGTTATTAGATCTGCTGTTGGTCCTCCTGTGGATTTTCCACGGGCCATTTGCACAAACAGAAGAACACAAAAAGGTGACCAACAAACCATATAGATTCCGATAACAATAAGCACTGTTAAGGCTCCCTTCCTAGTTGAGGCCCGTGTTCTTGTTGTTAAATCAAAGTTACTTCGCACCTGTTCCATTGTCACGGAAATTTTCTTCGACTGTTTGAAAATTGTCAAGAAAATCTTCAGGTAAACAAAGCACATGACTAAAACGGCAGCCCCGTATGTTCCACAAACGACTGCAACGGTGAAAACGACCGCAACTTTGCTCTGGAGCCAATCTTTCTCAAGACATTTTCCGATGTAAGGAATAAAACATTCGTAAGAACTTACACCAAAAAGTGGCGGCAGGGCCCATAGAGTTGAATATATCCACAATAAAAGACAACCATATTGAGCTCTTGTTTTGGTAAATATCGAGCGGTAAGCTAAGGGACGAGTAACTGCAATATATCGGTCGAACGACAGTAATGTTAGGTGCATAATAGAAGAAATACAGAAAGAAAAGTTACCAAACGCGTTTAGTTTTCCCCATAATGCTCCACATCGCCATTTTCCTGATAACAAACCGTCGATTGCACAGGGCATAACTAGTAAACCCACCAAAAGATCAGCGACCGCTAACGAAATGACGGCTTGATTGTTCGCCATACTTTTCAGTGAATTGATGTTCGCCATTGCCACGATAACAAAAGAGTTACCAACCAGAGTTACAACGTTCACTACAATCATGAGAATGCTTGTTAAAACTACCACTCCCAAAGGCCAGGTTGACGGGACCAAGGAAAAATCTTCCACGGTAGATTCATTGCAGCAATTGTTACTGAAATTTTCTGACATCCTAAACTTCATCCAATGGATTTAAGTTCTAAAGATGGCAAATAATTCTTTGCGTTATTTGTTTGATGGCGTATCGGAATAGTACAGTGGAAAAGCACAGGGTCGACGAACTTGAAAACTAAAAAAATAATCACAATTCTCTGTGTGTAGGAGGTCCCAAAGTCTTTTTCAAGAAACTTCCTTAGAGAAGACTTGAACCTTTAAAAAAGGTCTCTGCTCTATTTTTCACAATATCCTGGTGTTCTAAGTCTTGTTATCGTCCTGCGGGCAAATATGGCTCAAATTCTCTCATTATTCAAAAGTATACGAGGGCACTAAAGGTTCTATATATCGATAATTGTGAAAGCCACAGACACAATAACGAAGGAACCACAACGATCAATACAGCTTCGCTTAACTAACAATATTACCACATTCAGAATGTTTTTATTAGCTTGCGTCATGATAATGCAGGAGAGATCGACTTCACTAGAAGCACTTTCGGTTAAAAGTATAGTTCGGTATCGTTAAAATAATGATTAAAGAGCACTGGCTCTGACGATGGGCTTACGCCCGAAACATCAGCTTTAGAAACTCTACCGTGGCAAATTTACATTATAAACTCAGTTGCTAAATCCAATTATCTTTCAGAAAAAAGAAGCATTTTTTACTTTCTCATAATTCACGGACTCAAATTGAATTGCTTTCAGAGAACAAAATAGTCGTAAAAAGTGTAAAATCTCGTTCCGCTCTGTCGAGCCTGAGTTATCAGCCACGAATTTATTGTTGTTTGATTGGATGATCTGAAATAGCTTCACGCTTCTACACTTACTATGGAGACAACATGCTGAGCAATTAGAAAACAAACCACAGTTTCCACGAAGTTTTCAAACTCAGTATTGATAATTTCATTCTGTTTTTAATACTACACAAAAATACTAGCGAAATTGAAATGACTAGGCAATAACGAAATGTGCTTGAGTACCAAAATCTAAAAAAAAAAACTAAGGGCATTGGTAAAATCAGTTATTTTAATTCAACAAGATAATTTTAAGAATCATTTTCACCATTTATAGAAAGTGAGAGTTATTTTCATGCATTCAGTATAATAAAACATAAGTCAAGGAATAGAAGAGACAGCGTGACAAAGTTGATAGCAAAAATCCCTATGCATTTCCTATGGCTGAATATATATATAACTGATATAATAGGAAAAACCTTATGAACAAGACTCAATGAACAAATTAAAACAAAGCAGGGTTCCAGACGAAAAGCCCAAAATGGTTTTGTGAGAGCTACTTTTTAATTAATCTAATTTCTTCTGTGGCGAGTTTAGAAATGCTAAATTTAAACTATTGAAGGGTTATATTAAGAAGTCTTGACGAAGCAATATAATCATTCAGTACCATAAAATCTCCTGGCTTCATCTTAAAGTTGCAAAGTGAAACGATTATTGCTGACATTCACCTTTTCAGCACCAGTCTAAAACTAAAATCAAACTGGCTCCGTTACTAATCAAGAAAAGTATACTAGCAACGATTTCTATTGAATCTGGTCGTAGAGTTTTATAAATAAAAACTCGATGAGTGTAAAATTTGCAGAAAACAGATATGTTAAGTCAGGTCAATGAAAATTATTTCCCATGTTATCCTATTTTTAAAAGATCTTATGTACGAGGATCTACGTCACATTTTGTATTCGGGCTGAGTGTTTTTCAGCTATCCTGTCAATCTTCTCCACACTCAATCATTCATGCTACATTTCGGTCTGAGGTTTCTCCTGTTCAAATTAATGACTTTTAAGCTTGGAAAATTTTAATTAGAGCAATTTCACAAACTGCAAACAAAAACAAAACAAAACAAGGGAAAAACATATGAAAATACATTCACCCAGTAACTCTGACCCTAAAGATTCGCACGCATGACGCGCGTGTGTAAACAGCGTAAGATTCACACGACCTAATTGACGCTTTAACTGTATTGTTACAATTTGGTAACTACTTCATTTGGAGATATGAAAGAAAAATATCTGTCACTTCAGCTTCACGAGTTTTGAGTATGGAAAAAGTGGGCACAACCAAAATACTGTACTGTCATTCTCTAGGTGAAGGCCAACATCTTACACGAAATCTAATGTTCAACGCTATCCAATAGCAAGGTTATCTGGACATTTAAAATATTTTCATCGACAACTGTTGCAGAAGGTAAAAATGCCGATGCATGAATGAGCACTCAGCTCAATCATTTTCATTTTTCAGCCTCACACGAAAAGCCAATTCATATGAGGAGGGTCGTAATAATGTAAACAAAGGATAAAAATAGTACCATGATTTCGTGTTGAATTTAGAAATGAGAAGCACCCTTAAGTAGATTTTAAATTTGCCATCTCTAGATCGCTTTTTGATGACGACACAGCAGCCATATTGTTTACCAAAACGATATGATGGCAGCCATGTTAGTGTTCAAGTCTTTCCTGTAACCTTATAAACGCTTTTCATTTGTAGACAGTCACTTCTCCTCCGATAAATTTGCGTAGCTCTCAGCACGTGATTTTGAAAACGTCCTCGAGGATTTGAAAAATTATTTGGGTGTATTCATGATGTTCATATTCGAAATTCCTGCGGGAAATAATGACATTTTGCTTAATTGGTTAAGATGGATTCCATGTCTGAGAAGTAATGGACCCCTCGTCTTTTTGATTCCTGGTTGAAAAAATGCAAGTGTTCTCAAGGTGGCTCATCAATTTAGTGTAATGCTCTAAAGATTGGCTCAGGTGCAGAACTGCACAACTCCTTCTGGACTGCTAGTCTTCCTTTTTTCACACAAATTTGTTCCCTTTGGGAATGATTGGTTTGCGTTTTCTCGTAGCTTCTTGTGGCCTAAGAGTTCCGGTCTCTGGCACCAGTACTTTTCCAAGTTCCTGTTTCAAGTGATTGTTAAAATAACCAAAATTTTGAAATAAAATCATGGTTTTCTTGAGCTCTATTAGCCTAGGCGAAATTTTGTCTCGTAACAGCTTGATAGCTTTTAATTATCAAAGTTCCCTGATCAACTTTGATAACAGATTAGTTTTCAAAATAATGGGCTTGAAATGTTTGTGTGCCAAACCATGTTGAAAGCATAATACTACTGCCGTGATAAACAATACTTGAATCATATTGGACAATTAGTTTTTCTTCATGACGTTCCATGCCCTTAAACTTAACCTGTTTTCGCAAAACTGAATCATAATAACCTCCATTTTAAGATTTCATCGCTGTAATACCTCTGTGAAGATCACTAGCTTGATTAAGGTTGTACGATAAAAAGTTTAAACCCATGAGCTACTGATGATCATGTGGCTTGACCATCCAGGTTACAATATGGCACTGACTGTCTTTTGTCCGTCAGGAGACATTCTTTCCCGCATAACGCGAGCGGAAGTCGTTATAGGAGTTAAATACGACACCAGAAGGATTCGTAGACACACGTAAGAGAGGGAAACACAGGAATCCAGGCTATTGAAAAATCATTGACGTTTCAAGTAATCAAGCAACAGTCCTCTTCGAATTATTACAAATCAGAGCAGTTTATCAATAAAAGGAAATTCTTATTCTAATACCAGTTCCAAATTTGCCTGCATCATCATTATGTCTTGAAGATCGTTTTTTAAAGTCATGTGTGAAATCACGACTTGTATATTACAAGCATTCACATTGGATTTCTACGATTGGTCAAAAAAGAGTCATATGTAGAAACAGCTAAATAAACAAACGCTTTTTTTCAATATTGCACTTGATCTTAGATCTCTCTCTACTTCTCCAGACTGGAAGCAAAAACGGCGAGGAGCCTTTTACTGTATAGTTTCTAATGTTAGCAAAAATGTTTATGTAGAAACCTCGGCAAAAATAACGATTATAGCATTTTCTTTTTAAGGCTTGATATTCCAAATTAGAAGATAATTAATCCTTCTAAGCCTGCAAATGGTAAGTATTGATATTTTTTTAAAAGCTTTGTTGCCAAAAAAAAATATTGATGTCTATCAGCAGGTAATATTTTGCCTGTCAACGTCTTGAGATAAACTGCTGCACTTGTCCTTTTACAAAAATGAGAAAATATAGTCAGAAATGCTCTCGCGCATGCTATTTCCCTTTAACTGATAAAAGAAACTCTATCGTTTTCCTTTTTTTCAGATTGATATCAGTATGTAGCAGTGTTATTTCAGCAATATGTCATAACTGTAGAAAAAGGCAAACACGAAGAGACTGACGAATTCTTTACAAATGTAAGTTCTCAATTGTAAATATAGATTTTTTTCGGATGAAATTTCCTCGATTATTGTCAGTGATGAATTACCCGTAAGGTGACAGAAAAACAGGCTGTATGATGTTTAGCAGTAAAAACTCATTCTATTTATAAATAGAGTTATTCAAATTAATTTCGGCTTTAAATGTTACCAAGTGAAGTCATTAATTTTTAAATATTAAAGAAACGTATAAGAAACATTTGGCACGTAAACAGTTGCCTATTTTAACAATCTACTGGCTTGGTTTCTCGTTTATTGTCGTCTGCTTAGTCTAAACATTTCGTAAGTTACCGGCAGTTCGGCAATGGTAAGTAACTGATTCTTTCATTGTTTTCATTAAATAAATAAATAAAAACTGGAACAGTAAGAAAATTCATTCGAGGAAAATGAAAGGATTTCACCCGCGCCCAAATGTTTGCTCTTAAAATTCTTCACTTTCATAGTTTGTTTTGCCATAGATTTTTTTTTTAATTCTAAACACTCTGGGAAGAAACGGGAGACAGAAAGTACGTTTGAAAATTTTTTTTGGTTTATCGTCGCGAGTAATTATACAAAAAAATCTGCACGGATGAACTTAAGTCAAAATGTAATGTAGAAGGGCAACTATTCAAAATCTATAACGAGGTCGTCTCATCACACCTCTTTTATATAAATATTGATTATTCTGTTGTGCAAATGAGTTAATGTAATTCGGTGATTGCAATAAAAAGTGTTATGGTATCAAGGTGTTGAAAATA